AAGTACAACCATAACCACAATCATATGAACACAAATCTATGCATTGTTATATGAAGACAAGTCCAGAAATTGTGGCCAAGGTTTAGCAATTTGTTGTTTTATGTACATAGCATAGTAATTTGAAAAAAAAAATTTGTTTATAGCAATATATTGGGGGGACATTTTGAGCATATTTGAATATGGGGGGGGGGGTGGTGTGCCCCCCCCCAATATATATTATAATTACGGCCTTGGTTTTTCATGTAACAGAACATGCCAATTCGTTACTATTTTTTTTGTTAGACCCATGCACCCGCCTGCAATTTTGGAAATTGCTGCCGCGTTAATCAAATCGATCCTCTGCAAGGCGCGCCTTTACCACGAAGCCAACTAACCTGAGTCCGTGCGACAAGGGGGAGTTGATTGGGAGGCGTCAGCTTAATATGGGCACAAACTTGCCTCTCCGAAGGCACTTGCAGCGGAACAAGGAGTTCACCTCTCTGGAGGGACTTTTCAAGGCACGATGCCCAGCGCGTTCCCATTTGCGCCTCATTTCGTGGTGTGGCTCAGATTAGCCAATCGAGATGCCCCCGTGGAAACCCACGTCCCCCAACTCCATCGCCCTTCCATTAGCACAGTCGGCATTTGTGCCGTTCTTACATAACGCGAGGCTCTTGCGAAGGGACCGTGTTTCCGAGACATGTATACAGTATATTTAGTCTGCAGTCATTGAACAGTCGGTAGCGATGTTAATATGCTGTTTTACTCAATTGGATAGTTTGCAAGTTACTTAAACATTTCGAATACGTTGAACCTTGGCGTGGGCATAATAGCACCATCGGACTTTTTAACATTCACCGAAGTAGACAGCGCGGATTCTTTTGGTGAATTAAACCCCTGGTGGGATCCGGGGAGGTGGAGGGAGGTGGGGGATGGGGGGTGCTGGGATCGAACCGCTCACCTCGAATGGGCCATCGCCCCATCCACGTCGCCGCTCTTTAGGGCCGGGTTCATGAGTCAACGAATGTTGCTTTTGCCTCGGGGTTTCGGCGAAGGGGGTAAATCGTCAAGGTGATGCGCTTCAGCTGTTTCAACAAGACGTGAATCTGCGACAGGTTCCATAAAACATCTTCAGTGATTTCTCCCCCCCTCCACCTCCCACTTCCATTTAACACGTGCTGCTGTGAATGACCAACTAAGCGGAATTTCCCCTTGAGGAATTCCACGCAGGCAGCAAATGGTCCTTAGATCGGTCGTGCTGACCCGGCAGGGTCGCCGCTGCATGGCTCGATTATCACGCGGCGTCAAATTTACGTTCCCGACGATGTAACTGGGATCAATTTCTCGCTGAGTGATTGGGTTAGAGCCTGAAACGTTTTTTTTTTGGCGGGGGGGGGGGGGGGGTTTAGTGATACGAGCCTGTCGTGCTGCATTGAGTGGTCAGGCGTGTTCCTTGATCTGTATTTGTGCAGATAATCATGACCGCTGTGCATTCTCACGACACACTCCTGAAATCCAACGCCTGCCACGAGTTCTTGCCGTGATGAGTGGATGGCTGGGACAGTGCTGACTGACTCAGGCCATTGCCTGTGATCATCCAATTGTGTTTTATTCATTTGGTGCAGTTATAAAAGGCTTAATTTCTCACTGAACATGTTTTTATTCAGGTCGCCGAGAGATTGGAGTCGGCACGTGACGAGTAGCTCCAGCCGTAGATGCATACTGGATGTGGTGTCCCGGGTGTGGAAACATTTCCCTGCTCATCGACGAGCGTACACTCGGCTGAAATGAAGCCGTGGCAGTTATCACGACAGAAGAGATAATGTTTTACTCAAGGCTTGATATTAAATTGGAGGGCTGTAACCATGCATATATTTGGAGATTAATATTGGTTATTCTAGCTGACGATCCAACAACAGATCGCATGTATTCCCGTACCTCCGTTTAGCGCGGTTGGCAACGCACGGTGCAAAATAAGTTCACCGTACGCATACATATTTAGATGTGTACGAATTGTTGTTGTATGCACACGTGTATACTGCGAGATTCACCACCGCATGACAAAACAAGAATATATTATTGTCTCTAATTGTGATTCAGCAATCGACCCCTGAATCGCTACAGCTCATTGCATAAGCCAGGCGGGGCTGGGGGAATTGTTACACGCCTATTAAAGAGCAGTACGTTTAAGGACAACTCGCTGTGCAGGTTTAATTGCCAATGGCCGGAGCGTTTTAAAAGCGCGCCTCTTTCGTGAATGACGTTGAGGCCGATGACGTATTCGCCAACTGCTGCTACAATGTTAAACACAGCACAGTTAGTTTAACACGTCGTAGGCTTCTGTGACCAATATCATCCATAATACAGGCTTTTGGGGGGGGGGTTAGATCGCGTAAATATATAAATGTGTCGTTAAACCCGCCACCACCCGACACAGCCAACTAGCAAGGTTTGTCACGTAAACAGAACGTGCCAATTCGATACTGGTACAGCACGCCGGTGTGTTGAGATCTTCACTCAAAACTGCTCTAGAGGAGTTGTACACCCCTAGCTGCCACTGCAATTCAGTGGCCTGAAATACAATGTTTCGCTCCGGATGATCGCTGCAAAGTATGATTTGTGTTTTGATTTAATGTGCTGATCTTAAAGGTGCATTGAAAAATGTTGATACTCCGACTGATGCTCCTACTGTTGTGGAGTGACTCATGCAGCCAGCTATGGCTGCAGAGTTTGGTAGTACATGTTGTTTACGTAGTTTATTGTGAAAATTCGGTCACAGTTCCTATGATCACTGTTTCATTGCTTTTATGGCTTTATTTTGGTGATTTTTGAAAAGTTTTTTGGTTTGGCCATGTTTGTTTGTTGTAGTACAGAGTTAGACTGATGGCCTTAATCTAAGTTGTCTTGTTGTTGTTGTTTGACTTGCATCCCACTGGGATTTTTGCACACAGCGTTGGTGTACGGTGCTTTTTCTGCAATATTTTGCTGTCTTTTCTTGGATTTTCTGTTTGCACATAGTCACTTTAAGATGTTTTCTTGTTCATGTTTTTGTTTTTTGTTTCTTGCGGTTGCACCCGATTGAAGAGCCGAATGGCTCACAGGGCTATACCTAATACATGAAACTTGAACTTGTGTTGGAAAGTAAATCCACAACCTTTACACAGCACAGTATTTCGCCTTCCTTTCGCTGTGCACTTCAGTCACACGAATTGGATAACATTCAAGTCAAAGATGAAAGTGCTGGCATTATAACGGTACTGCTCTACTTTTAAGCACGCAAGTTATTGCGCGCGTCATGGAATTATGTGATAAGGCAGGCACAATCGCATTTCGCAGTGTGTGGCGTTTACTGTGCGTGGAAAGAGTGGAGGTAATCTGGCTGCAGCTCATGACATCAAAGCCAAATTGCGCGCTCTTGTATTCCTATGTCATCATTAACTTGTTCATCAATTATAATTGCATTCTGTAATGTCACCGATATTCTTCAATCCTGTACCATTTAACGGAACAAATGAAGACGCAACAAAAGCTACAAATAAAAATTGACAGTATCGATTCTGACAGATTTGCAATCGGTACTGCCAAGAAAGAGCCCATGACCAAATTAGTCAACAAAATGTAACGAATTGCGAGCCTGTTCCCTGGCACACGCGAGCGTGCATCTGTTTCGTCTGCACCTTCCTCGCGAGGAAGCCAGACTCCACACGTCACGTTTATTAATGACGTGTCAACGAGGGCTAAGCAGCATTAAGGTAGGTTGTTTTTGGTTTCTCCCCCACGCCTCTCCACGAATCGATTTCACAGAAGAAGGTCACGGAAGCGGCTTACGTTATTATCATCATCATCAGCATCATCATTCTGGTTCGATTTTTTTTCTGCAGAGCAGAATTTGGGGGTTTGAGTGCGCTGTCAAGGTCACGCATTGTGTGCGTGAGATATTATTCTTTGTGATGTATTCAAACTTAAGAATTTCATAGCAATCGGTGGGTTCCAATCATGTGCAGTGCCAACAACAACATTTTTTCCGTGGGTTTTCTCTGCGTAGATTGGGTTGTATTGTATTGTTTTTCCTCCTTTTGTTAAACATTTATTTCGAAAGTTAAAATTGCTTCCAATTTTGTAGATGGTTGTAGGTGAAAAGTAAAAGAAAAATACAAATAAATCATAACCGCACCATGGTGTCTTGATTGAGCCCTTCACTCACAAGGCCACGTGAAATCCGCGAACGGGTTAAGCTACTGTCCTCCTGATGGTAGAGCTGAGAGCTCCGTGCGACTAAACCCCTCGTGGCTAGATTATGGCTGGCGTGTAAATATACTTTCAACACTCGTCCTTCATAGGGCACCCTACGCCGTTGCCAAATGTCAGGATGGCAACAGGCAAAAAAAAAAAAATCCGCCGTACAGATGGCTGCCAAAATTCCAAATTAGCTTTGAGTAAAAAAAAAAGGGCGTGTTTATTTGCTCGAAATGCTTTAGATTTGTTTTGTATAACTTAGAATAGATACAGCTGTGTAGGTTTTTGTTGCTGTTGCAGTTTGCAATGCTTAGCTGTCTGCCGTACCCCGTGTTGTTAGGCGCGAATGTCCGACGACGACAGATTTGAGAGCTCTAGCTTAGATCGGATGTTGTTACAGCGAAGAGCAGATTTTTTTTGGGTCAAGGTTTTCAGCGTGGCATAAGTTGCCCACAAGTCGTAGGTTCGTGGACCCAGCATGCCCGGTGCATGTCGAGGATGATAGCCCAGCACACGTGGGGTGCAATGGCAGTTTTCGCTCGTCGCTCGCATGCCGTGAAGAGGACGCCCGCTCCGAACCAAGCGGCGTGGACGGAGCGGCCGAGGTTAAATAGAGAGAGAGAGAAAGAGACCGTGGGGCTTGCAGCAAAATCCCGGAGTCACAGGACGAGGCTGCCTGGGGCCACAAGCCGATTAGGATCCGGCTTCGACAGCGAAGCTCCACGGACGGCGCAGAGGGCCGGGCGACCCACCGCGCGAGCTGCTCAACTCGTGCCGATGCTGATGCCAGTGACGTCGCTCATCCTCTTTCGTCCGCCCTTTACTGCGGGCAAACGAAGCTGCCGGGTCTTTTCGCTGCCAGAGTAAAGTGAAAAAAACAAAATTGCGTTCACGTCTCCTATTTTGAAAGAATGCTATTAAGCTGGAGGAGTTTTTTTTTTTTTAACAAAAAAATTCGTCGACAAATCGGAGAGAAGTCACGTTCCGTAACATTCGTGTGCACCGAACAACGAATTTCAAGAAAACCGAGTGGCTCGTTCAAGTGAGCAGCGATTCAGTGTCGCCTTTGAAGACACGAAGCGCCGAGGCGTCTCGAACGCGCCCAATAATCGCGTGCCGAGGAGGAGGAGGCAGCAGCGGCTGGGAATTGTCCCTTGTGGTGCCACGGTCGGTGCCCTGCACAGGCGAGGCGTGGACGGGTCGCTGACGTGCACTTGAAGCCTGTGCCATGCGCGCGAATCCCCGCCGTGAGTACCTGCCGAGCACATTTGTTTCCATAATTATCTAAATCAAGTAGTCACTCCGGAAGCTCTGAAACATCGCAGCTCCGCGATTACATTTTCTCTTCAATGCAGTTGGCCTGCCTTTGTTCTACAGTTCTCTGCAGAATGTTCTGACAAAATTGACAATTGCAGGCGAGTTTTTTTTTTATCCTTCCTACGTTATTTTCACTTTCATTCGTTTGTGAAAGTGTTGAACGCTTATTGATTTATTACGCAACAGAGCCGTAACCTGACACGTGGGACTGCCGCGTAAAGAGTAGCCGATCGGTGCACTCTGCGTGGAGAAGACTACGACGACGCATCCGAGAGGGAGAGAGACCTTTGGCGGAGGGGAGGGAAGGGGACCGATGGAAAAGAGCGACGTCTACCGGGTCCTGCACCGAGGACTCAAGTGCAGCGTTCGTCCCCTGCCGCTCGACATCGAACTCTGGCTTTACGTTCAAAAAACCAGGGGCATGAAGAAGCCGAGGTACAGCTGCTGTCCCCTGGCAACCGTAACCAGTCAAGCACCCTTGTCTGTTTCTTGGCAAGTCTAGGTTTTAAGTTGTTGTGTATTTGTGGTCATTTGACCTATATGCCAACTCTGTTAAATGGTGGGCTCGGATGTTGGGTTTTGCTGCTGCTGGGTTGTCATGTAGAGAAACGAGCGTCTGGTTTGACTTTGCTGAATGGTTTGGCTTCCTGATATCGGTTAGGAAACGTATCCTGCGGCCGTCTGGAACGCTCTTCCTTTCGATATTAGGAAGCCACTGGAGCTCGGCACTTTTAAACATAGATTGGAGTCCCATTTATTTTGAACTGCTTTTTATGTTTAGTTTGTTGTCCTTGCCCGCACCTCCGCTTAGCATGTTTGGCTACGTACGGTGCGAAGGAAGTTCAACATCCAGTACATACATTGGCGTCGCCATTTAGCCATCGAGTGTGCAGGCGGGCGCAACTGCAACCGGGACCCATGGGCTACAGAGGCCCCGTCACGCGGTTACAAACCTGGACAGGGCACCTCATTGTATTACTTGCACCGCGACCCATGCCAGCCACATTACAGCACGGGTTTTTTTAATGTATGCAAAGCTTAAAGTAATAATGTTTTTTGTTGGCATAGCAGACTGTGGGGCTGGTTGGTTTTCATTCTCGCAACTTGTGTACAATCACGGAAGCAGTAAGTGAATTTCTTCTGTACGGTGACAATATACGGTGATTTGATTACAGGTTGGCTTCCAACGTTTGAATTGCTTATGACATTGAATGTTGTTCGGTCGCCGTACCATCCTTCCCTCGTGTAGTATGTACCTGGTCTCGGTTTCATAAAATACATGCTGTGACTTTTGTGATTTTACACCTCGCTAAAGACGCGAACTGCAATTAACAAAGCGTGTTTCACGATGGCAGATGTTAACTCTCTGCGCTAAAATCTTTAATCAATTATTGGATGCGCTGTGCGACGCTTGCCGCAACTGGAACTTGATCAGTGCTCAAGTTGCAGGGGAAAACCCCTATTAGTATATTTTGGTACTGGCAAAGGAGGTCCCATGATGTAGCTGCTCACCCCGAGCTCTCATTACTCTGGTAGTGCGTTGTCTTTGAACTGTGCGTCTTTTGGCGTCATCTGGTCGAACACCATATGAGACTAGGCTCCAAAGAAAGCTGTCTCTGGTGTGGACCAATCAGTTTCAAAGACAATGGATAAATTATCAGAGTATTTTTTTTGTTTGCATTTGACTGCAAGTATTGTGGTTAATGTAAGCATGATTCCTTGCAAAAGGTGTCAGCTTTGTTGCCAGAAAAAAGGGGCAAAACCCTATTAGTATAACTGCTTTTTGTGTTTAATTTGTTGTCCTCTCCGTGCACCTCCGATTATCACGGTTGGCTACGTACGGTACGAAAGACATTCAACATGCCGACAAATACGTAAGGGTAATAATCACAGAATAAGATTTTTGGACAGCAAAATGAGTAATTGAGTCGATGTGACCTTGAGTCAAAAACCATGGCCCTATTATTTTAGAGAGCAGCAGTGGGACAATGAGATACCAGTACTGTATGCCCATCCTTGTGAGGATTTATTGGGACTCAAACATCGCACCTCCTGGCTTTCACATTCCTCCTCTAAGATACTGCATCACCAGGTTTTACCCAAGCGTACATCTCCTTCATAAATGGGAAGTTCAGGACAATCCACAGTCGTGCGATTGTGTCAATGCAACCCAAACTATAGATCATACAGTAAACCCTGTCGTCTACGCTCCTTCAACGAGAAAGGAAATAGTAAAACTACACGATCTGCCGAAGCCCTCTCGTGGCTAGCAGACCTCGACATTGACATTTAGCTCTCGAACATATCAGCGCACACAAGAATAGAATTACCAGCGCACTCAAGCCATCAGCGCCTAATGCTCCTGCCTTGGTTTCACGTGGACAAGCCCTCTCTGATCACTGTGGGGGCAGTTGGGCACTGCCTAAGGCGACAAAAAAAATCAATTCTCACCTTGCATGTCATGGGACATTGCTGTGGGTCTATTACCCGTGACGGATATAATCTATGCTCCCAATCTATTTAAAAAAAATCTCCCTATTATCTTACCGCTGGATTTTTCCTGTTATCCACAATTGTTGCATATTGTCGTGATTATCTAGAGGTGGCGGCAACTGTAGCTTATCCGGGAATATCGGAGATAAGTAATCTTGGTGCACTAATATTCTTCCGATTATACGTGCCTCTATCGATAAGAGGAGCCATCCAAAAGTGGTGGAACATTCACCGCATATTCCATAGATAACCAATGCGGATAGTGGGAGCTATTTTCACAGATAATAGGATCTGCCGAGAGCGTTCCCGCTCACCATATTCACGCGAATAAGAGGAGTCTCAATCTAATACTCAGCGGGTGGATATGTGTTCTTTCAAGGCTGTCACTTCAGTATTGAAGAGGAGAGAAGTGCCATTGCAACTATCTTGAAACAAATGCGAAACACGTGGCCTCGTGCGCATTCTCAGAGGCTAGAGCTTCCTGAAGGAAGTTCTGGAACGGGTTGCTTGAGAAAGACGCCAAAATCAGAACCAAGAAAGATGCCTATTCTAGATTTGAAGCTTTCGTGACTGCAAGGATTCATACTCTTAGTTCTTTCGGTAAAGTCACGTAGGTAAAAAATTAAATTAAAATTAATACAAATAAAACAATAATATCACGACGTTTCGGAGGCAACACAAGTCTCCGTCATCAGGTGGGACCGTCACAGCCAGATTTGCTGCATCAAGTGATTTGCTGCATCAAGTGATTTGCTGCATCAAGTGATGCTGCAAATCTGGCTGTATCAGGTGATTTGCTGCATCAAGTGATGCTGCAAATCTGGCTGTGACGGTCCCACCTGATGACGGAGACTTGTGTTGCCTCCGAAACGTCGTGATTTTATTGTTTTATTTTTATTAAGTTTTATTTAATTTTTTTACCTACGTGACTTTACCAAAAGAACTAAGAGTAAGATGCCTATTCTTAGGTTTTTTTCGGTAAAGTCACGTAGGTAAAAAATTAAAATTAATAAAAGTAAAATAAAAATATAATAAAAAACCCTCTCACTTGAAACAGTAATCGTGCTGTGACGGTTCCACCTGAAGACGGAAGCTTGTGTTGCCTCCGAAACGTCGTGATTTTTATTTTATTTTAATTTTACTTTTATTAATTTTATTTTTTTACCTACGTGACTTTACCGAAAAAAACCTAAGAATATGAATACTTGCAGCCACGAAAGCTTCAAATCTAGAAGAAAGATGCCGCCGAACGATTTGGCGAAGTTTTGGGGGGCGGGGGGGGGGTGCCGTACACAGTGGGATCAAGCGGTGCGCTCAAGATCGGAGGTGGGCGGGTGGGGGGGGCCGAGTCAATGACAAGCCTGCCATTGGGCAGACGACTCAAGAGGGAAAGTCTGAACAAGGCTATCTGCATCTCCCCTGTGTGCCCGTGTGTGTGTGTGATTCTGCGGTGGGTTTTTTGAGGGGGGGGGGGGGTGTTGGGGCGGAAGCGATCAGGACCATAATAATTGTTTCAAGTGGCAAGGAATCCGATGAGCTACAAAGCTATTTTTGACAGATGTCGAATAACGATTGTGCAGTGGTCGGCGCACTGTGCTACGAATCCGGCGACGCGGATTTGATTCCCACTCACAGCCAACATCAATGACGAATATCTGTAGCAGTCCTGGGCTTCCTCTAGTTCGACTTAACCTTAAATGGGGACTCGGTGGAGATAATGACGGGCGGGCATGGAGCTGGCCACCCAATATCTCGTGTGAGCTGTGCTGGCCTTCAAAACGTTGCTCCGCTAACAGCACGTGCCCATCGGAGGCGCACTGCCACCAAACCAGACTTCATCCAACATTAGTCTTTTGCTAGCGTAGTGGAAATGACAGCATTTACCTGGGTAGATCGAGTTTTCGGTATCAGCCGCTCACGTGCACAGCCGCGTGGAGCGCTTGTTGTCAATCCACTGCTGAATGAGCACCACCAACCCCTGACCCATCGCCTCCCCCCCCCCGTACCATACGGGTCATGGGAGTTATTTCACCACAGTTTACCACGTTGGTCAGCGCGAGTTGACGAAGGTGCTGAGCATACGTATGCGTATGCGTATGTTGAACTTCTTTCACACCGTACGTCGCCAACCGCGCTAATCGGAGGTGCGGGAAAGGACGACAAATTAAACACCAAAAAAGCAGATTTAAATGTGCATAACTACAGCGGCTTCCTAATATCGGAAGGAAGAGCGTTCCAGACGGCCGCAGAAGCGCATCTGAAAGCGCAGCGCGATGCGGCGGCCGTCTTTGCTGCTGTTGCCGCGAGGTGGTGGGTTGTTGCTGGTGGGCAATTTCTCTTCGTCACTGTGCGCTTCTGCCCGTGCGCGCACAACTTCTTTCGCACCGTACGTCGCCACCGGTGCTAATCGGAGGTGCGCGCGCGTGTGCACGTTGTCCACCCCACCCAGGATGGAGGCGTCGTGCCTGGAGTTGGCACTGGAGGGCGAGCGCCTGTGCCGGGCGGGCGAGGCGCGTGCCGGCGCCTCGTTCTTCGAGGCGGCGGTGCGCGTGGGCACCGAGGACGCGCGCACGCTGAGCGCCATCTACAGCCAGCTGGGCAACGCCTACGTGTGTCTGGGCGAGCACGGCCGTGCGCTCGAGTATCATGGGCTGGACCTCACGCTGGCGCGGTGCGAGCACGGCTGTGCCTCTGCCACCACCACCACCACCACACCCCCCCCACCCCTTCAGCCCCTCCAGACCGATAGCAACGACGGTTGTACATATTTTTAGGTTTTTTCGGTAAAGTCACGTAGGTAAAAATTTTTAAAATAATAAAAGTAAAATAAAAATAAAATAAAAATCACGACGTTTCGTAGGCAACACAAGCATCCGTCTTCAGGTGGAACCGTCACATCACGATAGACTTTACCAAAAAAAAACTAAGAATATGAATCCTTGCAGTCACGAAAGCTTCAAATCTAGACGGTTGTACAATTTGCCGAACGCCGTTCGCCAGCGAAGTCGTCATAATTCAAATGTATAATGCGGCACTCCATCCTGGGATCCCGATGCGTAATACGTAGAGAGCAGGAAATCAAAACAGAACCGGGGGCAACCGACCAAACTCAGGAGGGAAGGCTCGGTTTAATGAGATGGGATTTCAAAGCAGACTTCAATAGTTCTACCGACTCCGATTACCTGATTTCACGTGGCACGGCGTTCCATAGCTTAGGTGCCTCGCTAGCAAAAGCGGGGTCACCACAAGAGCACAACCTCGACCTGGGAGTGCAGCTGCATTCTGAACAAGCTGGAATCTTCCCGGTGCTTTGCTCGAAAGTTGCGGCGACGCCACCGTGGTGCTCGTGCCAGGCTAGGTGCAGCGTTGAGGCCGTCGTTCTGATGGAGTGGTCGAAGGCTTTGCTGCTGGCAGGAGGTCAAGGGGTCACGGGACAGACACGGGTGCTTGTTCGGGGTTGACTGACTGAGATTATTGACAGATGCACCGCCTGTGCTCCCCCACTGTGCACTTTCACAAAAACACTGACAAAGATCCCCCGAATAGCCTTCGAGCCAAGTGCTGTCCGCGAGTAGCACAGTATGGCACACGAGAGGGGGGTCGGTGGACAAAACCACCACGCCTGGCCGCCTTTGTCTGCCAAGTGTTGGTGTTTACACACCGCACCAAGTACTCATTTAAGGCTGAGTAAACCTATGGGAGGCCTATGACCGATGCATATGTTCTCCAACGATGTGAGCCATGCACCTACACGCACGTACACACAAAGACAAAGGTCCCCGGGTAGTCTACAATCGGCTCTTGTCTGGTGTGGACTCGAGTCATGTGACTTGGACTCGAGTCAGACTCGAGTCATGAATTTGATGACTTCAGACTCGACTTGGACTTGCATAACAATGACTTTGTCCCACCTCTGAGGTGTGGACTCGAGTCATGTGACTTGGACTCGAGTCAGACTCGAGTCATGAATTTGATGACTTCAGACTCGACTTGGACTTGCATAACAATGACTTTGTCCCACCTCTGCTCTTGTGACACGTGCATTCAAATGCAATGTCTTGGCCTCTCGCACTGAAGCTACCTCGTGTCCTATCCCCTCAGCTACAGGGCCTCCACAAGGCGCTGCGATTGTTGGGCCATGCCTCATCCACGCCTCCCCTGGCCCACACCTTGCATGATAAGCCACTTTGTTGAGCTATCATTTGTGGCCAGGTGGCTTTTGAAAACTAAGTTAATACCGCAGTGGGCTTTGTCTGTTAGGATGGGCATGGTTCGGTATTATTTGTATGTGTTTGTGTGATTTGTTTACCTTTCTTGTACTTTGCACTCCTGTCGTATTGTTTGTGTTGTTTGTTGTTGTAACGTTCTTACCCGCCCCGACTGGACATCTGTAAAACAAGAGCTTAATAGCTAATCGGATTCCTCCAGCAGAAAAACTAAATAATCTGATTCTGATCTTGCATCTTGACTAACTTCCAAATGCTCTCTCACCACCTCAGCCCACCGATGAGTCAGCCAACTTCAGCATTGGCACCTCATGAGGATTTCAGAAATTGAAAAGTGGGACCCTCCCAGATATTGGTCTCGCATTTACCACCGACGACGATGACGTCGAAGACGACGACAATGACAACGACGATGATGACGACGATGATGACGACGACGTCGATGACGATGATGATGAGGACAATGACGACGATGATGAGGACGACGACGATGACGACGACGTCGACGTCGATGACAATGATGACGACGAAGATGACGACGACGACGACGATGATGATGACGACGGCGATTACGTCAGTGAATCGACCGGCCACGCTTCCCCATGCGCCAAAACGAACGTCGGCGTCTCCCCCCCCCCCCTTCTCGCTGCTCCGGCCTCCAGGAAGATCGGCGACCGCGCCGCAGAGGCCAAGGCGAGCGGCAATCTGGGGAACCCGCTCAAATTCCTCGGGCGCTTTGAGGAGGCAATCGTGTGCTGCCAGCATCACCTGGACGTCTCGCGGGAGATCGGCGACCAGGTGGGTGGCCGCGTCTCGCCTCCCGCGTGCCCTTCGCTCGGTCCAGACGGTCCGGCAACCTGCGGGCTTCGGAGACGCAATGCGGCTGCTTGCTTTTTTATAAGTTTCTTACAAAAGTATTTGTTTTTGTTATTAACAAGACGATTCAGCATGGGACCTCCTTTGCCAGTACCAAAATATACTAATAGGGGTTTCCCCTTTTTTTTCTGGTAACAAAACTGACACCTTTTGCAAGGAATCATGTTACATCTGGTCGAACACCATATGGGACTAGGCTCTAAAGAAAGCTGTCTCTGGTGTGGACCAATCAGTTTCAAGGACAATGCATAAATTATCAGAGTATTGTTTTTTGTTTGCATTTGACTGCAAGTATTGTGGTTAATGTAAACATGATTCCTTGCAAAAGGTGTCAGTTTTGTTGCCAGAAAAAAAGGGGAAAACCCCTATTAGTAAGACGATTCAGGTTACACACACACAGAGAAAGGGAAGTTGACACCAGCACAAACGCATCACCGATGACAGTGCAATGGAAACCTCTCTAAACCGCATGTTTCAATAAACTGTTTCAATAAACTCTAAAACTCTGGTGTCTTCCTTAGCTCTGACACCTCTGTAGGAGGAAAACAGAAGGGGGGGGGGTGGCTAAATGCCCTAATGAATGCTCTTAAGAATCAATGGCCACTGGAGGAGAGGCAGTGAAGGGGTTCTGTACGCGGCTCTTTGAGGACTGCTTCGTGATGTTTATTTATTTTTTAAGGACCACCGTCTCGTAGTCACGTACTCTTGAAATATCGAGTTTTCACCGAATTATTGATTGCTGACCCCCCAACCATAGGAGTCCAGTTTACCATGGGAGTCCAGTTTACCATGGGAGTCCAGTTTACCATGGGAATCCACTTTACCATGGGAGTCCAGTTTATTGCCCAAAACGTTTCCTTTATATTTTATTTCGTCTTTGGGACGGTGTTATTGTAATGGGTCGTGGATGGGTATTCCAGCATGACAATGACCCAAAACACACGGCCAAGGCAACAAAGGAGTGGCTCAAGAAGAAGCACATTAAGGTCCTGGAGTGGCCTAGCCAGTCTCCGAACCTTAATCCCATAGAAAATCTGTGGAAGGAGCTGAATGTTCGAGTTGCCAAACGTCAGCCTCGAAACCTTAATGACTTGGAGAAGATCTGCAAAGAGGAGTGGGACAAAATCCCTCCTGAGATGTGTGCAAACCTGGTGGCCGACTACAAGAAACGTCTGACCTTTGTGATTGCCAACAAGGGTTTTGCCACCAAGTACTAAGTCATGTTTTGCCGAGGGGTCAAATACTTATTTCCCTCATTAAAATGCAAATCAATTTATAACATTTTTGACATGCGTTTTCTGAATTTTGTTGTTGTTATTCTGTCTCTCACTGTTCAAATAAACCTACCATTAAAATAATAGACTGATAATTTCTTTGTCAGTGGGCAAACGTACAAAATCAGCAGGGGATCAAATACGTTTTTCCCTCACTGTACATAGCTGTGTTATACGCCACCAGCATAAAGGATGGTCGTGTATCAAAACCAAATCATTATTATTCTCATCATCATCATCATCAAATAATAATTGATGTGCGTGTCACTCCGTGGGCCAGGCTGGCGAAGCGAGGGCCCTGTATCTCCTGGGCAGCGTGTACCACACGCAGGGCAAGAGCCGGGGCTGCTCGGCGAGCCAGGACCCCGGGGAGCTGGGACCTGAAGCCAAGTTCTGCCTGGAGCAAGCAGTCAACCACTACCAGTACGCCGATCATTTCTACTTGTATTCATTTAATTTAGATGGTTTAAAAAAAAATCTCGGTTGCTGAGCAAGGGGCCAATGGCGCAGAAATTACCAAGCGGTTAGCAGGTAAACAGCATTGCCGAAGATGTAATGCTGTAGATAAGTGTTTTGGTAGGTTTCTTGAAATTTGGAGCGGAGGGTTATTATGATAACTTTGGGGAAAGAAACGACAGGGAGGGAATTCCAAAGTGGTGCCGTGCGATGATGGAGCAGAAAGGGAAGTGGGTTTCACCTGCAAGTGTGGGGGTGGAGTGAACTAGGAGACTAGGCGAAATAGTCACTCTGGCAAACCCAGAAATAACACCGCCCGAAAGCGTATTAACATAGTGACGATCGGCCTGTTTCTATCCACTGCTGGCTGAAAGTCCTTTTCACGTCGTCACCATCCCTCACGTATCAATGTCTGCCGTGGTTGCTTCACTTTAACCTCGCTCCGGCGAGGCTTTTCGTGCCGCCTCGCCACCGCGGCCGCGTTCGCTGGGACTCGTCGTAATGCTGCTACCCTCGTCTCTTGAGTTAAACGTGGAATGACGTTCTGCCTCCCCACCCCCCCACCACCCGCACTATCAATTTGGAAGTGAGACCCACTAGTGCCCCGAGTGATACCTCCTAACGACGAACGGTATTCTGCAAACAATGGAATGCCCTAATGGAAAAATCTAATGTGTTTTATTTAATTTGACCAGGTAAGGCCCACTGAGCTATACGGCTTTTTTTCAGAAGCGACGTGGCCACAAATGATAGCTCAACGAAGTGGCTTATCACGTGCAAATGTATCGCAGCCATAATAGTCTAAAAGCACGTTTCTAAATTTGGAGGGAGACCCCGGAGGACCTGGAGAAAAATCCACGCGACCAAGGGGGAGAACGTGCAAACTCCAAATATACAGCAGGCGTCAGGGTCGGGATCGAACCCACGCCCTCCTGTGTACCAGGCGAGGTAGTTAACATCTCCTAGCCACCGTGGCGCCCCCAACGACAAGGTGGGGTGGGAAAGAAGGTGCCCGCCTCTCCAGGTCACAGGGTCACGTTACTCTCAAAAGTGGATATCCAAGTTAGAGAGGGGAAATCGTATCGGAGTGCAGATTTGTGGTGCATTGCTCATTCTCGTATCGCTTTTGATTCTCGAGTTATTAGCCGAATGAAAGACATACTGAACGAAACAAAGTTGTTAAGCATGTTACTGATCGTGTACGTTTGCCGCATGAATTGTTGTGGTCACGCATGCACGTTACTCCAGCACTTTGGAAGTACATTATACGCGTACTTAGTGGGTAACGCAGACTTCACCGTGAGCCCTGACACTCCTAAATCCACTGGGCTGTGAAGGGACAGCGAGTGCATTTCGTGTTTACTGTTCACAAGGCGATATTTATTCATAACGCCTTTGACCAACTCGCATGGAATGCTCCCCATTTCGTCAGATCTTGTAAGCTTAGCAGTTTTGAACCTGAGACTATTCTTGATTGGGCGACCACCGTTCACAAGACATTGCCGTAGGCTTCGGCACTATGCGGTGGGCAGCAGAGGGCAGTGGAAAAAAAGCATCCGCTGTCGTGCTAAACTGTACTTATATGCTGCCACACCTATTCTCCGATTAGCACGGTTGGCTACGTGCGGTGCGAAAGAAGTTCGACGTAGAGACACGCATACGTATGCTCCCCACCTTCGTCAACTCGTGCTGACCAACGTGGTGAAATGTGGTGAAATAACTCCCAAGACCCGTATGGCACGGGGGGGGGGGGCGATGGGTCAGGGATTGGTGGTGCTCATCCAGCAGTGGATTGACAACAAGCGCTCCACGTGTCTATGTATGCGAGCGGCAGATACCGAAAACTCGATCTACCCCGGTAAACGCTGCCATTTCCATTACGATAGCAGAAGACGAATGCGAATGTGAGCGGCGGTAAAGTTGGATGAAGTCGGGTTTGGTGGCAGTGCGCCTCCGATGGGCACGGTTGGCTTCGTACGGTGAGAAAGAAGTCCACCAACGCGCGTGCGCGCACACACAACGCACCCGAGCCGACCGCTCGCCGTTTGTCTCCCAGAGCCAACCTGGCACTGGTGCGGGAGCTCGGAGACCGTGCGGCTCAGGGCCGAGCCTTCGGCAACCTGGGCAACACCTATTACCTCCTGGGCTGCTTCAGCCAAGCCGTGGCCTGCCACCAGGAGGTGAGAACGCAGCCCAGCAGTGGCTGCTCACTGCAGCTCCAACCGATGCGAGGAACCCAAGCGGCACGGCCTCAGCCCTTCTCCAAAACCACCGGGAGGTAGATGAGGAGGAGGTTCGAGAGTATGTACTCGAAGACGAGATGGGAGTATAGCTCTGGTAGAGCAGATATCGAGTGTGCAGGATGTGCACTCTCAACAGCTTTGGCGCTGGGAAGAAATGAATGGCTCCGCAGGGGCGAGATGTTAACTACATCGCCTGGTGTGCAGGAGGTCGTGGGTTCGATCCCGACCTTGATGCCTGCTGCTGTATATTTGGAGTTTGCGTCTCTCTCTCTCTCATCACAGTGGCTAGGAGATGTTAACTACTTCGCCTGGTGTGCAGGAGGTCGTGGGTTCGATCCCGACCCTGACGCCGCTGCTGTATATTTGGAGTCTGCATGTCTCTCTCTCATCATCACAGTGGCTAGGAGATGTTAACTACCTCGCCTGTTATGCAGGAGGCCGTGGGTTCGATCCCGACCCTGCCGCCTGCTGTATATTTTGAGTTTGCAGGTCCTACGGTTTTTACCCTCCATATTTAGAAACAACGTGCGTTTGGAGTATCTATAAATTTCCACGTGGTGAGCCACTTCGTTGACTTATCATTTGTGGCCAGGTAGCATCTGAAAAACGAGTAACAGTATCTTGCTCAGTGGGCCTAACCTGGTAAAATAAAAAATATTTGAGTAGTGTTTTTAGTTTAGTCTTATCTGAAGGGCTTGAGGTTGCTTTTCAAACAGCGGAGTAGCTATCGAGTGTGTAGGAGGTGCATCTGCACTTAGGTCCGCAGGGGGTATGAAGAGGGAGGGAGTATTTATAGAGGGGCCCCCATCTCATCCTGGCACCCAAGGGCCCTTGCCAACCACGCCGTGCACGGTCGAGTCGAGGTGCGGTATATTGAACAACGAATGAGTGGGTGAAAACGACGGTATGACGTTAAAAAGTCTCATTATGATTACACTGTGTAACAAAGAAAATGTGTTCCTGGGTGGTAAGTGTTATTTCCTAATTGCTGATGCCTCAAAAGTACAGAAAGTGGCTATTCCCCACAAAATTAGCTTTTTTGACCAGGACAGTGATATTTAGAAATGTACCTATTTTCAATGCTAAAACGTATGCATTTGTGTCTTTCGTTCACATAAAGTCCTGGTCACCAAAGCAAAGTTTGTGGGGAATAATCGCCATTTTCTATACTTTTTTAGGCAAAAACAACGCTTAGTACCCAGGAACAAAAATGTTGTCGTCGGCTGTTTTCATTCATTTGTGATTTACTTTTGCAGCGGCTGGCTATCGCACGGGAGTTTGGAGACAAGGGGGCGGAGAGGCGTGCGTACAGCAACCTGGGAAATGCGCACATCTTCCTCGGCCAGTTCGAGTCCGCCGCGGAGTTTTACAAGTAGGCGCATTTCGATTTAAAGCTTTCGTGACTGCAGGGATTCATCTTCTTGGTTCTTTCTGTAAAGTCACGTAGAAGGGAAGTAATAAAATAATAAAAATAAAACATAATAAAATAATTCTCACGACGTTTCGGCCACAACGCAAGCAGCCGTCCTCAGGTGAAACCAGGTCTGTCGAGGCGACAGCGTCTGAATGTTTCTCGACAGACCTGGTTTCACCTGAGGACGGCTGCTTGCGTTGTGGCCGAAACGTCGTGAGAATTATTTTATTATGTTTTATTTTTATTATTTTATTACTTCCCTTCTACGTCATTTTACCGAAAGAACCAAGAAGAAGTAGGCGCATCACACGCTCGCGCTCTCTATATACAGGCACTCCTCTGCTGACGAACGAGTTATGTTCCAGAAGTCTGTTCGCAAGCCGACTTGTTCATAAGTCCCAACCACGCTCCAGTGGACAGCAAACACGTGGTCTACAGCGTGCACGCTAAACACGGGGGAATGGCCCTAAAAGTTGCATAATCTCCTGTAAGATGTAGATGCTACTGGTTCTTCACGTTCTGGAGATGTAGATGCCACCACCGAAATCTATTGCGCGGCGGGTGAACTTACGACTCTCGGTCCGAACAGGCAACTGGACATATGGACGGACAGATTTGTTCGTCACTTTGAAAGTTCGTAAGTCGAATGTTCGTAAGTAGAGGAGTCCCTGTATACGGAATGCTCGCCCACCCTTTATTAGCTCTGAGTGGCTTTGGATACTCCCAGGAGATGACATAACCGGGTCTCTTGACCAGGAGCAGTTGCAAAAGTTCCCCGGCAGAGAAGGTGTTAAGCCACGCTTGCTGAGTCCAAGCGCCGTTAATTGCTGTTGAATTTTGCAAAGGTATCCATTGAGTAACTTTTGTTCTCAGTGACGAGTGTCAACTTTCGGAGGTCATGGGTTCGATCGTCGTGGTCCTGATCCCAACATGACCCCTGAAGCCTGCATATTTGGAGTTTGCGTGTTTCTCTCCCCGTGTTCGTGTGGATTTTTCTCCGGGTTTTCCGGGTTTTCAACATCACGCGTTTGCATTTCCATGCGATAAGCCACTCCGTTGAGCTATCATTTGTGGCCAGTTCGCCACTGAAAAAGAGCTCTATATAGCTCAGTGGGCCTTGCCTGACACTATAAAAATTTGTTTAGTTTTTAAAATAAAAATTGTTTAGTTTCATTTTATTTTAGTTTTCATCCATGGAGTTACGCATATGATTGGTACGGAACGTTACGTGTGGAGTCGCAGTTGGTTGGCGTTGACACTCAGACTGTGTTGCGTTTATTCCTTCGCTTCGATTATTTGAAAATGTCTAAAATCCCCACTTGTGTTTGCATGTTACACCTTTTGTTACGTTGACGTGTATTTGCATTGTATTTATTAACTGTAGTAATGTACGTTTTGTTGTGGTTGTTAAGATGCTACCGTGCGTGTTTCTGATATTGTGGATTGATCCGAGCCGCGCCAGCACTAAAACAAACGCATTTTTTACGCAACCACTTCGAACAATTGTACAGCGAATCCAATCCCAACAATGTTCGTATTAATACATGAACAAATAAATATCGTAGGTAACTGCGACAATAATTATCGCGCTAATAAGGCGAGGTGTGCGTGCTACAATTATACGTCCCCCACCCCGCCCACCGTTTGCAAGAATGGCATCGCAACGCGCTCGGGTATCGGTTTACCCGCGCCTTCCCGCCGCGGAGCGTAATGGCATCATTTGAATTAATGAGACAAAAAAAACCACCCAGCAGCAATGCTTAGGGAGGCTCCAGGCTCGATACCGCACGCCCTGATGTCAGCTGCCACAGGTGCTAGGCCCTTCGCGTGAGCCAAACTCCGATCCCATGAACTGTTGCTCATTCGCCTGCCCCCGTGCGTGCGTGAGTGAATGCGCGTTTGAGCCAGCGTGCGCTTGTCAATGTGTGTGCGCGTTTGAGCGTGCGTGTGTCTGTGTGTCTTGCGTGTGCGTTTGAGCGTGCGTGTGTCTGTGTGTCTTGCGTGAGCGTTTTAGCGTGCATGTGTCTGTGTGTCTTGCGTGTGCGTTTGAGCGTGCGTGTGTGCATGTGTCCGCGTGTCTTGCGTGTGCATTTCAGCGTGCATGTGTCTGTGTCTCTTGCTTGTGCGTTTGCACGTGCGTGCATGTGTCTGTGTGTCTTGCGTGTGCATGTGTGTGTGCATGTGTGCGTGCATGTGTACGCGTGTCTTGCGTGTGCATTTGAGCGTGCATGTGTCTGTGTCTCTTGCGTGTGCGTTTGAGCGTGCGTGTGTGCATGTGTCTGTGTGTCTTGCGTGTGCATTTGAGCGTGCATGTGTGTGTGCGTGTGTGTTTGCATGTGTCCGCATGTCTTGCGTGTGCATTTGAGCGTGCATGTGTCTGTGTGTCTTGCGTGTGCATTGAGGGTGCATGTGTGTGTGCATGTGTCCGCGTGTCTTGCGTGTGCATTTGAGCGTGCATGTGTGTGTGCATGTATCTGCGTGTCTTGTGTGTGCGTTTGAGCGTGCATGTGTGTGTGCATGTGTCTGTGCGTCCTGCGTGTGCATTTGAGCGTGCATGTGTGTGTGCATGTGTCTGTGTGTCTTGCGTGTGTATTTGAGCGTGCGTGTGTCCGCGTGTCTTGTGTGCGCGCTTGAGCGAGCGCTCCCGTGCGTGCGTGCGCGCGTGGGTGGACGTGTGTGTCTGTGTTGTGTTCACGCGCCCGCGCGCGTGGGTGTGTGCGCGCGCATTTCCTCCGCGCAGGAAGACGCTGCAGCTGGCTCGGCAGCTGCGTGAGCGGGCGGTGGAGGCGCAGGCGTGCTACAGCCTGGGCAACACCTGCACCCTCATGCAGGACTACTGCCGCGCAGTCGACTTCCACCTCAAGCACCTCGCCATCGCACAGGAGCTGCAGGACAGGCAGGTGCTCCCCCCCCGCCCGCCACCCCGACAAGCTTGCGCGCTCCTCCTGCAGGGCTCCATCTCCGGCCGTGCCGTCGTGCCAATGCGCGCACGTGTCAATCGCCCAGCCCATTCTTTCGATTTCGCTCGCGAAAGGCTGTCGTCGGCTTTGCCGTCGAAACCGCGTGCGTTTGGTCACCGGCTGCCGGTCGAATTGGGTCGCTGCGATCCGCGCGGCGGTTTCGCTTCCGAGGCCGCGACCGGTGGACCTTCGCAGTCAGCCTCCGGGTTCCGTGTCGACTGATTATGATTGCCTCCGGCGCTTTGAGTGGCCGTGGATGAATTGCGTTGGCCGCGTGTGCGCACTCGCCCGCCTCGAAAGCTCCCAATGTCTGCGTCGCTTTGAACGTACGTGTGTTGAACTTCGTTCGTGCCGTACGTAGTAGCCAACCGTGCTGATCGGAGGTGTGGGGGAGGGGGGGTGAGAAGGACAACGAACCAAGCAGAAAAAAAAATCAGTCCTTGAGAAATTAGTTTTTCAACCTAAATTTTACAGAGCGTTCCAGACGGCCGCGGGAGCGCTCCTGAAAGCGCGCGACGCGGTGACCGCCGCCTCCGTCCGACGGCTATCCAGAAGCCGCCGCTGCGGGGATGACCGGAGTTCGCGCGACGGCGTTCCGCGCGCTTCGACGAGATCGGCGAGTGTATTGCGGTTCATTTGTGGCGTACAGCACTCTCGTGCGCAATAAGCTGCGGCCACCTTATAGGGTGCTGGACGTGTCAGCTAGCGAGCAGCTCGCTTATCTCGCCAGCTCAAGTGGTTGGCTGCAAGCGCAAGAGACAAAAGCAGAACCCTTCCAGAATTGACATTTCTCCCTCCCCCCGCCCGCCCGCCCGCCACCAACCCTCTAATTAATGCCTCCACAATGCGAGTTGGACAGCAGCTGCCTGCTTAGCTGGCCACAGGCCTGTCATTAGTGTGGAGAGTGCCACGTGCTGGTTGGGGTGGTGGTGGTGGTGGGGCTTAGTGTTGCGCAGAGGTCGCAAACGGGTTTTGATTCCTTACCGTACCCGTACCCGGCTGGGTACGGGTAGCCGGGTATCGGGTAGGGTACGGGTATCGGGTACCCGGTTGCGACCTCTGGTGTTGCGTCACCATCTCTTCGTCGCGTCCACCTGTTGACTCCTGCACGAGAGTGGGATGCACTTCGTAAGTCTCGGTGCACATTAGCAGCTGCAGAGTGCTCGTGTGTAAGGGGCCATTCATTGAGTACGTACGCATGGAGGGGGGAGGGGGGGTTAACCCAAATGCGTACGCGCGCGTATGGGGGGGGGGGTCTACTGACAATGTACGCATAGGAAACGGGGGTGGGGCGGGGGGGTGTGAAGCCTCGATAATAATTTGTCTCCATTGGCCTTCAGATGAGTTAGATAGTCCGGCGGTGGACTGTCTGTTTGCTTAAACACGTTAATATTATTAATCCTTGATCGCTTCTGCGTAGATTAAATATCGTCTGTTCTGTAGGATTCAGCGGGGGGGTTGGGGGGTGCGTCAGGCGTACGCACACAGGTGACGAGGGGGTATAAAAAGTCGGCGTGTGTACAGGGAGGGGGGGAGGGGTCAAGTTTTGACAGATTTTTGCGTACGGACTAAATGGATGGCCCCTAAGTGCACGCGCGCGCGGGTGTCGGGGAGCGGGTGGTGTAGCGGTGAGCGCCACGCTGCGCCAAGAACCCGGCCACCCGAGTTCGATTCCAGTGCCAGTGACGATTATCTGGACCGGTCCTGGCCTCTCCTAGATCGACTCAGCCTCAAACATCGTCACTAGGGAGACAAAGGCGGCCGGGCGTTGTGCTGGCCACTCACCCCTCTCGCGTGTCGTGCCTTCCCGGCCTCCATAGGTGCTACGCTCACAGCACTTGATCCAATTTTCTGTTACGGGCTATGCGGGGCATCTTTGTTTTGTTGCACGGAGAGCATCTGTGTAGCCCAAAAGCCGCCGCGCTCGGGTTTTATTGCGTAGAAAACGCTACGGATATTGCGCACGCAGACAGGCGACATAGGGCGGGCACCGGTATTTAATGCCAGTCAAATTATGTTCTATAAATAGTCAACATCAATAGAGAGCGAGCGTTGTGCATTATACCTCCTTGTATCACAGATCTGTATGGAGTACAATTTCCATTGCTTGAACAGGCATTCATGTACAGAATTGCATACGCTTGAGTCATTATATAGTACCGTACGTAGATGTACTGCCGTATTGTCAATCTACTGCTGGAAGCTTGCGTTCTCATGCTGCACGGGTCAAGGAGGTTATTTGACCATACTTCAGCCTTGCAGACACTTATGGCAACTGGGCATGCAACGTGGTCACCCATCAAAGCACTCTCAGTTCTCAATCCTAGCGAGCTTCTTGTGAACTCCGTCACTTCCAGGGTGATTTGGTCATAGCTTTTGCCTAAATTGACATTCGTATAGAGAATGGTTTGCAGTCTAGTACAGGAATCCACCGTTCAGGGTGCTTCAATTATTTTTTAACACTTCTGAGAATTTGCAACAATTCTAGATTTGAAGCTTTCGTGACTGCAAGGATTCATATTCTTAGGTTTTTTCGGTAAAGTCACGTAGGTAAAAATTTAAAATTAAAATTTGCAACAACGCCACAAGAAATGTGCCAACGGGCTCTGGAGACCACCTGGAGGAGATTCGAAGCACGTGTTGACAACGATGGCGAACAAGTGGAGACTATTTAACTTTTTGAAGCTATTAACATGACATTTGTTATCATGTTACAGTGTATTATCCGTTCTTTTCCCATTAAAAACGATAGTCCCATGTAAATGTTAACATGTTTTTGAAGCACCCAGTATATATGTGTTTGTGTACGTGTGTATATGCAACCAGTGCTTTATTTCAGCCACATCAGTCCGAAACGCTGTCAAGGAACTCCTTTGGCCATTCATAGGATTACAGAAATGCAGGGTATGAATAATATAGGGGTTTCAATACATATGCCTGCTACTCTAGTGGTAGTGCCTTACGCCGGCAATCCCTCATTACGCTGCCAGCCTGAGCGGCTTCATAGAAAATACCGAGTGACGAATCAATCCCCCGGCGTGCGCACGCTCGTGTGTGCGTGCGTGTGTGTGTGCGTGTGTGTGTGCGTGTGTGTGTGCAATCTTAAAGCACATGTTACCCCTTACTCTATGAACACTGACGCACATCGAAATCCGTAGGGGGGGGAATTGGGTTTGTTGCTGCCGACTTCGAGGCGTCGTGAATTCACGCTTTTAATCGAGCCGCTTCGAGGGTTAATTTAAAGCTGCGGCGGCAGGCTCGGACGGCTGTCTTTGGCGAGCGGAACGCGACGTCGTTGCCAGTAGCGGTGGCGATTATCCCCCCTTGCTCGCTGGCGGGAGTCGAGCAGCCGCGTAGCGAGATGTGTTCACGAGAGAGTCCCCCTTGAGCTGATAAACACGTGCGTTCACACACACACACACACGCGCGTGCGTTCACACACACACACACGCGCGCGTGCGTTCACACACACACACGCACGCGCGTTCACACACACACACACGCGCGCGTGCGTTCACACACACACGCGCGCGCGTTCACACACACACGCGCACGCGCGTGCGTTCACACACACGCGCGCGCGTTCACACACACACGCGCGCGTGCGTTCACACACACACACACGCGTGCGTTCACACACGCACACGTGCGTGCGTTCACACACACACACACACGCGTGCGTTCACACACACACACACGCGCGTGCGTTCACACACACACACGCGTGCGTTTACACACACACACACGCGCGTGCGTTCACACACGCACACACACACGCGCGCGTGCGTTCACACACACACACACGCGCGTGCGTTCACACACACACACGCACGTGCGTTCACACACACACACACGCGCGTGCGTTCACACACGCACACACACACGCACGTGCGTTCACACACACACACGCGCACGTGCGTTCACACACACACACACACACGCGCGTGCGTTCACACACACACACACGCGCGCGTGCGTTCACACACACACACGCACGCGCGTTCACACACACACACACGCGCGCGCGTTCACACACACACGCGCACGCGCGTGCGTTCACACACACGCGCGCGCGTTCACACACACACACGCGCGTGCGTTCACACACACACACACGCACGTGCGTTCACACACACACACACGCGCGCGTGCGTTCACACACACACGCGCGCGCGTTCACACACACACGCGCACGCGCGTGCGTTCACACACACGCGCGCGCGTTCACACACACACACGCGCGTGCGTTCACACACACACACACGCACGTGCGTTCACACACACACACGCGCGTGCGTTCACACACACACACGCGCGCGTGCGTTCACACACACACACACACACGCGTGCGTTCACACACGCACACGTGCGTGCGTTCACACACACACACACACGCGTGCGTTCACACACACACACACGCGCGTGCGTTCACACACACACACGCGTGCGTTTACACACACACACACGCGCGTGCGTTCACACACGCACACACACACGCGCGCGTGCGTTCACACACACACACACGCGCGTGCGTTCACACACACACACGCACGTGCGTTCACACACACACACACGCGCGTGCGTTCACACACGCACACACACACGCACGTGCGTTCACACACACACACGCGCACGTGCGTTCACACACACACACACACGCGCGTGCGTTCACACACACACACACGCGCGCGTGCGTTCACACACACACACGCACGCGCGTTCACACACACACACACGCGCGCGCGTTCACACACACACGCGCACGCGCGTGCGTTCACACACACGCGCGCGCGTTCACACACACACACGCGCGTGCGTTCACACACACACACACGCACGTGCGTTCACACACACACACGCGCGTGCGTTCACACACACACACGCGCGCGTGCGTTCACACACACACACACGCGCGCGTGCGTTCACACACACACGCGCGCGCGTTCACACACACACGCGCACGCGCGTGCGTTCACACACACGCGCGCGCGTTCACACACACACACGCGCGTGCGTTCACACACACACACACGCACGTGCGTTCACACACACACACGCGCGTGCGTTCACACACACACACGCGCGCGTGCGTTCACACACACACACACGCGTGCGTTCACACACGCACACGTGCGTGCGTTCACACACACACACACGCGTGCGTTCACACACACACACACGCGCGTGCGTTCACACACACACACGCGTGCGTTTACACACACACACACGCGCGTGCGTTCACACACGCACACACACACGCGCGCGTGCGTTCACACACACACACACGCGCGTGCGTTCACACACACACACGCACGTGCGTTCACACACACACACACGCGCGTGCGTTCACACACGCACACACACACGCACGTGCGTTCACACACACACACGCGCACGTGCGTTCACACACACACACACACGCGCGCGTGCGTTCACACACACGCACACACGCACGCGCGCGCGCTTCGCCTTTGTCCCGCTGCTTGCCAAACAATAGGAGTACCTTCTATTGCGCAATGTCAGAATGAGATCGCTTCACTTGCAGGAAATCCGTCGAGCCACGGGTCTCTCTTTCACAGATGTCCAGCGTGGGTTCGGTCGGCAAGAGTCGTCGACGGATTTATAACGAATCGACATAAAATCGCGTCCCAGCTCGACATCAGAGCGTCGTTGTTTGTCTGTTGTTGTTGTTGTGGCTGTTGTTGTTGCTGTTGTTGCTATCTTGCCTCGGCCCATCTTCGGTCGGGCAGGGTCGGAGAGGCGCGGGCGTGCTTCAGCCTCGGCAATGCCCACTCGGCCCTGGGGAGCAACCGAGAGGCCGTGCGCTTCGTCACCAAGCATCTGGAGCTATCGCGCGAGGTGGGGGTCGCGCCACGCAGCGCACGGCCGCACGCCGCCTCGCGTACGCTTCGCTATTCGCGTTCGCAGAATGTGGGAGCAGGTCTGGAAGCTGTCCACGTGTTAATGGTTAGAGCGCCAGACTTGGGAGTCGCCCGTTGCATTTTGGATCTGCCCGGCGCAGCAGTTGAAGCAATGAGGCACGTTTATTAAATTCCCGCCACCACCACCACCGCCGCCGCCATCGCCTCTGTCCACCCAGCAGTATAAGTGGGATAAAGTGTGATAAAGTGTGTGCACTCCCACCTGCGTCAAGACGCATGACCAGCGTGGACGAGGAGGCCAAAATAGCCTCTCGAGAGTCGAGAACTCCCCTCTCTCTCTTGGTCCTTCCGCCAGCAGTGACCTGAGCGAGGAATTCGAGGGCAGCACCTTTACCGCAATGCGGCCAGACCTCAAGGTGCTCAAGACGCTGACGATTGGTCAAAGTGGCGCGTGCCTGTGACGACAATCTTCTCTAGCACGGCGTGTGAGGAGGTGCATCACAACCACCGACCTGCTGTGGATAAGAGGCAGATGGAGGCATCTCAGGAGCATGGCGCCGCGGTGGCTAGGAGATGTTAACTACCTCGCCTGGTGTACAGGAGGTCGTGGAATCGATTCCGACCCCGACGCCTGCTGAATATTTGGAGTTTGCGTGTTATCTCCCCGTGGTCGTGTTGATTTTTCTCCGGGTCCTCCGGTTTACCCCTCCACATTTAGAATCAACATCGGTTCTTTGGCTGTTGTACATTTCCGCGCGATAAGCCACTTCGTTGAGCCGTCATTTGTGGCTCAATGGGCCTTACCTGGTAAAAGAAAAAAAGTGTAGGTGTAGTTCTGTAAATTTATCTTCCAGAGGCTGTTTGCCAGAATAGTTCGAAGTTGTATTCCTGCTTTCTGCGAAAGTTTTAAAATGGAAAATGTCTTCGTCCCATTACACGATGCCGATAAGTGCAAGTGAATATCATTGGGGGGTGGAGGGGTGGGTGGACATCATGACATTCAGACTTTATTTTAAGATCGCCAGCAATGTCGAAATAAATAGTGTACGTGTTGGTTGCATAACAATTGAGTCAATACGTGAGGCGCCGACTTGCATTGGGAAAAAAAATGTAGTGTCGATAGGATTAGCACGGTTGGCGACGTATGGTGCGGAAGAAGTTCAACACTTACGGGATACGGTGCTGCGCGCGAAGGTGTTAGACATACAGCACTGTGACTTTGTGGAATTATACAGCGTCCCGAGTCTCAAACGCATCTCAAGATGCTGGACAGACACAGCTGGGCACGTTTTATCGAGAGACAGAGAGAGAGAGAAAAAGACAGTTCTAGGCAGAAGATGGACCTGAATAGGTGGTATGCAGTTGGACAGCATGGATGGCTGGGGCAAGGAAGTTCCAGATAATGGGGGGCAGTGGAGGAGAATGAGCCACCTCCCACGTATTCCTTGCATGCAGTTTGAGTTGCTTCTTTTCATTTGCGTAGTGCAGTGGTTCTTTAACCCCAGACCTCTCGCCTGATGGTCCAATTCTTTCACAGCTTGCAAGGCGCTCTATGCAATCGTAGATCACGCACAGGCGCAAGCACTAACCAGTTGGATGTATCTTGTGATTGAAATAATAACTACTGACTTGCATAGGGTTTTGATTTTCACGCTATACAACAAATAGTAGAATGGATCTGTATGCGTGTAATTCGTGTGTATTTACTTTTAAAACAATTTATTTTACATGTATGAATGTATGTTGAACTGCTTTCTCACTGTACGTAGCCAACCGTGCTAATCGGAGGTGCGGGGTAAGGACAGCAAGCTAAACACGCACACAAAAATACCCCATCAAAACAAGCCCGTGAAATCAAGACATGGCTGCGCGTGTGATATTTCGGTTCCAGTACGAATCGCATCGAGGAATACGTGTCGCAGGGCGGAAACGATGAAAGTTCGCGTGACGCGGAAACACAAACACCGCTTGTGTGTGTCCGCCACTGCTGTCAACATTAACCCACCTCAGCCATGCCCTCCCACTAAGCCCAGCCGTACAATTGAAACCCACGACGGCGGCTGAACGCGGCGGTGGCAATCGGCGCTTCCCCCTAAGTTTTGACAGAAGCGCCAGACGGTCGCACCCACCACCTCCCCCTTCCCACACCGTCCTTGCAGATCGGTGACCGCAGTGGAGAGGCCACGGCTCGGGCCAACCTGGAGGAGCTGCACGGCATTCTGGCAATCAACAACAACAACAACAACGAGGACAACGGCACGAAGCGCCCCAACGAGCTGCCCATCCGCGGGAACGAGTTCACGACGCAGGGTGAGACGCGCGTGGGATCGCAGTCCGTGGCACGGCCGACGAGCGCGCACGAAGATCAACTGCACAGGGGCATCACGGGCTGGAGGGGAGAGGCCCCTGCGAGCATTTGCGCCACGGAGAGGAGGAGGGGCAATTGGACAGGGGGACCGCAGTTTCATTACCTGCACGAGGGATAATCCTCAGCGTGGCTAAGCCACCGTCTTACGCACAGATCACCCTATCCACTGCGCTTCTTCCCATGTAGATTTTTTATTTTATTATATTCCAGTACAGAGCGTAAAATCGTGGGCATAAATCTCAAAGCTGTGCTCCTGAGGTTAGAGGAGGAGGGAGATTGGGCTCTCTGCACCATGCAGATTTTTAATCAAGTTCGTGATAATAAATGCTGTTGTTTTATTCATAACAAGGATGCATAATGATGTATAGCTTATCGCGAATCTAATGCAAGAACAAAGTCTCACTGTAGGACAGTGTTCAGTGCGGCTTGGTGAATGGGAGCCCCAAAGGATATCACGAGCCGCGAATGATAATCAATCAAACTCAAGTTACCAAACTCAACTTCAAATCAAGATTCAAGCTACCAGGTTCATAGTATAGTTTTGATAACCACCCTGCTGACGGGCGTTTCATGAATGTAAGTGTTTCATTTAAGAAATCTCTTCTTGCTTTCACGTGTAACAAGTGTGTCTCAACGTCCATTGCTCAGCAACACCTTGCAGATATTATTTCCCGTTCGTGCGGCCAATTCAGGCAGGTGCTTAGAATTTGTCAACGCTTTACCGGCGTTCTATTGTTTTTCGTCGACTGTTTTTTTTGCGCCGTTTTTTTGTTGCTGTTGTTGTTGTTGTTGCGCCTGCCATTGCTTACCGGGGCTACGGCGTGAATAAAAAAAACGTCGGGGGCTTTTTACGCCGAACGGCGGCGGTGGAAGGCGGGCAGGTCCCGTGCGGGCACGTCGGTCTCCCTCGGGATGCTCGGCTCCACTGTCGAGCGAAACACGGAGGAGGCAATTAGACGTTAATAGCCTCCCACGGGGCCTCGCTAAGCAGCCGGTGTTTAATTGGAATAAACTGGCTCCGAGTTATTCGATCACCAGCAAGCGCGAGGCGAACGATGCCTAAACCCCGCGGCCGATTGCGGTGAACCCTTGTTGCGCTCGTGCGAGTGAAATTGCGCTTATTTTGCTGCGAATTCAAGCGGAAACTCGGGCCGGCTTTTCCTTCCCCCGCTGCCGGTGGCCGTCAGAGGAGTGGGGACTCGCGAATTGGACGCGGTGAGTGTCGATGTCGATGCGTTCGCGCGGAGCTTTCACGTTTGCCTCTTTTTAGCGGAGCGAGCGCTCGTCGCGCCGAGGTGGATGGAGGCCGGCTGTCTGAGCGGTGTGAGTGAATGGCTAGCTAGGTGTAAGGCCATGAAACCTTACACCATGTCTGTTATGAAACGGATACCAGGTACATACCACATCAGGGAGAATGGTGTGGCAACCGGACAAGATTGAGTTTCATAAGCGTTCGAACGCTGGAAGCGGACTTGCCATCATATCACTGTATATTGTCACCGTACAGACATTCACCTACTGCTTCTGTGTACTGTATGTATGTATGCTGAACTTCTTTCGCACCGTTCGTAGCCAACCGTGCTAATCGGAGGTGCAGGGGAAGTAAAACAAACACAAAAAGTAGTTCTAAAAAAAATATTTTCAATCGAGATTATTTAAAAGTGCATAGCCCCAGTGTTTTACTAATATCGGAACAGCATTCCAGACGGCCGCAGAAGTGCACCTGTAAACGCGCAATGCGGTAATCGTCTTTGTTCAATGTCCAGCCAGAAGCCGCTACGAGGATAACCGGAGTTCGCGTGATGGTTTATGCTCCTATGTCAAATATGTCACATGTAAGGCTGCGTGTCACATGTAAGGCGTTTGTCTACAGAGTTTATAATATGCGCAGAGTATATTAGCATGTCTACATATCATTGTCCACAAAGCAAACTGCACAGTGCAGAAAAAATCCATTGTTGAACTGTAATTCTATGCTCCCACGTCTATGCTCACCCTTTTTAGTAACCCTCACTAACCAGCGTGGTGAAACATGGTCAAATAACCCCCGTAGCTGACATGGCTTGGGGGAACCTTCATCCAGCAATGGATTGACAATGGACTCAATATTTTAAATCACCCCATCTGTTGCGTGTACTACGGCAGTCGATGTTTAAACTGAGCAGATTCTCCTCGCTGTTGTCATCTGTGCCCAGGGGCTAGACCGAGAATCATCCATAGGCACAGCGTGGACAACATGGAGCTCATGAAGCTCACCATTGACAAGGTGAGCCCTCGAGATAATGTATGCTCATGTCAGCCGCGGTGGTGAAATGTTATCTCCCTCGCCTGGTATGCAGGACGTCGTGGATTCGATCCCGACTGTATGTTTGGAGTTTGCATGTTCTCCCCGTGGTCGCGCGGATTTTTCTCCGCGTCCTGCGGGTTTCCCCTCCACATTTATAATCGTGCATTTAGAGAATTTCGCTTCTATAAATTTCCATGTAATAAAACACTTCGTTGAGCTATCATTTGTGACCGGGTCGGTTCTGAATAAATAAACAATAGTTTAGTTGAAATACATTCTAGTTTTTAAATGTATATTTGAGTGCTTTATGTGGTTCCGTTGTTTTTCCTGCCACAAAAATCGAGTGGGTAGATATTTCTATTCGGCTCAGAGGTCAAAGTGCTGAGCAAGCACCACTGAGATTCTGGGTTAAAATCCAGGCAGCCACCTATGAACACATTCCTGCGGAGGGAGCTGGTAAGAACGTTGGGTTGCTCAGTCAATGGCCAAGGTCAACGGCGGCGTGTTGTATTCCGCAAATATGGCCGACTGTGAGGGCGGGCACAAGCCGGCGTGAGTAGGTTAAACGTTGAGTTTTATAAGGGCACCACGGGGTGACCAGCCCCTCAACCACCCAGCCCCACCCCTCCCACCCCCCACCCAGCCCCACCCTCCCCACCCAGCCCCTCCCCACCCTCCCCACCCAGCCCCTCCCCCCCCTCCACCCAGCCCCACCCCTCCCATTTTTGGATGCACGACGGACGGACGGACACAATAATCCCCTGTGGGCTGGTGGAACCAGGTGGTTCCTGCTAGTATTAAACTGGATTCTCAAGTGTAGTGTGTCTTGATGGTCTCAAGCCAGTAACCAATAATTGCACTAAACAACCCATCACATTACATTTGGTACTGCGCTGAATTTGCCTAAATTCCAGCTCTGAGAAATACAAATATTGATCACGTGTCAAATATTACTCCTGGCGGCAAAGCGGGTGGGAAAGTGCTGGCCCCTTGTGCGTGCACCATCGGTCGCTTGAAGAGATCTCGGAGGTAGCTTTGTGATGTCCAGCTCCATGGGCTGTTCTTCAACACGAAACATGTAACTGCTTTTCTAGAATCCGTACCATTGGACGAAGGTGATCTCGATACCTCGTCTTGCCGATTGCATAATGAGCGTAACATCATGGAAAAACACCAACACTTTGTTAAAAAGGAGTGGGTAGAGAAAAAAATAGATATGCCGTATTCCCTCTTGGGTTTCTGCACGCGCTCTGGAGTGTTTGGGGGACATCTCGACTCGTTGAGTCTCCGTGCCTTGCTGTGTTGGGTGTGGGCTGTGGTGGTTCTGGCATGCACCCTTCCACATCTCACTCTTTGCGCTCGGCTTATCGCTGTGGTCCCATGGCGTGGCTGTAACTCAAATCAAAGAAAAGAAAAAATAATATAAAATAAAAAAACATGTTTTTCTTATTCCACTGTAAATGTAAAAAAACATGATATTGCTCCGTTACATCAGAACCTGGCATAAGTGCATCATTACACAGTTCTGAACTTATCGCTTTCACGAGCATCTCAGCTGAGACAGCAGACAGCTGAGAATTGGAGTTTTCCCTTTGAACGTGCAAGTGGATTATGATATGCGGTACCGTTCAGGGCTAAAAACCCTCTCTTTTTCCATTCCTCCCTTAAAACCCATGTCTTTTCCCGAGCCCATCATGCTTCAGCTACTCATTGCCCCCCTCCCCTAGCTACGACCAGACGTACCCCAAACGCTATCACCAACCCTACCCCTATCACTACCCCTATCACTACCCCTATCACGACCCCTACCCCAATCTCTCCTTAACCTCACCTGCCTCTTCTCCTGTCACCATAACTACACCACCACTTTTAATAAAAACCCCAGTATACTCTTCGTTCTTTCGGTAAAGTCACGTAGGTAAAAAATGAAATTAAAATTAATTTTAAAATAATAAAAAATCACGACGTTTCGGAGGCAACACAAGTTTCCGTCATCAGGTGGGACCGTCACAGCCGGATTTGCTGCATCAAGTCACTTGATGACGGAGACTTGTGTTGCCTCCGAAACGTCGTGATTTATTATTATTTTATTTTTTATTAATTTTAATTTCATTTTTTACCTACGTGACTTTACCGAAAGAACTAAGAGTATGAATCCTTGCAGTCACGAAAACTTCAAATCTAGAACAACTCCAGTCTCTATTATCTCAACCATTATCACCACATGGTACACTTCTATAATTGCTGTAAATCGCCTTTGTTGTAAGGCGCCGTGTAAATCTCCACAAAAGCTAAGGCGAGATTTCGCCTGTATTTATTTTTTGACTTTGTCTTCCCAGAGCCAGAACGGTGGTGACGAGGCGAGGAGTCCAGGCCAGGGCCGCCCACCGCTCGTCAAACAACTCTCCGGCTGCTCCTTCCTCCCGTCGCGTCTCAAGGGCCGCAAGTACCGTGAGGGCATCACGACCGCCGAGCGGAGATCCACGGCCGCCGCCGCAGCCGCCACCGCCGATACAGACGATGTCACGGTGCAGCTTCCCAACATGGTGAGTCCAGAACGCGCGTGATTGACTGGTGCAGTCGATGCTCTCTCGCGGCTGGGTTGATGTCGTTTTTGTTCTATTTATTTCCGCGTAGTTTTATCCCCATTTGGCTCCCGGCGTCGGGTCACTAAACAATGTGTCAACTTGGCAGTGTAAGCCTCTCGGTGTTAGAAAACTGCCCACGGAAGCGGATAAGAGAGAGGCTACCTCTGACAATCCCTTCATGCACCACAATAGGAGGGGAGCAGCTCTTTACCAAACACTTTGCTACTGCGAGTAATATCCATCACGTGACAGTAAAACTGATATTTTTAACCATGAGAGTTGGAATTTAGCCAAATTAAGTTTAAACCCAAATGTAATGCTATTGGTGTTTTTATGCGCTTGAGAACCAGGTTTACTCATTAGAGCTGCCTCCTGGATTCAAAACTGATATTTTAAAGCATGACAGTTGGAATTTAGCCAAATTAAGTTTAAACCCAAATGTAATGCTACGGGTGTTTTTATGCGCTCGAAAACCAGGTTTACTCATTAGAGCTGCCTCCTGAATTCACACCCAAGGCACACGGTGATGCCAGCTCAGCAGTCTGATGTGTGAGCCACCCCAGCCACCTCGTGTGTTTAAATTAGGCGTCTTGGCGCATGCCCTCTCATCCCGCAGCTTTTGGTGGAGGGGGTGAGTCGAGTGCTCGGATCCATCGTGTGTGTGTGCGAGTGTTATCCGTGATATGATTTCCTTCTACGTGTGGTGTTTCTTCTGGCTACATTGGTTTCCTGCCACACACAAAATAATCTTTGAGTAATCGTTGACACGTTCTAAGCCGGGAAAGTCCTAAACAAAGTATGTAGAGACTGACTCAGTGAGGAATTTCTGGATAACAATGTACAGTGCGTTATTATCATTACAATCGATCTCTCTGGGGGTCTGAGGCATGAACGACGAGATCTCGGATTTGATCTGTAATAGAGTTTTTTTAGGGGTTAGATCGCGTAAACATAAATGTGTCGCCAAACCTACCGCCACCCGACACAGCCAATTAGTAAGGTTTGTAACGTGACTGGCACGGGTGGGTTTAACGACAGATATATATTTACGCGATCTAACCCAAAAAAAACTTTATTACAGGATAATATTGGTCGCAACACACGTGCTAAACTGATTTGATCTGGGTTTGAATTCCTGGTTGTGTACACAGTTGATGGTCTCACCCCAGTCGTTACCGTTTGATAATCTACCAACTGTAAAGGAAAATTATCTTTGAACATCCACTTAATTTGGCCTAGCCCACCCTCTTGAGGGCCTTGTTCCAATATGTGATTACACAAGGGATAACACAACTGCGGTTTTTTATTTCATAGACTCAAGCATTCGTACTGGAAGTATGTTGAGTGTGTACAATACGTGACACGAATTACCGTAACGATACCAAGCACAGTAAGGTGGCACGTTCGAGCCACTGATATAAAGTTGCGATAATTACACGCATTGTGCACCCAATACACATTTCACTTGGGGCCGGTTTCATCTGATTATTCCTTGCCAGGCTTAAGCCCGTCCTCGCGTCCCGCGTGTGAGTGAGCACAGCTTCAGGGACTTGTAATAATAATGTTATATTATTTGGGTCTTTCGGTAAAGTCACGTAGATAGGTTCAAAGAAAATAATAAACAAAAACTACGACGTTTCGATCACAACACAAGCGGTCGAAAGTCGTAGTTATTTTTGTTATTTTTTCCTTTACCGAAAGACCCAAAGAATATGAATTCCTGCAGCCACGAAAGCTTTAAGTCAAGAAATAATAATGTTGTCTTTACGCCAGCGAGCGGCACCGCAGTGGCAACAACAAACAACAACACTCACCAGCGCGACTTTGTAAGCCGTCGCCAGGAAGGGAAATTACATTTGTTGTCACGATTCGCTGCCGATCCCACCTGTGGTGGTGGTGCCACGGCCGCTTCCCACACCACCCACAGGGCCCGATTAAGATGTTGTAGGGTCCTGGGCTACAGGTACTGTGAGGGCCCCAGTAATATTTTCAAAGAGAAAACAAAGTTAAAGAAAAATACAATTTATTTTTACAAGGCTCACAACAAATAAAATTCAGCATTCACAAATGAAACAACTTTTCACTTCATCTCTGGAGGCCCCTACAGCTGGCAAAGGCCCCTGGGCTTGCAGCCCCTAAAGCCCCGTGTCTTAATCCGGCCAAGAACCCCCCCCCCCCAAACCCAATGCTCTTTCGTGTTGATACTAAGAGGGAACGCCGTCACAGCATGCTTCGTGGGGTATATATTTGTGTCGTGCGCGCCTTCGTGAGCACCGCGGATCACAACGGCAGTGCGACTCTGCCACTCGTGAGAATGTGAGCGGGGAAGGGACGAGCGAGTATTGTGGCGGGGCATGCAGCACGCAGCGAGTCTGTAGCGGAGGGTTTTCGCCTTTGAAAGGAAATATATTTTGAAAGTGTTCATTTGTTTTACTCACAAGTGTGTTAATTGTGAATTTTCAAAATGGGACTTGTGTTCTCAGATAAGTCAATTCATTGCGATGTTACGTGAAAAGAAATGCGTAGAAATTATTGTGTGTACTTCAAAGACTTTGTTTGGCAATCCTTTTACATTGATCATTTTATACGTTCTCGGTATTAGATCAAGTGGCTTCAGATTAATTCAGATTAAAATCGAGTTTCAGCATATCGTACACGGCCAGTGATTTTGGAATTGCCATGACGTGTCCTTTATCTCCTCAGGGCCGGGCTGTGATCTTTAAATGCCGGCTCTTGGATTGTTCGCGGAAAGCGGAGGTGCATTGTTTTTATCTGAACTCTGACCTTTAGTGAAATTTCCACTGCTGCGTAGATACCTTATCGTCCCGAGGTGGACGACGAAGCAGGGTCTTGCTGTATTTGTACATAACCTGATTTTTTTCAAGGCCGTAGTGACAAAGTTATTGTGACCGGCATTTTTTAAGTTACAGCTCTCGCCGTTGTTTCTTACAAAAAAAAAAAATCTTACAGCTAAAAAAAACAAGTGTGCTGAAAAATACGTGCACTTTCAACTCGTCTGAATATCGTGTTGCCTCACATATTTAAGGTTTCAGTCAACTTGAAATCATTTTAAAGTAACATAAAATGTGCAGGAGTAATACAAGTATTATTTCTGTGGCACAGATTGGTAGGTTATTTTTTTTTCGATGGCTGTGCGGTTACGATATCGCTTTAGTGGACGTTTCTTGCTGTTTAAATGGTTAACGGTCCATTGATAGGACGTGTGGTTTTGATTGCAGATAACATCGGCATAGAATCAGTGAAAAACACGCGAGAAGTGATGGACAACAGCAGAACGAATGGAAATAGAGGCATGTTTTAAATCGGGGCTCCGGTTCTCTGCAGCTCTGCACGTGAAGTTTATGGACGTTTAATGTTTTCCCGAATGATCGTTTCGGGGTGCATTGTCTGTGACAGCTGCTTGTGCTGATGCGTATCCACGTGTATCCATGCGCAGAGGATCAGCCCTGAACCGTCGTCGGACAGCGAAGGATTTTTCGAGCAGCTGAGTCGATCCCAGGCTGACCGCATGGACGATCAACGCTGTTCCTTCTTGTCCCCGGGAGACACTGCCTCTTCACTGACGGTGTCAACCAACAGGAACTGTAAGGAGACAAGGACGCTGTCTTTACACACCGTTCGCTTGTCTCCTATTGGTTGCGTTCATTCTGGCCTTCATAGGTGCTGCTCGCTAACAGCACTGGCTCCAGCGGTCTGTTGACGCTATACGGGGGGATCTTTGTCCGTGCGCAGCCCGCCTCCCGTCGCCGCAGACGGAGGAGTTGCTGGACCTCATCATGCAGACGCAGGGACGGAGGCTCGACGACCAGCGCGCCACGGGCTCCGACCTGCCCGGCCTCAACGTGGCTGAGTGCGGCGGAGCAGCGGCCGCCGGCGGAGGCCTCGGGCAGCTGCTGGCCAACGGGGAGGTCCCGCAGCCCGACGACGACTTCTTCGACATGCTCGTCCGCTGCCAGGTCAGGTTGGGGTGGGGTGGGGGTCACAGCCGCACTTCTACAAGTTGGGGGTGCCCGCCGTTGCGAGCGGTTCCCGGTCGTCGTTGAGATGGCTATGGCTGCAAGGTTTTGGTAGTACATGTTGTTTATGCCATTTATTGTGAAAATTCTGTCACAGTTCCTATGATTGATTTTTCATTGCTTTCATGGCTTTATTTTGGTGATTTCGAAAAGTGTATTGGTTTAGCCATGTTTGTTTGTTGTAGTACAGAGCTAGACTGATGGCCTTAATCTAAGTTGTCTTGTGGTTGTTGTTGTTGTTTGACTTGCATCCCACTGGGATTTTTGCACACAGCGTTGGTGTACGGTGTTTTTTCTGCAATATTTTGCTGTCTTTTCTTGGATTTTCTGTTTGCACTTAGTCACTTTAAGATGTTTTTTGTTCATGTTTTTGTTTGTTGCGGTTGCACCCGATTCAAGATCCGAATGGCTCACAGGGCTACACCAAATACATGAAATTGAACTTGATACACGAGCTTCACCCCCCCCCCCCCACTTCGTCACGGATAAGAAGGGGGTTGCGCCGTTCTCTAATTATATCAAATCTACACAATGACAAAAATCGACCAAAAAAATCTCATTTGTTTTATCACCGTTTTTTTTGACGTCTTATACATTTTTTTGGTAACGGTGGATTCCTTTTTGCGTGCCGTGTGTGTCCAACGGTTCGCTCCCCCGCCGCTCGCCGCCGTGCGCCAGGGCTCGCGCCTGGACGACCAGCGCTGCGCCCCGCCACCCGAAGCCCCGCGCGGCCCCACGGTGCCCGACGAGGACTTCTTGAGCCTGATCCAGCGCACCCAGGCCAAGCGTCTGGACGAGCAGCGAGTGTCGCTGCCGCCCGGCCTGCGACGGCCCAGCACCTCCTGAGGACGCACGGCACGCACGGCACGCACGCACGCACGCACTCACTCACACCCCACCACCCCGCTGCTACTTGTCCATTACAGTATTTATTTTTACACTTGCTGTGGTTATTTCAGGGCGAATGGGCACAGTGGCTGCGCGAATGCACCTCTGGGTGCCGCGGTTTGCAGATTAAATTCCAGCCTCACCCCTCCTCCCGCGTCCCCCCCTCTCTTCACCTTCGACATTAAGCTGCAGGATCGTTAGTACTAATGAGCGAGTGCAGACTCTGACCAGGTGAAGGTCCCATGTTGTTTGTTTATGAAGTGAGGCTGTTGTGTGTCATGGCCGCATTTCCTCCCCTTATTTTCTAAATTGTCAGACTGTTCTTTCCTGAATGCTTGCCGAGGCTAAGTGTGCCTGTGTTCAGCCGGCACGATACCCTTTTGCCGCGTCGCACTCGACGGCGACGTTTGATGGCGGAGATTGCGATTGCATCTTACGTTAAATCTTCTGCTGCCGTTAATTGCGCTTGCTGGAAAATGCGCAGTCTGCTTTGGGACGGCTCATCGCTGACCGACCTTTTCCCTCCGGCTTTCCTTCGGGTTCGGCACAGGTGTGGGATGTCTGTTGCAGGGCGCAAATATTCGTGTGGGCAGTGGCGTTGTGTGGTTTACACAGGTCCCGGTGCAAGGAATTAAATGGGGCTCTTCTGTTCAATTCCCCCCCCCCCCCCCCCACTTGGCTCTGGGTCCCCTGTGCATTAGCACTGCCTGCGCGGCTTATGGGATGGTTAACCTAAGTTCCCCATTGTCCCACATTCCATCTCACGTGGGTTAGCAACTGCACTAAAGTAACATACCGTATTTAGGAGGACATTGAACAGGTTGCATCATAGGACCTCCTTTGCCAGTACCAAAATATACTAATATGGGGTTTCCCCTTTTTTCTGGCAACAAAACTGACACCTTTTTGCAAGGAATGCATCAATTATCAGAGTAATTTTTTGTTTGCATTTGACTGCAGGTATTGTGGTTAAATTAAACATGATTCCTTGCAAAAGGTGTAAATTTTGTTGCCAGAAAAAAGGGGAAAACCCCTATTAGTATTGAACAGGTTGGCTGATGCAAGACTTTATTCTAAAATGAAACAGTTATTTGATGTAATAAAGTATCCAAGCTTTTAAAGGTACGTTGCCATTCTTCAAGATTGGTTCACACTATACACAATGCTTATAAAAAAACGTAATCTATTAAATTAAATAATCAAGGTATACAGTCCAGTATTTGTAATTGACTCTCTTGTGGTTTGGCAAAATGAGAGTCTACATTGTAACGGTTTTAGAAATAGCCACATATGTAAGTTTATGCTAAGCCCTATAAAATCCCAAGATCAATGATAATGTGGCTATTGAATGAAAACGCAGTAAACGTATATATGTATACCCATAACGCTTGTGAAAGGAAATATTTTATCGTGTGATAACCGTTTAATCAACTGCCACTCTGAGTCGCATGGTAATCGACTGTGTGCTGGGTTATAGTTTGCAATTTTTACTCTGCGTGCATTAGAAGTAAAATATTGTGAGCCTTTATGAAATTGTGCGCGCTATTGGCTTTAATCACATGGCCGCTGAATATCTCCTCTCTTCTACTTGAACCACCCTGCTGCATTATTGCCCAAAAATCAGGTTTGGTCTCCCCAATACCCTTCTGTTTGTGGTGATTAAGTAAATGTTTACTAAGATAACTTGAGGGTTAACTGTCGCTCGGTGTGTTACAAGATTTGCCAATGCTTACTCTGCTAATCTTTCCTCTTGATACTTAAAGTATATATGGTGGGTGGGCTACATATGATAGTAAGTTAACGTAACTTATTAGTGGTTTCAATGAATTTGGAATGTTGGCCGGAACACACAGATGTGCATTCAATTGCCGTTGTCATGAGTTGAAATTTTTGGATAAAGGAGTGTACAGGGTTGCTCTGAGACCGGGTTACTTTCCTTGAATTTTCCTTTGCAGTCGAGCTGTCTCGGGCATTTGCAATTTGTGTTTTATATTTTAGGGTTTGCATTAAGTCGTTAAGCTTACAGTTGCACAATTTTGCTTAACCGAACAAACATTCCGAATGAAAATAGCAAACAAATCTGTAACGGGCACATACATAGTGGGGGAAATGTAAAATTGTATCACATACGTATAGTATTGAATGTAATGTATATAATTGTTGACTGATTTGATGCGAATGCCGGTTGACAATGTATATATGCCGTACTCCTTAAGTAATTTTTGGGTAACACTGTAAATATTCCAGCTCATTTGGTTTATGTGATGACCAAGTATGATTGTGTGGCACGTACTTGGAAGTGAATAAGACCTTCAATAAAGAGGTTTGCTTGTGAGTCATTCTGCTTGTAAGACAAAACATTATCCAGCTTTACGGGATAATAAATCGGGCGAAGTGATTTTATCAGAGCAATTATAACTTGAAAGTGGAAACGCACAGAATGTTTTCACAGAAGCTGATTTCTGGCACTGCAAGAGCTTAAAAGGCAGGGTCAAAATATTTGTTTATCATAGTTTGTATTTTTTCACAATTCGAAATATTGTATCAGTGTCGTCTCATGAAAAGAAGAATCCATGAGGAGCTGTTGCAGAGCAATGTAATATTATAGAATGGAAAACGGCCCGTAGATGGGAAATCCACAAAACTGCCGTTGTCATTAAAACACTGTAGCTGTTTTTTTAAAATTAACACACCAGGGGGCGCAATGTTGAATTTTTTTCCTGGTGTGAGAAACATGTTGCATAAGAGTTTAATTTGGTGGTTTTAATGATCGGAACCAGAATTTAGTCAAATTAGGTAAATAAAAAAATGTTCGGTTAAAACATGACAAAGTTTTGGAGTCGCAGACCTGATATTTTGCTAAATTAAGTGCACAACTAAATTTAATGTGATGGGGTTTTTTCTTCACTCATTTGTAATCAGGCTAAGACCTTGAACTCTAAACTAAACTTTCAACTAAACATTTTTTTACCAGGGAAGGCCCACTGAGCTATATATCTACTTTTCACAAGCGACCTGACCACAAATAATAGCTGAATGAAGTGGCTTATCACGTGGAAATGTATTGCAGCCAAATAATCTAAACGCACGTTTCTAAATGTGGAGGGAAAACCGGAGGACCTGGAGAAAAATCCACGCGACCATGAGGCACGCAAACTCCTAATATACAGGCGTCAGGGTCGGGATCAAACCCACGACCTCCTGCATACAGGGTGAGGCATTTAACATCTGACCACCGTGGCGCCCCCTCACTACACTGCACTTGAACCCAGGATCTGAGCAGAGCCAACTCACTGTTGTAACCCCTGCACAGGGCAACTTATAATTTGATATTTAAAAAAAAACTCCGTGCAGCCTTCTTTAAAAGCAGCTTTCGTCCATGAAACATGAAAAGCAGATTACGATGCCAAAAACACGTTAACGAATAGCTGTGGCTTATCTTTGCGTATATGAACTTATTTTGACTGCACCAGCTAAGTAAGTTGCTGTCGGTAAGGAAGCTTGTTACCTGTCCTGTTTTTCCTAGACTCGTCCTCAGACCTAGTTTTCTTTGGACATCTCTAAGTCTTCCTGCGACATCAAAAGCCCCCGGTTTTGTCGGTTGTGTAATAATACATTAATTCTAGATTTGAAGCTTTCGTGTGTAATAATACAGCCAGGGTCGTCCATGGTGGGGGTGTGGGGCCCGAGGCAAATCCCACTCCATGTGGGGCCCCCGACGGCCTGCAAACTGTCGAAGCATGGGGCCCCCCCAGAGTGCAGGGCCCGGGGCAGTCGCCCCCATTCGCCGTACCCGAGGGACGGCTCTGAAAACAGCACCCAATACGGCACAATCACACGCAGCTCTCCCCTATTCGTGTATTGTCAGATCCTCTTATTCCCATGACATTCCCTGGCGGGTTGTTGTTGTTGTACCTCGAAGGTGGCAACCCAAACCGCCGCTAGGACCACTGCATTCGTTATCAACAATGGGGGTACTTTTCGATTTAAAGCTTTCGTGACTGCAGGGATTCATCATATGACTTTGAACCCCCCCACCTCCTACGCATTCCACAAGTAGTGACTAATCCCATATCTGCATTTCACATAAATATGCTAAATTCCTCTTGATATGCAAATTCCTTTGTCAAGGCGCCCTTCTCCTCTCCAACCCAGCTTAAATATACGCTGCCAAGCCTCGTGGTGCCCATTCAGACGCTGTCTTCCCGACAGACCTGTTCTTCACCTGAGGACGGCTGCTTGAGTTGTGGCCGAAACGTCGTGAGAATTATTTTATTATGTTTTATTTTTATTATTTTGTTACTTCCCTTCTACGTGACTTTACCGAAAGAACCAAGAAAATGGGCGTACTAACATGAACACTGCAGAAATAGCTGCTTACAAGCTCCCGCTGCCAATAGATGTCATCTATTGAGCTGTGGGAGCGTGCACGCTATCCAGAGCTGTGGAGGCAAAGGGTAGGCGGTCTAGAAGCGTTCTGCAACTCTCAATATCGCATATTCTTAGGATTTTTCGGTAAAGTCACGTAGGTAAAAAATTTTAATTAATAAAAGTGAAATAAAAATAAAATTACGACGTTTCGGAGGCAACGCAAGCTTCCGTCTTCAGGTGGAACAGTCACAGCACGACTGCTGTATCAAGTGAGAGAAATTCCAAGAAAACCGTATTTGTATATATACTGGTTGAGGGTGGTAGGAGCCAAGGTAGGCTCTGAATATTATTTTTGTGAGGTTCGGTGCGGCTGAAAGCACGCTGTTAGGAATGAGCCTTTGTTGTGTAAACTAGGTGCGGATGATGTAAAGGTGCGTGTGAAAGGGACTGAGCCATTTTGTTATGTAGAGATGATGCGGCTTAAATCACAGCTTCTCTCAATATCGCATCTGTAGCTCATTGGAACGTGGGCACTCTGGTCCAGCGTTCTTTATTTCAAGGCTCCGTGAGCCCCTGGTAGCCCCTGGTGGCCTTTAGTGCGGTCTCCGACAATAAACAACACGTGACAACACCCCATCATCATCATCATCGTGCTGCTGTCAAACCCACAATAGTTTGAAATTTGTGGCGGCCCTTACACTGACGATGCCTCCTCCCCTCCACCGTCTGAAAATTCGTGAAGAACACTGCCTCGTTGTAAATGCTGTGGATTTTCTCTCCAACACACCGGTGTGCTGTGCTAGGAACAAATTGGCATGTGCAGTGTACGTGACAAACCTGTGTCGGGTGGTGATCTAGTACAAAAATAACCCTGTATTTTACGTGGAGATGATGCGTTGTGAGATTTTTGCCAGGAGGTGGCAGTGGGTACAGCAAAGTGCGGTTTGGGAACATGCCTTGCAAGACATCTTGATTTGAAGCTTTTGTGACTGCAGGAATCCATACTCTTTGGTTCTTTCGGGAAAGTCACGTAGGTAGAAAAATAATAGATCACGAAGTTTCGATCACCACACAAGCAATCGTCTTCACCTGAAGACGATCGAAACGTCGTGATCTGTTATTTTTTTTTACCTACGTGACTTTACCGAAAGAACCAAAGAGTATGTCTTTACATTTTTCATTGTTGTTTTCAAGGTGCCAAGATGTTAACTACCTCGCCTGGTCATACAGGAGGAGGTTGTGGGTTCGATCCCTTCATTTGGAGTTTGCGGTGTTCTTTCTCCCCGCGGTCGCGTAGATTTTTCTCCGGGTCCTCCGGTTTTCCCCTCCACATTTAGAATCAACGCGCATTTAGAGCATTGGATTTGGCTCCTTTAAATGTCCACGTGACAAGCCACTTCGTTGAGCTATCATTTTGGATTGCTTCTGAAAAAGAGCTATATAATTCTAGATTTGAAACTTTCGTGACTGCAAGGAATCATACTCTTAGGTTTCTTCAGTAAAGTCACGTAGGTAAAAAATAAAATTAAAATTAATAAAAGTAATAATAGAAATACAATAAAATAATAAATCACGACGTTTCGGAGGCAACACAAGTCTCCGTCATCAGGTGGGACCGTCACAGCCAGATTTACTGTATCAAGTGATACAGTAAATCAGTATAAAGAGCTATATAGCTGGTAAAAAATGTTTATAGTTTAACAAAAAATGTTTAGTTTCCTCTCGTGCCTAAGGTTTTACGGGTACATTGGCTTTCTGCCACACATTTCAAGCATTTAAAAAGGGGGTTAGGAAAAGACATTTGACCGCATGGGATTGTGTAACACTTTCAAAAGTGTGTGTTTGTCTCTGGAAACACACTGCATTTAGATGGCAGTAATGAAGCTGGCGGGCAGTTATAAAAATTCACTTGCGTTTTGGCAAATTATTTTTTAAAAACTCTTCTTTGTCCCCAAGTTTTTGGGCAAAACTTTATTTATTCATTCTCTGGCCACATCGAATTTTGGCCATGCACAGTTGGAATCTAAATCGCTTTCAAATTAATGAACCAAGTAATCGATCCAAGCGCTGCGTCGTAGCGAGAAGGCAAATAACAGCACGAGCGAAGTTCGTCTTTCGATTCCTCAACTTTAATAACTAATCGATTCCCTCCGCCCCACACCACACACAAAACATCAGTTTCATCGACTACCCCAATCAAACGAAGGCAACTGTCGCATCGCAGCGTGTTGGTCAAACGCTTCCCCTAACAATAACCGCCGATCGCATCTAAATCCCCCTCCCCGTTGCCGCAAAGTGCCCGGTGAAACTAAATCGACGCTATCGAAGGAACGGGAATCGCCGCGGCTTTTCAAAAAAAGGAATCGATCCGGGCGAGGAAGCCATCGCCACAAGTTCAGGGCCATGGTGTCCGCGGGGCCGACCGAGGCGGAGCTGACGGTGAAGAAGACGGCGGCGAAGGCGCCACCGCCGACGACGAACAAGAAGAAGGGGGGCGATACGGACATCTTCTTCGTGAGTTCCACCCGCCTTCGTCGCCTTACTCGATCGGTCCTAAAGCCACTCGGGGAATTGCTTCAAAGTCGGTTCACTCCCCTCCACTCCCATTGAGGCCTTGTCCGCTGCGTAGGCCTCTAGTACTAGCCGAGAGCGGTTGCTGAAACTAATAATAATAATGATGATGCTGTTATAATTTGTTTGCTTTCGAATGAATTGCGTTATTTAAGCTCGTGCACAGGCTCATTTATATTTCTCGCAGAAGCGGTCACGCGTCAGTTGAACACGCAGCAGCTTTGGAGGCTTTCGCGTTCAATGTTGCCCGCAGTCGATGTATTTTGTTAGATCGCGTCAGTGTACAATGTGTGTCGTTAAACTCGCCGCCACCTGCAACGTTTCGCCAGTAATTACAACCCGGCATCATCAGGCGACAGCCAAATCTGTGTTGTAATTACAACCGGCATCATCAGGCGACAGCCAGATTAGTAATTACAACTCGGCATCATCAGGCGACAGCCAAATCTGTGTTGTAATTACAACCGGCATCATCAGGCGACAGCCAGATTAGTAATTACAACTCGGCATCATCAGGCGACAGCCAAATCTGTGTTGTAATTACAACCGGCATCATCAGGTGACAGCCAGATTAGTAATTACAACCCGGCATCATCAGACGACAGCCAAATCTGTGTTGTAAATACAACTGGCATCATCAGGTGACAGCCAGATTAGTAATTACAACCCGGCATCATCAGGCGACAGCCAAATCTGTGTTGTAAATACAACTGGCATCATCAGGTGACAGCCAGATTAGTAAATACAACCGGCATCATCAGGCGACAGCCAAATCTGTGTTGTAAATACAACCGGCATCATCAGGTGACAGCCAGATTAGTAATTACAACCCGGCATCATCAGGCGACAGACAGATTAGTAAATGCAACCTGCATCATCAGGCGACAGACAGATTAGTAAATACAACCGGCATCATCAGTTGACAGCCAGATTAGTAATTACAACCCGGCATCATTAGTTGACAGCCAGATTAGTAATTACAACTCGGCATCATCAGGCCACAGCCAAATCTGGCCGTCGCCTGATGATGCAAAATCTGTCAGTCGCCTGCTGATTCCGGTTGTAATTACTGGCGAAACGTCGCACTCGGAATTGTAAATGTTGTGGATTTACTCGCCAACACACAGCCGGTGTGCTTTACGAGTAACGAATTGGCACGTTCTGTTTACATGACACACCTTTACTAATTGGTTGTTACATGTCGCGCATGTGTACTGTACGTCGACGTTCCTCGCCATCATCACCAAACCCACACTTTGCCGCGGCCTGGTGAAGTATGGTCAGAATAAACCAACCCCCGGGCACGCACGGGAAGGCTCTCATCCAGCAGTGGAACGAACCTGGGGATTCGGCTAACAGCTGCGTCATTAGCTCGGCCTGGGGCACGTTCCGTGGTCGGACTCGGCTACAAAAACGTATCCCTAAAAGAGGGAATATCTGTTCTTGCCGTTTACCTAGACTGCAGATATGCACTTTAACGCGTTGTTGGAGAGTAGAAGGATTTTAAGAGGTATAAAATGTAGTGCAGCACTCGAAAGATGTCATTTGTAGGACACAGCGCAGAGTTGACGTCGCCGGGATCTTGAATCCAGGCAGCCAGGAATAATGACTGAGCTATGCGTGATAACGTGTGCCCTCCAAAGGTATTTCAACATGCCATTTAACCCTCGTGAGGGAAAATGTTCGCTATCCCTGATAAAGACAATGGCCAACCCTGACATTCATTTTTTTGCCTGGTATTGGAACAAATAAGCTGGTGCCTTCAGATTCGTTGCTGTGCATCCTTCTGACATTGCGGTGCTACCTCTTTGCTTTTTGCGTTTGTGGTGCGCAGGAGGAGGATGACCTCCCCTACGAGGAGGAGATCATCCGCAACCCGTACTCGGTCAAGTGCTGGTTGCGCTACGTGGAGTTCAAGCAGGGAGCCACCAATCAGGTCGTCAACTTGGTGTACGAGCGGGCACTCAAGGAGCTTCCCGGGAGGTGCGTGCGTTTGTGTGAATGCACTCGCGTTGTATGGTAGCTGTGGTGGAGCGGTGGTGGAGCGGTGGTTTTTGCGGTCAGCGCTATATTGCGCTACGAACCCGGCGACTCGAGTTCGATTCCCGCTCGCGGCCAACGCCGGTAACAATTATCTGAACCGGGCCTGGGCCTCCCCTAGTTGGACTCGGCCTCAAATAAGTACCTCGTGGGGTGTGTAAACATCACCACTAGGAAGACAAAGGCGGTCAGGTGTGGTGCTGGCCACCCACAAATCTCGTGTGCCCTGCCGGCCTTCATAGGTGCTACTCGCTAACAGCACTTGCCCCAACAGTCTCTTAAGGCTATACGGGGGATATTTGTCTTTGTACTCGTTGCTTAATAAATGATGGGTGGAAAATGGCACACGCTAAGCATGTGGTTGTTTTGGAAGAAGCTACACAAGACGCATAATGATTTATTAATTCGTAGATGAAAATACCTTTCTTACAGGCATCGAGTTTTATCGATGATTTTAAAATTTACGATAATAATTGTGTGCCACTCATATGCTCGTGTAAATTTTGTTTGCATACTTAGCGCTACAAACAAGATGGAACATTTTAAAAACAATACAAACTTAATTAAAATTGATGAAAAATAAATCGATGATATTGATTCTTGAACCGGACTCCTGGTCGATCATCAAATCGCAGAGGTTGGGGGAAAATCCTTAAACGCTTTGTGGAAACCCAAATGTAATATTTCATATATGAGAGCTCTTTGTAGTTGCTCAACAATATCTGTGTTTAATTGTTGGTTTGTGTTTGTAGCTACAAGCTGTGGTACAATTACCTTAAGCTGCGGCGGAAACAAGTGAAGGGGAAATGCATCACAGACCCTGCGTTTGAAGACGCAAACAACTGTCATGAGAGGGCGCTGGTCTTCATGCACAAGGTACTGTTATGTTGGGACAGTGCACCGTTAAATAGATTTAGCGCATGTTTTTCAAGTGTACGGAATTCAATTTACTCATGAGAAGTAAAAAAAAATGCAGGAATGATAAAAAAAGATACCTTTGAAATTTGCGTATCAAAATATAATTTCCTTTTTTCATGGAGAACAAGTTACGCAGAATGCACTCGAACCTCGTCAAATCTTGGAGGCTATAGCGGTTAAGCCCGGATAGTGCTCGTGCTTGGATGGGTGACCGCCATACACAAAAGTTGTTGGCATAGTGCTGCAGTGCTACGTGGTGGTCACCAGAGGGCAATGGATTAATTTCATTCTTGTACTTCCCTGCTCTCTGCCTTCACCAGGCTGCACTGACAGTGTGGTGAAGTATAGTTGTGTATGTTGAACTTCTTTCACACCGTAGGTAGCCAACCGTGCTAATTGTGTAACCTCAATGTTCCACACAGGCTGGGAAAACCTTCATATAGCAGTGGTTTCACAACAGAGCTGTACATGTACTTAAAGAGTGTGTAACCCACGTGAACCTGCGATTAGCACGGTTGGCTGTGTACGGTTGTTGTGACAAGTATCAAATTACTCAGTTTTCAAGCGAGTCTTCGCGTTCGGTGTCCGCACGTTGTTGAGAACCGCCGCCATGTGCTGCGTTGTCCTTCAGATGCCGCGAATATGGCTCGACTACTGCCAGTTCCTGATGGACCAGTGCAAGATCACACGTACGCGGCGCACGCTCGACCGAGGGCTGCGCGCCCTGCCCATCACACAGCACATGCGCATTTGGCCGCTCTACCTCAAGTTCGTGGGCATGTACCCTCTGCCCGAGACGGCCGTCCGTGTCTACAGGCGGCATCTGAAGGTTCGTCAGGCTTGGCGGTGTCGCAAATTTCACAAGATGTTTTAATTGAGCTAAGGGATAATAGTACAACAATATAAATGTGTCACAAGTAAACAGAGTGCTCTATTTTTCTATTTTACTCGATTACTTACTGGATCTTTAGTTTTCGGAGTTCATTATCGATTTTGAAAGTCATGCAAAGTCATGCAACATCCAGTTCATTTTAGTAGGAATTTAACTAATTGGCCTCATTAGTCATTACGTGGTACATTCAAACAGATAAAGACACACACACAGGGCTGGACTTTTATTGTTAAATATTTTCTATCTGTGTGGTAGACCGATTATACATTTCCATAATTTTTGTATGCGATTCAGATGCCTATTTAAAATGCCGAATTTTTTACGAGGCATAACCATGAACTGAAAAATAATTCTGGACTTTGATATATACAGACATCTTTAGCTGGAATACTAACCTCTTCAGTTCATAGTATTTTGGTCGGGTAGGATGGGACTGCTTCCGATATTTTATGGAGCTCCGTGCCTGGGGCCTACTTTATGGGGACTTTTCCTTACATGGGTGTGTTGCTCTGCCATTAGCCTCTGCTCAACACTTTAGGGTTTAAGCCATCCCAGATTAAAGTTGTTATATTTATGATATACTTTGAGAATGTTGAACTCTCCTCTAAGTGTAATCATTGATTTTTTTTGTTATTTAAAAAATTAAAGTTTGTCAGTTGATAACAAGTTTGTGCATTTAGGGTCTGAGTTATATAACAGTGACACATCATGCAATCTTGTGCTTTTTTGTTGTAGGTCTGTTTATTACATTTCGAAAGAGATGGCTGAAACTGTTTTATTCTCTTGTAAGCTTTGTCCAGAGAATGCAGAGGAGTACATAAAGTATTTGGTCTCCATCGACCGTCTGGATGAAGCGGCCATCCGTCAGGCTAAGATCGTGAATGACGAGCGCTTCATTTCAAAGGCTGGCAAGTCAAACCACCAGGTGGGTGAGACATTGATGTGAAAGAAGTAGAAGTAATTTGTGACTTTGACTCATGCCATTGTATGTCGGTGGCTGATGCGTACCATGCTAATCGGTTGTGCGGGGGAAGAACAATCCACTGCTGGATGAAGTCCTCCCCACGCCATAAGAGTCGGGGGGGCGGGGTGGGGGAAGGTTATTCGACTATACTTTACCACGCTTGGTCAATGCGGATTGGAGAAGGCATATTTAAGTACAATGCCCTATGCTGTCCACAACTTAACTTTGCAGCAGCCTATAATATCTGTTTTTTATGCATGGTGTTCACTGCCGTACAAGTTCAACCCTTCTTAACTTCCAAGATATGACAAGAGTGGGTGCATTGCACTGCGATTTGGTCATAGGCGATACTGTTGGTTCCCGCAAAATCTAATCATCAGTCATTTTCAACGTTATCGGTGGTTGTTTTGTCGTTTGTGTTTGAGAAACAGCTATGGCACGACCTGTGCGAGCTCATTTCCAAGAACCCGGACAAGGTCAAGTCGCTGAAGGTGGGGGCCATCATCCGCGGCGGTCTGACGCGCTTCACGGACCAGCTGGGACAGCTCTGGTGCTCGCTGGCCGACTACTACATCCGCAGCGGCCACTTCGAGAAGGTGATGCCAGCCCCCCCCACCCCCCGGCCCTCGCCGTTGTAAAATAAAAACGGAAATGGCGTGGCAGTACAGCAAGTGGGATTCATTTCCTTCTGTATCCCATCTGTGTGGGGATTGATTGTTACCCGCCCCTCAAATCCCCTCGCACGCGTGGGCTACCTCAGGGTACTCCGGTATCCCATATATTAGCACTAATGAATGGAATTGGACAAACATCCCAATATCGGACCACAGGACTTGGGCAGTTGTTGGCACCAGTTCTGGCTGTCTTCCCCACTTCGTCTGTGGTTTCCGTCACTTCTGAATAATTCTCGCTGTCTTGAGAGTGAATGATCACTGTGCACGTTACCAACGCTGATTTATTATTCATGTTACTTCAACGGTTTGCAGGCATGCCTAACACCGTACAACTCGAACGTTCCCTCAGGATGTGCACTAACGCTTTGTGATTTTGCGTGAACAATGTGTGTCCGCAGGCACGGGACGTGTACGAGGAGGCGATCCAGACGGTGACGACGGTCCGCGACTTCACGCAGGTGTTCGACGCGTACGCGCAGTTCGAGGAGAGCATGATCAGCGCCAAGATGGAGGCATCAGGAGAGCAGGGAGCGAGCGAAGATGGTGAGCACCTTGTGATCGTGCCCTCTCAGCCGAGAACTGTCTAACCCTCTCAAACCTGACCCGATGAATACACAGTGCTGCCTTTTTACTCCTCCGTATAATAACTAGTCACGTGTCACGGCTCCTAGATTTCCTGTATGTAAGTAAGTAAAGAAAATTATGCCACGCTTGATCCAACATTGTATAAAGGCCACCCCAAAGCATGTAATTCATTGGGATTTTTTTTTACCATATTTCATTGTGCTGATCTGTGCGGATTGGTGAATGGGGAGGGAGGGCAGGACAGGTTCTGATATCACTTGTCACTGATGTTAACCATGGCTGGGAATCGAACTTGTGTCATCAGCATTAGAGCACAGCGCGCTAAGCACTGAACCACCACTCCACATTGCCTGAATAGTTTTTTATTCTGGGTGACGTCAGTAAGAGCGTGAACTAGCTTGTCTAGCAATACATTTATTTTTACTTGGTAAAGGATAGTATGATCAGTTGAACTACAAACGTTCTGAAGAGACGTGTATCTAGATTTAGCTGCGGTCGTCGGATTGAGCGGTGCGAGCCCTCACCGAGGTCACCGTACTGTCGCAGATGACTTGGACGTGGAGCTGCGGCTGGCGCGGTACGAGCAGCTCATGGACCGGAGGCCGCTCCTCCTCAACAGCGTCCTGCTGCGGCAGAACCCCCACAACGTTCACGAGTGGCACAAGCGCGCCAAGCTCTACGAGGGCAAACCGAGAGAGGCAAGAGAGCCGCGCGCCCAACGCCGCCAATACGTCACTTGGTGTTTTATGAACGAGAGCTTTGCTTTTTGTCTTCAAATATTTATTGTTTTATTTTAAACAATGTAAGCATTAATTGCTTCAGGTTTTATAATGCAAATTAATTCAACAAGATGATGAATGATAATAATAATATTGCAGTTAAATTTCGATTTAAAGCTTTCGTGACTGCAGGGATGCATCTTCTTAGTTCTTTCGGTAAAGTCACGTAGAAGGGAAATAAAATAATAAAAATAAAACATAATAAAATACAATTCTCACGACGTTTCGGCCACAACGCAAGTTCATTCGGACGCTGTCTTTCCGACAGCCCTGTTCTTCACCTGAGGACGGCTGCTTGCGTTGTGGCCGAAACGTCGTGAGAATTGTATTTTATGTTTTATTATTATTTTATTATTTCCCTTCTACGTGACTTTACCGAAAGAACCAAAAAGAATATTGCTGTTTTTATCCAGGAAAGATTCAATGTGGTCTCAGGAGTTTTATTAATCGGGGACCTGTATTGAGATGTAAATGAATGTTTGGCTTATTGAAGGACACTGCAATATCCGGATAAAACTCCACATAGATTTAATATTCCATTGCTTAATGCCACCCAGCAGCCCAAGCCTATAACACCTGATATTCCCAGGCTGTCTTTCTTACAGGTAAAAACCAGGCTCAACCCAGTTCCGCTTCCGAGATCTGAAGAGATTCGGTGCACACAGGGTGATTTAGTGGTCGGTGTTACATTGGTGGAGAATCTGGATGCTGACCAGAAACCTGTCTTGAAATCAATTGTTTCCTGTCGCCAAGTGCCCTCTTCTTGGATGGTGCTGCATATACTGGCCATTGTGCCTTAAAATACACTGACGGTGTTCTCTTTCATAATCAACGTTTTTGGGTTTAGATCGCGTTATTTATAAATGTGTCGTAACCCTCCACCACCCGACACGGCCAATCAGTAAAAAAGTGTCACGTTGACAAAAGACAAATAGTTCACTGCTTTAGTCCACCGGTGTGTTGAAGCGTGAAACCACAACATTTACAATTTGAGTACGACGTTTCGCTGGTAATTGCATCCAGCATCATCGGGCAATTCGCCGTTGATTATGAATAATATTGGTCGAGAAAGCCTACGTGTTAAACTGATGTTCTCTTTTTCGTTCTACCAGATTATCAACACGTACACAGAGGCGGTTCAGACCATAGACCCTGTGAAGGCCACCGGCAAGCCGCACACGCTCTGGGTGGCATTCGCCAAGTACTACGAAGAAAACGACCAGATTGAAGATGTAAGTACCTGTTGCGTGTGAAACTTTGCACCTTGGTAAAAACCAAAACTGACACGTGCACCTCGGCCGCATCTTTTTCTTTTAATGAGAATTGTGAAGCTGCCAGTTATTGTTAACAGCGGAGCGGCAGGCGGACGGGCAGTGCAGTAGTCTACTTCTCACCGCGTAGGCTCGCACCATTTTCGAGAAGGCCACCAAGGTGGCGCTGAAGAGTGTGGACGACCTGGCGGGCGTCTGGTGCGAGTTCGCCGAGATGGAGCTGCGTCACGAGAACTACGACGAGGCCCTGCGCCTCTTGAGGGTAAGCGCCCCTTTTCACTGCCCCCCCCCCCCCCGAGCATTCAGGGAAAGGGAACAACGGCAACGAAGGCTGTCACCATTGCTTCGGCACGTCGCCGTTAATTGTCGCCATGTGTTTGAATTAGCAGGGCCACCTTGCGCACGGTGCGGAGAGAAGATGGGGATCGGGTTGTTTTGCAGGAAGCCCATTCACATTCTGAGATTGGCACATTTTGAGACTGAGGCTACATGCTGGGCAGCAGAGGGGGCAGTGAGCCTAAAGCTACGCAAACTAAGTAGGATAATTTTGTAAGTGAGGAGAGAGGGTGATGTCCGAGACACGGTAGTGGTGAGAACTCGGGGTTGGTGACGTCACATGCAATTTAAGTGAGGCGGGGGGGTGACGACGTCATGTGACGCTGAGAACTTTTAAATTAAGATACAAAAATATTCTTGAAACTAATATATAAAAATGTCTAAAACATACATACCAAATGATAAAACGTACATTTCGCCATAGTTTTACCGTGGAAGTACCGCAAGTTTGTGTTCGTAATTGTTTGATGTAACATAATAAATCTGTGTGCATTGCAAACACGCCCACGCGATGTGCTTGTAAACCCTGCGGCGTGCTGCTTTGCGGCGCTGTGTATTTTTGTTCCCAGCGAGCCACAGCCATGCCGTCCCGGAAGGCGGATTACTTTGACACGTCGGAGCCGGTGCAGAACCGACTGTACAAATCTCTGAAGGTGTGGTCCATGCTGGCCGACCTGGAGGAGAGCCTGGGCACCTTCAAGGTAAACGTGGGGTCGTTGACTCTCAACTCTCCAGCATGCCAGCACGAGCGGCATTCGTTCACTTGAGAATTAGCGATTTAAAACAAAAAATTCCAATTTTCCTATGACCAAATCACCCGGAATACAGGTTACTCCGGTTTCCTCCTACATGGCAAGCACCCGTTAATGGTATTCGCCAAACATCCGAATGCAGAAACCACCTGAAAACGGGTGTTGAGATGCAGTGAGACTTGTTGTTTTTTTTGCTTATGAACAAATCACCTTGACTGTGCACAAAATCATCAGATCTCAGAAGCCCAAGTAGGTTTGAGCCTGGAAAGTACTTGCAAGGGTGACCACAAATTTAGAAACAAGTTCGCCATAGGGCTTGTGGGGTCTACGTTGTAGGCAGCAGAGTGCAGCGCAGCAAAATATATTGCTTTACTTATATGCTCCACGCCTTTGCAACATCGATTGAGCAGCGACGTATGGTCACATGACTCTCGCATCACGCATAGCGTGGGGAGGCCCTTATCCAGCAGTGGATTGACAAAGGGCCTGTACATGCAAATCTTTCATTTAATCAGTTTTACAATGAACTTGGGTTTTGGTGAAACATCCTGATGACTGCGTGTTGTTTTTTGTACATTTTTATTGACATGGGTGCACGGTGTCGCTACCCCCAGACAAGTTGTAATGCGCTTCTCCTGTCCTTACCACAGTCGACAAAGGCAGTTTACGATCGCATCATTGATCTCCGCATTGCTACGCCACAAATAATAATCAACTACGCCATGTTTCTGGAAGAACACAACTACTTTGAAGAAAGCTATAAGGTATGCGCGCGTACATGCATGCGTTGGTCATGATGAACAATGTCGTTTTTTTACGTTTTAATCCACCAACTGTTCGCACACGTTTGTGACATTTCGCAATAATTTGTGTTCCCAAACCCCTCAGGCATACGAGCGAGGGATTGCTTTGTTCCGCTGGCCCAACGTGTTTGACATCTGGAACACCTACCTGGTGAAATTCATCGAGCGCTACGGTGGAAAGAAGCTGGAGAGGGCTCGAGATCTGTTTGAGCAGGCATTGGAAGGCTGCCCACCCAAGTTTGCAAAGAGTATGTGCCCCAGTCAACGATAGATCTGTTGACGTCAGTGGCCAAAAGTGTTTTGACACTGTTACGTTTCAGCTGTTTTAATTAACAAATCTATACAAACGAGACAGAAATTGTTTACCAAAAAAAGTATCGATTCGTGATTGAAATCACGGCTCCAAATAGTGATAATTCATCAAATCGCTTGGGGGATGGGTAGGGTGTACACGGTGAATCATTTCGTGCCTGCTTGTGAGTGTTCTCGTGCAGTACAATGTGCCTTTAACGCCTAGAACGCTTACCCGGTTATGTTGTGCGATTCAAGGCAGCGGTTCTTTCACGGTTCCCAAGCAAACTCACCACCTACTGCCTGTCCCTCGTACCCCCTTCAAGGCTTCTACCTGCTGTACGCCAAGCTGGAGGAGGAGCACGGGCTTGCGCGACACGCCATGGCGGTGTACGAGCGCGGCACGCGTGGTGTCGAGCCCTCGGAGCAGTACTCCATGTTCAACATCTACATCAAGCGCGCCGCCGAAATCTACGGCGTCACGCACACGCGCGCCATATACGAGAAGGCCATCGAGGTGCCGCTCACGTGGACGCGCGCGCGGTAGCAGGCTCACGTTTCTATGCCGTATTCTCTGAATTATAAGATGCTCCTGGAAGTAAGACGCGAGATGTTAACAGCCTCACCTGTGATACAAGGAGGTCGTGGGTTCGATCCTGAGTGTGCGTTTTCTCCCCTTGGTCGCGTGGATTTTTCTCCGGGTCCTCCGGTTTTTCTCTCCACATTTGGAAATATGCGTTTAGAGTATTTCAACGAGATAAGCAACTTCATTGAGCTATCATTTGTGGAAAGGTCGCTTCTGAAAATAAGCTAAATGGCTCAGTAGGCCTTACCTTGTTAAATAGACAATAATAAACTTGTGCCCGTTGTCATTAAAGTTATACAAATCTGATCGCGTGCACTCACCTACCAGATTATAAGATGCATCCCCAACTTTTGCTTTAAATCACATGGGGAAGAAAGTGTTATAATCTAGAGAATACGGTAATACTGATTGTGTGGCATGTCAGTGTTGAGATGAAGTTAATAGATGCAATATTGATGCATGTAACTGTATTCCGTTGTTTTTCATATGTTGCACAATGTCGTGTTTTAGACTATGAAACTTTTAATTTTGTGAGCCATTGAAGTCTGTCTTGTCGTCGTGTTAATACTGCCGAGGCTGGAAAGGCCCTCTTTATTTGGATGACCTGGCTTGAATGATGTGTGGTGGTCAGTTGTACCCAGCAGTGGATCCAGGCAAGGAGAATCGTACTTGCTCTGCCAATTTAAACAAGGCGTTTTAGAAAAATGATGTTTAGATAATATAAAGTTACAATCACCAACTGGGTTTGCTATTTACCTTGGGACAAATGAATAACATTTTTCACTTAATTATATTTTCTGTCTGCACACAAACATTTCCCATGTTTAACGTTTGGCTTGTCAGTGACCCATGTGACTTGGGCCAATTAAAGAGCTACTGTGTGCTACAATGAGAAAATATTTGTAAAATAACCTTGAACAAAGTTGTACGTCAAGGATCCCATAAACACTTTTATTTCCCCAGTGTCACAGCCCTTGTAAAATGGAGCAACACAAAAAGAAACACGGTTGCGCATTATTGCGGGAAAGTTTGTACCGATTATCGTAAGCCTTTGTTACGTATGTGTTCATCAGTGCAACCAGTTGTCTACAGCAGTCGGCATCAATTGTGTCTTGTGCGGCGGTGTGTCCGTGGCGTGTCTAGGTGCTGCAAGATGACCACGCTCGCGAGATGTGCATGCGTTTCGCCGACATGGAGTGCAAACTCGGGGAGATTGACCGTGCCAGGGCCGTCTACTCGTACTGCTCGCAGATGTCGGATCCCCGCGTGAGTCGAGAGCCACACGCTTCCTGCCCTTGTATTTAACATCGCCACGATTCCTGTAGTTGCTGGGACAGGTTGATTGGTGGAAATATGTTACTTGCACTCTATACGCTCATGTCATTGCACGTCAAGCAATTCATCAACATATTGTTTATATTCTTGGTTCTTTCGGTGAAGTCACGTAGAAGGGAAATAATAAAATAATATAAACCAATTATATAATATAAAGCAATGATATTTTATTTTATTTACCTTCTACGTGACTTTACCGAAAGAACCAAGAAAATGAATCCCTGCAGACACGAAAGCTTTAAATCAAAATATATAGTTTATGTTTGATATTATAATTAAACTAAATAATGTAGTTGTAGTCATGAACTTTCATGAACAGCTTAGAGCTTGAGACCAGTTGTAGAGCAAACTCATGGCCATGTACATAATTATGCATACTGCTTTATAACTTATAGAAGATGGCAGCTGCTTAGAATGATCAGTGGCTGATGATGACATTTGTTGTATTTTTGTTTTTCTTGCAGACCACATTGTCCTTCTGGCAGACGTGGAAGGAGTTTGAGATCAAGCACGGTAACGAGGACACGGTGCGGGAGATGCTACGCATCAAGCGCAGCGTGCAGGCCACCTACAACACGCAGGTCAACTTCATGGCGGCACAGATGCTGGCAGCCTCATCCACCACCACCGGAACAGGTGCTGTGTGTGTGCCGTATCTGTGCAAGTGTGCTGAGATCCCCTGTAAAAATGTCACGGTCTTTTCTTGCTAAATGAAATCCGTTGCTTGCCGCAACTGCAGGGGTTTGCGTTGCATACCAGTTTGCCCGCATTGTTGCAGATTAGTGATCATATCCGCCCGACTGGATTGGATGTTCTCTCCGTTGAAATATCTACATGTTGACACTGTGTAGTATAATAATTACATTAGGGGCAGCAGGCTGTATTGATTTCAATCAGAGGACCATGCGATTATTAAGGCTATATTGTGTTATATAGCGTTGAAAGGAAATTGATATTGTACTGCCGAGTTTTAATAACAGTAACATGTATTAATAAACCCAGGCAGAATGATCTACAGCAGTAGTAAAACTGCATGATCATACTGAATTTTCTTTATTTATTACTGCTCTGCAGTGGCTGACCTTGCACCTGGACACGGCCCCGTGGATGAGATGAAACTACTTGAGCAGAAAGCTCAGCTTTTGGCTGCCGAGGCTGCCAAGGACAAACCCAAGAGCAAGGAGAAAATTCTCTTCGTCAGGTTGGCTTCGCTGTTTTGTCAGCGACAAGCAAACTTTACGCACCAGCACATCAACACATCAATTAAAGAGCAGCCTATCGTCTTTGAAACGCACTTGGACTGAACTTTGGCATTTATATTCCTCAGTAATGCCAGCTAGTATCCCACTGTTTTCATTTCTAACGTACAATTGAATTATATATATATATCTTTTAAAGGAATATACAAGGTCTGTTTCCAGAAATGGGAACATAGTCACTCGCGTTAGCTGGGTTTTTTCGAGTAGTCATTGACATGCTCTCTGCAATTCTTGATCAGTTAATTTGGAGAGCTTGGCAGTGGCTCTGAAAAGAAACGACTTGTTTGTCAAGTATGTGCAAGTACGAATTGACTTTCTTTCCGCATCTCCCATCGTCGGCTCGCAGGAGCGACACGTCCAAGAGTGAGCTGTCCGAGCTCGCCAAGCAAAGCAACCCCGACGAGATTCATATCGACTCGGACAACGACGAGGAAGCCGGGGAGCCTGACGGTACGTGGAGCGAGTATGCGAGGGGTGGGTGACGGAGTGAGGCTAGGTGCTGCTGGGATCTGGCCGGATTGTGATTGCATTATCGTGTCGTCTGCTTTGGAAGCGGTAGCCTGTCATGTTTGCAACAACAATGTACAGTATCTGTATTTAAAGGTCATCCTTATCCAGTTAGTTCTATTGGGTTCATGGGATGACACCATTTTTATTTGACACATGCCCTGCGATACAGATGCGTGTCACATGACAAGCACCAGTGTTTTTTGCATATACATTGTTGATCAACTTAGTACATTCGAAAGCCGCATTTAATCACATGTCCTTGTCTTGATTCAAACCCAGACTGTCAGCAGCTTGTTGCTATAACATTATTGATCCTCTGAGCCACCAAGACCTCAGGTCTACATATTAATAGGTTGTGTGCAATTCATTGAGCCTTCGACCAGTCCACGCACAACCTCATTATACAGCTCTTTAATCTTACAAACACTTCAATTCAATTGTGATGGATATTATGCATATTGAAAACATTTCAAGATTATCATACTTGGAAAGCATGATGTTTTTGGATGTTTAAGGATTGTGGTTGAGGAGGTAGAGCATTGGAATATGAACCTAGCCACCGAAATTTGAGTCCTGGCCATGGCTAATGTCAATTAAAGGGGTCCCTTTAAAACCCACACTTTGGTGAAATATGGTTAGACAATGCCAACGGTTGAAATGTGTGGGTGAGCTTCGACCAGCACTCGATTAACAACGGGATGCTGCTGGATAACCTAGTATGTATTTGGGAACAAATGAGATGTGACTGCTTTGTCTGCAGAGGTGCAAGTGGAACAGAAGGCGGTGCCCAGCGAGGTGTTTGGAGGACTCAAGGAGGACTGAAGACCCCCCCCACATTCCCATTAGGCAGTAGGGGCTCTCGCACCAAACATGTACTGTACATTTTCAATGCTTCATAAACACGCGCTCTGCTTTCCCCATTGAATATTATTGTACTAACAGGTTCCATCGTACAGAATGGTACAATGTTTATGGTGGAATTCGTGTGTTTTTAAGATCTAACACAACAAATGTCTTGTTAGAAGATGATTAAGGAAGTGATTAGTATGTTCGGAAAGCAATTCACAGGCTTTGTAAAAAGTGGACTTTTGAAATGTTTTGGTTGGATAAAACTGCCACACATTTGTGTATTTTCAATAAATGCTTGCAAAAATGTTTGTCAACAGGTTTTGGTTTTCGAGTGTTGACCAGCTCTATGCTTGTATGTTAAATCTATGCTGAGAATGCACATGCAGTGTGCAAATTGTTTTACCTCTAAGGGCTGCTTTGCATTTGAACTGAGTTTTGGAAGTTTCATAACGCACATTAAAGGCATGTAAATATATATTGAGCTATTTTGCAACCCAAAACTTGAAGTGCAATCATTTGTTCTCATTTTATTGCATATTTTGGCATGATTGCATTCATTTAAGTTTTATTGAAACATGGATACAACCAATTTGCACAACTGCACTTTTCAGCCAGTCACTTAATTTTTGAATTCTAATTTTAACTATAATAAGTGTTTGCCTACAGCCAAACAGATGTGGCTGTGCAGTCCACAATCGCTGCTAACGAATTACATTGTTCAAATTCTTGCGTGTAAATTGTAATCCAGAGACAGAGCATTGCCTTTTGATCAGAACGCTGGGTGTGCCTATTGTATTGTACAAACTTCTGCTTGGTGCGCATCTGCATGAGCAATGCAATGTAACTATTTTGAATATCAGTACCATGTTGAACCATGGTGTTACATTTCAATGCTGTGATAATGAATAGCATTTTCTTACATCACGGTAGGCCTTGATAACAAATCACGTGTGCATTGATGGGTTGCATGTGCCATCTCATATCCCTTACAACTTTCTTACTTCCAAATTTCCCCTTTCTGGATCTGACAGCTGTTTAAAATAAGTGTGCTGCCCTGGCAGTTGTGCGGTCAGAACAGGCGTTTATAATACAGGTTTGTGGGTTAGATCCCGTAAAAATAAATATAAAACTCGCTACCACCCGACAGCCAATTAGTAAGGTTTGTCACGTAAACAGAACGCGCAAATTCGTTACTGGTACAGCACACCTGTGTGCTGGAGAGTAAATCCACAACATTCACAATCCGAGTACGATGTTTTTCCAGTAATTGCATGTTCTGTTTACGTGACAAACTTTAATTGGTGGCGGGTTTAACGACAATTATATTTACGCGATCTAACCCAAAGAAAACCTGTTGTGGATGATATTGGTCGCGAAAGCCTAGGTGTTAAACAGAACAGGAGTTATCTCCATGCTTTATTAAGAGTCGTAAGACTTGCTTAAAATAAATATACAGCAGTTTACACCAGTACCGATGACATACAGGCCTTGGAGAACAGTAGTGTAAAATCCGGTGGGGGAAGGAGGATCGGAAAAAGCACTACAACGGTTCTTGGCAAACCCAGCAATAACACTACCTTATCATCTTGCCATGATCAGATCAGTGCATACTGCACCTATGTACACAACTATTCACCCTCAACATCACCATTCACCTTGGCATCTCAAGTTCAATCTATAAATTATAAAGTAATGTTTTTCCGCATGCATTTAAACCAGTACACCACTTGCTTAAATCCCAAAATGAGCATCTTAGAAAATAAAAGTCTACTCACTTCCTCTATCAATACAGATCACATTTTAAGCGTTCAAATATAATGACACCAAGCCCCCCCCCACTCTCACCCAATAAAAAAAGCACATCTTCAATCGGACACGCACCAACACCACCAAAGTAATGAATCTCATTTAAGAGTTTGCAAAAAAAATTGCCAAGATTAAATACATCTCTATAAATAATATACTGTACTAGTGCATTGTTCGCAAAGCAAGCAACTCGCGTTCAGCCGGTTAAAAGTGACAAAAGGAAATTTAAACGACATTCACCCCAATTCCAGTTTCATCATTGGTCAAGATAACTATGCAGCCAACTGAAAAAAATGGAATGCCTTTTGCACTTAATCAGATATTAAATTCAAACTTTTACACAGAGGAAGATAAATCAACATTTTTTTAAATTTCATTGAACTTTGTCCTTTTGGCTACAAAACATTTACAAGCATTAAGTCACAACAATATGTATAACTCAATTAAAGTATCCGTGCCAGCGCAGTTTGTTCTCCGCTTTCATAAAGTGTCATTAAAAAACAACATCCACCGGAATGTGAGTGTTTTAGTATTAAACCACACGATACAAAACCAAGCGAGTACACTCGGCACCTTGGTCCGCAACACTCACATTCTAAACACCCTGTCACGTTGCACAAACACATTGGTGGGCTCGTAAGACGTTGTAAAGTATTCAACATGGCTGGCGGTATATGGAATACGGCTGTCCTATGTCATGAGAAATTTTGCCTTGGAAATATTGTGCTGGTATCACGCACACACGTGGTATTTAGTGTATTTTTGCTGTTGGCAGTGTAATTTTAATTGTAAATGGATGGTGTTATAGACGGGGGTAGAGCGGTGGTGCCGTGGTTAGCATACTGTGCCATGAACCCGGCTTCCTGAGTTTGATTCCTGGCTCTGGCCAACATAGGTGGTGAGTGATAATGCACTGATGAGCATGGTCAAACATTCCTATATCCACGTTGCATGTGGATGAGGCCTTAATTCAGCAGCTAATTAACAAAGGGTGGAAACATAACTTTTAATGTGAGAATTAAATTATGTACACAAGCCACCAGCCAATAACACGAGCGAACCAACGGATCATTTATCATTAGTGTCCCATTCGTGGATCCAAAGTAAATTAAGTGCATACAAAACAAATACCAATATTTTCAAACACAACACTTTGTAAGCTTATATTTGTGCACCACCGTAGGGAAAGTTAGGGTTATGCAATTGGCCCGACATGATGTGGAAATCAACCAAATAATCAAGTTCCATGAACTGAAATTATGTAATGTTGGTATGTGAATGAAAGAAAATCAAACGGCGTAATTAAGTGACTGGGAATTCCTCCCCAAGGTCATAGCATATACACATTGTAATGCTTTATTACAGGTAATGGTTGACTATCTTTAATTGAACGTTGAATGCTTTAAAAATGCCCAACTTCCTTGCCTTGGGGGTCGTCTCCAACGAAAAAGATGTTCAAGGTCCATTGTTAAGCAGCTCTCTCCAATTATGTCGTATAAAAAAAAGGAAATGTGCATGAAGTATAGAAATTGTCTTTTTGAATGCAGGTTTCATTGTTTTTCATTTTCTGCACATAAAAAAATGCCTGTTTATGTACATGCATGAAATGCAATGTCATGGTTGAGCAATTCTTGGATATTCCAAGAATGAAGTTCAGTTTGTATGCAATCCAATCATAAACATCATCAACTGGCTCACAAAAAAACCCACCAGTAAATCTATTAAGCTATTATTGATAACAGGGCAGTTGTATATTGTCATGCATTTTTTAATGAGTACTGGTTTTATGCTATTCGTAGGTTAAATGCATGTGCTATCCTATGTCTAAGCCCTATAAAAGTACATTATTATCGCCACACATCATAAATGTTCCTGCAATAATCCGTTTATATAAGAAAATGTCACGTCATCCTCACATCCCATACTTTAGAAGTGTTTGCAAATTAATCCCATTGTTCACGTGCCAGCAAAAAAAGTAGTTTTGTAATTTTAGTCTACCGTAAGGCACACCCCAAAGCAATTTCAGTACCAAAAATGTGATTTAATTAGCTGTGCTCTGAACGTAAATATTTATTCATCGATTGGCAATGTGCAATTACAGCCAATTACAAGACGTGTCATGTTAAGCTCCTTAAAACCAATGCTAGATTATCTTGCCTTGCGAGTAAATTTCTTAATTTTTGATTAGCTCTGCAACCGCAGACAATATTCCATCACTATGATCGCTTGCTCTGGTTTGAAACATAATTCCATACATTTTTAAAAGAACCAGAATATTCTCCTTGAACTGCTGGCAGGGCCTTTGACATGAAGCACCTTTATACCCAATTCTACATTTTATATTCGGCTTTGAAAAAGGCAAAAGTAATTCAATATCCAGTCGTTTTTCTTGATACGAGAAAGTTTTCGGTGTCGACACAAAGGTAAATATCACTTATAGCTACACGAGGCAGTTCAGTGGAAATTTCAAGGTTTTTATGGCCAAGGCAAAAAACGTCTCTAACCCCTAATTTGAATGTAAAGCTCAGATGGCAAAAAGTCTTATCGAGGAGGCAGGTATGTATCCCATTGTCTCCTTCCATCTAACTTAAAAAAAAAACCCACAATGAGAAGTCATCTTTCTCAGCCCATGGCAGTGTTGAGACACCAATTCTGCTAGGAACTCGGTCGCCCTTCGGAGGATAAATACAAATGGCCCGTGGTGTCAGCGTGTGCAAGAGTCGATTGAATGAATACGTGTACATCCTGCAAGGATCAGGGCTTGCCAGGACCCGGCTTCTTGCTGGCAGTGGCGGTGGAAGACGAGTACGTCGGTGTGGTGGGGATGATGGTGGAGGAAGGCCGGCGTGGTTGCCACAGGTGGTTCTGGATGGTGAAGGCGTCCATGCTGACCGAAATGGTCTTGGCGGGGATGGACGTGAACTGCTTGCGGTCCGAGCTGTACTTGTAGAGGCGGTCGAGCATCTTGGCAGACACGGCCTTGGGGCCGAAGCCCGTCACGCGCTGTATCTCCTCTGTCTCCGGGAAGAAGGCGTAGAGGGCACGGTACTGGCAGCCAGCGTCACGGAACAGGATCATGTAGTGGTTGGCGTCGCAGCGCTCCAGCTCCTGCCAAGGTCAGGAAAAACAAAAGGAAGCTTTTGCGGACGAGCCTAGCCAAAGTACAACTCAGGGGGACTGCCTTGGCAGTGGTGTAAAGGGCATAAGGTCGAAAATACTTTATCATCACCGCCGTCAATAAAGTAGCTTTGTTCAGGTTTAGAAAATAACCATACGTCAGTTCAATGCGTTCTTTCATGGAAATTATAATTCAATTTATCCACACACTTCCTGTGTTGTGCCAACAACTCGTATTGGCACAAAGGATGATGTATACAAATCTTTTCTGAGCTCTAAGTAGAGAAATGAGGTACAACACCAAATCAACAGAACTAACGGTTGTAAAAACTCACACAATGCGATGTGTAAAATAACAAGCTTACAATTATAAACCCCCTGGCACCGGTTCAGCATAATCTCTCAAAAAAGGTGCCCACGTGAGAAAATTTACACCCTGGGGCCTTACCTCGATGACCTTTTGTTTTTGCAGCTCATTTACTTTGCCGGCGAGGCAGCAGTAGGACAAGGCGTTGTGGATGATGTGCTTGTTGGATTTGGCACTTGGCTCCTTGTACAGCTTTGGACCTGCATACAACGTAACCACAATTAAGTTGTTATCTGGATCTCACAATACAAGGGAGAGCATTCTACGTTTGGAACCCAAGCCCCATGCACATGATCCCATTTGGCACCGTCATCTCGACTAACTCCACTCCGACAGCAAAGCACACTATTTTTTGGCCTGTTTATATAAAGCCCTTCGTCATTCCACTTCTGGATGAAGGCCTGCCCATGTCATGTCAGTCAAAGCGATTGTTGGACCATATATCACTATGCTGGTCAGTACGCGTTGGTGAAGGGGTGGTCATTTACAGACATCTGCCCATGGATGTTAGCCATGACCGATAAATGAATTCAGGTTCCTGGGTTCACAGCACAGTGCACTAAACATTCCATAATTCTCTAACTTACCAATGCAGAATATTTCATTCGCACTGGTTCCAGTAGTTTGCTCACTGTGACATAACATGCAAGCGATAGAACACCGATGCCAATGGAGGCTGGGCGGTCAGCCCCAAGAATAACCAGCCTGGTCTGATCGCACTGACACCATGTGTGTCCCACACACTCTTGCCCCTGACATCACTTCTCGACCCGTGCCACACGGTTACGAGTCGGGTGAAGGACAGCACCCATCGTGACGTCACGAGGCCCAACGTGGGAGTAAGGTGTGCACATCTTGACGTCACTTGTCGGAGTGGGAGGAGCGGGGGTAGGAGGGGGGGACAAGTCCACAGAGGCTCATGAAGTATGGAGACATGGATTCCCGCGCCGGCAGAGCACGCTTCCCGGTGACACTCTAAACAGGGGGTCACTCATCGCTAGGGGAAACAGATGTTGTCCTTCCCCCGCACCTCAGATTAGCATGGTTGGCTCCATACGGGGCATGCAAGAAGTTCAACATGAATACATGTGTCCATGCAGAGAGGTGGGAATTGGCGCACCTGTGTACTCCCCACCAGACACGTGGGATGACACCTGCGAGGCGTTGTCCCAGTCCTTGTCTGCAGTCGGGCTCTCGCCCGAGCCCGCACCGTCCGCATCCAGCAACTCCATGGAGCCAGACCTACACCCGCGTTCACATTCTCAATTCTACATCTCGTCTTACATTTGTAATGACAGGGTGACACCTGTTGGCCTGGAAAGGGAATCACGGGTACGGGCACGGTTAAGTAACAACCAATCAGAGAAGGAGATGTATCTGGGGAAAAGGTAACAGGTGGCGTTAGCCGTGATACTCCGGGAACCTGCTCGAAGGTTCCACGAGAGGGCGTGGCTGGAGGCGGGGCCTAGCCACGCCTGGGGGGATATAAGGGGGAGCGGACCCGGGGTTCGGGGTTCGTGTGTGGGATCCTGGGTCCTGGATGCGTCGCTGCTCGCCGACATCTCTCTGTCGTCCAGCCACGTGGAAGATCTCCTGCGTGGTTTCCATCGTCGTCATCGTCACGCCGCCAAGTAGCGGCGTGGCTGAGTGAGGGCGATGGGACCACGCCGAGTGATCGGCTGTGTGTCGAGTGAGGGCGATGGGACCACGCCGAGTGATCGGCTGTGTGTGTAGCCAGTAGAGGTGTTAATACCTAGAGTTATACTCAGTGTGAGGAAGAGCAAGTGTTGGCCTGTGTTGTGTCCAGTGTTAGTACTAAAGAAGTACCCTCTACACGAAATGTCACGCAAGTCACTCATTACACATTTGTTAATAATTGACTTCCTATAAACGGAACACACTGCGAAAACAATTACATGACACCTTAATATAAGAGTTGTGAAATATAACTGCATTATTACGGAGGTGGACATACGAGGAAAGTCGAGTTCGTGTTTTGGAATCATCACTAAGGAATATTCTGCTTGAAAGAAAACCTAAACTTAAGATTTGATAGAATGAAATGCATAATATTTATATAAACACACTGAAAACACAAATTATATTAATAACATGCTGAAAGAAAATATTGGATGCTTTCCAACAAGCGATGTGTGGCTTAGCCAAAACTCGTGGATACATAAAGCCACTGATTTTAATCCATTCTTATACTCAAGACGTAACCATAGAATCTTAAGTGTGAGAACCAATTGCATACCATTTTTTACAGACTACATGCTTCCACATTTCCACTGATAAGAGTGGACAAAACTGCACAAGGAAAATTAATTACAAACAATACAAACGAAAGGGCAAACACAAGAAATTATAACTGTGAACCGTAACGACTCATCAAATTGCTGGTGGTAGGCGCAGCAGCAATCATTACACAATGGATATAAATAGAGAGATGACTCGCACAGCAGACTGCTTGCAGAATTACGACAGCTAACAAAGTGCTTTAACTGGTGGTGTGCATCGAATCAGAATACAGTAAACCTCATTATTTCGGTACTTGATAATTCGTAATTGAGGATTATTCGGTATGGCTGCGCTTTCGGCATTTCTACAGTATTAGCAATTCGCCACGAGCCAAATTGTCGTACCGAACCGGTCCAATTTCGGCATACACGTGGAGCGTCGCCGCGCGCCACGACCAAAACAATGACTAAGTCTGGTGGTAGCGCGCACGGTGAGCGCGAGTGCGGACTTGTCGCTTTGGACTTTACCTTGTTTATGCACTCTGTGCAAGCCAACCCTCTCAAAGATGTCGTCTAAACCTACATCAAGAAGTAATAGAAAGGGACTGAAGATACAAATCCAACGTTTCGGATAGAATTGATGCACCTGTGTGTGTCAAAGGCGTATGGTGTGCGAAGAGTTTGGAAAACAAATTTAGAAAACAAAATTATTGGGGCAGGAGGCACTGGGGAGTACCATTGTACATAATTCAGAATATTGGATAATTCGGCAAGGCCAGAGCCCCCATGTGTCGAATTAACAAGGGTTTCCTGTATTTAGAGTGCAGGAGGAATCCGATGAGCTATGAAGCTTGTTGTCACAGATGTCCAGTAGTAGGGGTGGGTCAGCAAGTTACACCAACAAACATTACAAAAAACAACCATAGGAGTGCAAAACAGAGAAAAGTCACGATAAACAATATAAATAAATTATATAAATATAAATTGCCTAAGTACATAAATTGCTGCCGATGTGTCAACACCAAAAGCAAGCTTGGAGCAAGGCAGGAATACAACAACAAGTCCCAGACCACACCAAGACAACAGTCCCCCTGATAAAATTTTAACTATCGATAGATACATGGGTAAAGAATCAAAGTTACCAATCACATTTGCATCTGTCAACCCGGAGCAGTGCCTCCCCTATTACAGACCAATTTAGACCTGATTGGTCATCCTGTGCCCTTATAAATCTCAACGTTCACCCGACAAAGTCTCATCACAAGGGAGAAACACAAAGACAATTTTATTTTGTGCCCGTATTGAAATGGCTGTACGCCGTATGGACCAGAAAACTCAGTTTCCCTGTACGGGTTCACACAGGTATGCATTAGCAAATGTGGCTGTATGCAGGCTGGTGCAGCACCTGTTGGGACGTCGGGAACGGCCACCCTCCGGCTCGCTGTTGGTTGTGGAAACCAGGGAGAGGCTGGATGCCGAGTGAAACCTGTTGAGGGCGCCACCTGCATGCGGGAGCAGCAAACGCGGCCCTTAGGGGAGCCACCCCACCCACCCACCAGCCCCAACCACCACCTTCTCTATGTACAGTGGGGGTTCAACGTCATTGCCGATGCTTTGGAAAAAATATTGCTCGTGCCAAACAGGCCATAGGTGTGTCTCTCATTGTTCATGTTTTAAAAGAGATCACGTTAAAACAATGCAGTAATGGGACATTTTTTTTGTTGAACTGGTGGATGCCTTGGAAGGTATTTCATTTTGAGATGTCTAATTCAGACGTGTTATAACATCAAATTGTGTTTTATTGTGAGCTTGATTCAAGCAATATTGTTTGTGGACACCATCTGTTTGAGTTGTATAATTTCTCAGCTGGAGATTAACAAATGTAATTTCTATGGGTCAGTATACACAGACAGACAAGTTAAATATCCAAAGCAATGCTGTATTACAGTACATAAAAAACATACAATTGCAACATAGAAGCCTTAATTTATTTTTTACGTGAAGCACAAATGTATTCCTTTTGCAAATCCTTCCATAAGCCAACCTAAACATAACATTTTTTTAAATCTTTAAAAGCTTCATTATTATTTTCTTTAAATTGGCACTGCACAGACATCAAACTGTGCCTGGGCATATATTGCTGGACTCTCGTATTTCTCCACGTATTCTATCATCGTTAACGGCAGCATGAGTAAGGGCCTGGTTACACGCAGTCTATCTCATATTTCAAGAGAAAAAACTGTGGATTGGAAAGGAAAGGATAGGCACTGCAGTGACTGTGCAGTGGCTGAATCTTTTGACAGTCACATACCGACCGCGGGCTTGAAAGGCGACAGGCTGGCACTGCCGCCCTCTTCACGGTGCGCCGACTTGGGCCTGGGCTTCCTAATCTTGGCCTTAGCGCCTTTGGTGGCCTTGGTGCGGGCCTGGTGCTGCTCCCACTGCTGGTCCTGGTGGCGACGCCGGAAGACCTCGCGCACGTACTCGCGATCCGCCTTCTTCTCGGCCTTCTTCGCCTCGTCCTCCTCCACCTTGCGCCTACGTCATACAATCCCGGCAAGATGCTGTGGCCGAAGGCTTCGTGTAAACGTTTTTTTTAATCTTTCAATTATATGTTCGGGTTGTCACCGCTTAATTTAAGAAGCTATGGACAAAAAAATTATGTAAGAAAGTGTTCTTCTTGGTTCTTTCGGTAAAGTCACGCGGAAGGGAAATAACGGCTGCTTGCGTTGTGGCCGAAACGTCGTGAGAATTATTTTATTATGTTTTATTTGTATTATTTTATTATTTCCCTTCTATGTGACTTTACCGAAAGAACCAAGAAGATGAATCCCTGCAGTCACGAAAGCTTTAAATCGAAATAAGAAAGTGTTGTACTCCAAAGTCACATTCCGGCAAATGTGTTTGGGACAATGGTATCAACTCACGCAAGCTATTTAAAGAGTTAAAAACAAGTCTAAAGAGTGTTGATGACATCTGAGATATGTACTATCCTTACAAATTATGCACCGATTGCAAGCACAACTTTATTCTAATTGCACTATCAGTGTCATAGTACGAGATGAGGTGGTTCATTCAGAACTGTTGCATACGCCGTGTTCGAGACAGGCCCATGGAAGGAGATATCTCATAACTTCATCTAAAATCACTTCAATTGGCTTTTTATCCACAATACTACACTGAAAGGTTTGACCGAAAGGCAAACTAATATTCTGTATCCTCAGAGTTGAATGGGATTTATTTCTTGTGCCGTTATTGGTAACCAGGCTTACACATTCTTAGGTTTGTTCGGTAAAGTCACGTAGGTAAAAACATTAAAAAGTAAAATAAAATAAAAATCACGACATTTCGGAGGCAACACAAGCTTCCGTCTTACACAATCAACTGATGGTACTCAACAATTCTGGCTCAATGAATGTTACTCCACAGGTTCGAACTCGGCAACTCCGTGGTGCCAGCTCAGCTTCCTGACCCTGGCTGAACCACTTGGCCACCTCCACAGCTGAATTTTTCCTGTAAAATTTGCTTTAAAAAAGCTATTATAACCACCTTACTCAGAAAGCAACATAGTTTACACGTGTGCAAGAATGATGTATGTTAAACTTCTTTTGCACCGTACGTAGCCAACTGTGCTAATTGTAGGTGCGGGGAAGGACAACTAAATACTGCTATCTATCTCAAAAGAAAACTCATCAGTATAAAGTTTTTAACCCCCCCCCATCACCCCCCCCAATATGGCAATTAAATTAATAACAATGAACCAGCAACGCTCAAGTCAAATGTTAGTAAATGTGTCTGCAAATCGACTCCGGTTTCATTATTAGCCCTTACTTGGCTGTGAAGAAAAACGTCATGCCAGAGTAAATTATTTCTAAAACTGTGGAGTTTTAGCAGAACCCTACCATGCACCATTAGGTTGTGGTTAAAGGTCATTCCAAAAATGTATGTGGCCAATAAAATCCCGGCGCAATAGGAATGGTTCAAGTGCTGCTTAGAAGTTCATTTATAAATAACACGGTAACAGTTCATCACGATTTCCGACGGGTATTAAAAAGGTGAATGGCAGCCTTCTCTTCCAGGCCGTTTCATTCCCCTGCACTTCCACAATGAAAGATGCCGATTGTTCGCGCGAGCACATTCACACCCGCCAACCAAAGCTAATCCCCAAATGACCTCACCGCTGCAAGCCGCCCTCTAAGTCTGAGTTAAGTGGCTCATTAGCGAGCACAGATGACCCATAACGTTTGTAACATGCGCATCTCGGGTAACACTTCAACGTAGATGTCTCGGGTAAACACAAACATAATTACAAAGCAGATGTGGACGTTTCTTATAAACGGAAACACAATAACAGACATATATGCATTGTTAAACTATTTTTCACATCAGTGACTTTATTTAGAGGCCTCAAAAAAGCTACCTAATATCAGTGCAGTTACAACAGTGTGTGGTTGAAACATTCCAAAAGGCAACTTTTTGTGGGTGGCTAATTTTAGTTTCGGCAACACCAACTTCACTACTTAATCATGTAACTACCTCCCTTGGCACAAACATCAGTCGGAAAAACACAACCATGTTTCTGTAAAGAGACTTACATTTTCAGCAGAAAATAAATTAATGGCCACATACAATAAAAACACAAATCCTTGAAAGAAGCCATCACTGCATCACTGCTTCATAACACGACAAAGGCTGGCATGTGGAGTGAGATACACAGAAACCATTATCCATGACGAGACGACCTTTGATCAACACCACAATGTATTCCCATAAAATGCACTAAGGATGAAATGGAGCTGCCAAAGTGGTGTGGCGCGGTGTGCTACGATCTGAAAGCGTGTCAGCCCCTCTCATCCCCCGTCGCGCCCGCAGAATTCTCCGTACCTCTCCTCCTCTCGCTTCTTTTCAACCTCTGCCTCCATCTGTAGCTTCTTCAGGCGCGCCTCCTCCGCCTTCTTCTGCTGCTTCTGCAGGAAGGCCGCCTTCTTCCTCTCGCGCTCCTCTTCCGTGGGGCCCTGGTCTCCCTGAATTGGGTACGCGCGCACGCAGGCAGACGCGTCGGGCACTGAGGCACGGTTTTCTCCAGGAGACAAACGATGTGTCACCGGGCCCCCGAATACCGTTTGGAGTCATAAATGTCAGAATTCAAGCGAAGATACAAGCTGCGAGAGAAACATGCCCAGACAGTTTACCAAACAAAGTTAGGCAAATTGTTGAAATTCTTCAAACATAATTTAATACTTTTTTTTCCAGAGCTTTTACATTGTCTGGAATTGGCCGATGTGAGCATTTTCCGCCACTGGAACACATGCACATTTTATTGTGCCATATGCGATGGTGCATGCCTGTAATCCAGCGCTTTTGGAGGATGGATCACTTAGATTTGTGAGATTTCAAAGACATGCTGGGTTGGGAAATGGCTACAAAAATAGCAGTATAGAAAGTGGGTTTGTAAACTCCTCCAGTTCAAAGGTATTATCTCCTCTTACAAGTGGGGTTTTCTTCGGCGTACTCCAGTTGCCTCCCACATGCAAAAAACACTCATCAAGAATTGGCTTCACATCCAAACGCAAACCCCTTTTGAAAGACTCTTGAGCGGTTGATCTTACTATAATTTAAACAAATTTAGGGTTGGATTTTGCAACTGTCTTTCAAAGTTTTACACACAGTTACATTGCTTTGGCTTGACTGACCTCATCCCCCACCTGCTGCGGGACAACAGAAGAACACATTTGCTAAACAATTCCTACCGCACAAGTTTGAATTACGATGCTCATAGCTGGTTAACCACGCACCAGAGAGCTCTTCAAGATTATTCCCACAAATGGTATTATCTTAAATATGCAACGATAATAGGACGGCGTGGGGTGGGGAGCAATTACAAATGCAATCATGCAGTCGTTGAAGCAACGTGGTAATTATTCAATTATGACACGAACATTCCCACATTTCCCGTCTGTACAAGTTCAGTTCTGATATAAGTAACACACGCTTACATTACACTGGTGGGGGGAGGGGGGGAGAAGGCAACGGGAAAATTCTGATACAAACACACTGTAGATATAAGCACACGTGGCCTTGCTCCCAAGGGGTGTGTTTATATCCAGCTTCTTCTGTATAAATAATAAGACAATTTATAACGCGCGCAATGTTGCGGACTGAAGACGCAATTCTGAGGAGCGGAGCTGAGCTCAGTGTTAGATCGCATCGCGCGGTCCGGTGAGACTCGGTTAAATGTCGAGCTGAAGAGATGTGGCTTTAGATGGTTTTTGAACGAAGAAAAGTATCGATCGTTACGATGTGAAGAGGGATGGCGTTCCAAATGACGGGGGCTGCGACGGAGAAACAAGAAGCAATTACAGTCCCTGTCCTGAGAGTTTCAAGGAGAATGAAACGATATCCATTTAATCTCTGCCATCCGCTGACTTCCAAATAAAATAATAAATTTTTCTTTCTAGGAAATCCTGACCGAGTCTCAAGACTCTGTCAGAAGGGTCTCACCTGTATGATGTTTGGAAAAGTCTATTTGAGCTCTTTCCAAGCAATATCCAAACACTTTGATAAGAGCACCGACCCAATTAGTTTGTTAGTTAATAATTTAATCCAATATACTTCAATTTGGCATTCAGATATTACCTCCCTGAGGACGCAGTGATCCAAGGTTAGAGTCAGAGAGCTGCCTTAATGTACTGGCATACTTTGAAATCATGTTGAACAGCAGAGGACAGTTTGACAAATCAGTTGTTGTATCACACTACTCATTTTCACGAACCCACGCCGACCAACGTGCTGAAGCAAGTTCAATAACCCCCACGACAAGTATGGCGTGGGGATGCCCTCATCCAGCTGCGGATTGACAAAAGGCTGCACGCGCACATACCTTAAAGAAGAATCCCAGCGCTGCCTTCTGCTCGCCGTCTGTGGAATAATCAGCAGCATTCTCCGCTGCATCATCTTCCGACAGGAGGCCCTCGGGGGTGTTCATTCCGGACAGGTCCACTTCAATCAACCCCACTGGTCTCTGGGCGGGAGTCCCGACCTCTCTGGCCGGGCTGCTGGTGTTGGAGCTTGCCCTGCTTCCTCTCAGTTTGACCGGCGATCCTTCCATGGACGATTGATTCTCCATGGCGACAATGCTCTGCACTTCCTTGGGCGAAGGGGTTTTAACGACGGGTAACGGCTGTCTCGGCTGCGAAGGTGCCAGTTCGAAATCCGCAGCTTCCTCCGCTTCATCGCGTTCATCCTGTCTGCCCGGCGCCAGGTTCAAAGCCGTTTTGCTCGGGCTCACATCCCTGGAGTCAATGGTGGACTTCCCGCTGGAGACCGTAACCTTGTCACTGTCAGATTCAGCCTTCGACATGGTAGGGGACGAAACTTCGGTCTCGTCGTCGCCAAAACAGATGGTCGAGCTGGTCTGCATTCGCACTTCGTTGGGCGCGTATCGACGGCGGTGCCTGAGGTTATCGACGTACGGCTGCGGGCTGAGCACTCGTGCCAGGGAGGGCTGCGGAGACTCCTGGGGCGGACCTACGACGGAAAACCTCAGCTCGTTGGGTCGCGGTGTTGAGTTGTTTCTCGGGCTTCGGAGCTGCATCCGCGCCGGGGACTTTGAAAGGTGGCGGCGAGTCGGCGTGCGATTTGCCGGGGATCCTGAAGATGCGGGCGACAAAGAATAGGTGTCGTAATTTTTCTGCGGAAGCCTCGCCTCAGCCTCGGCCATGGCTTGCTGGCTGTCCCTCATCTGCAGCAGGTGCTCCTGTTGCTGGGCCATTCGCAACATCTCGCTCTGAAGCCCGCGCAGCGTGTCGTTGAGCTTGTAGATAGAGCGGCTGTACTCCCCAGAATCTGCCTCGCCTGCATTTTCCCTTTCCAGATCCTCCTCCAATGCACCGGTCACCTCAACTGGGAGACCATCTCCACGCCTGCCGGACTCATCGTAATCCCGCGGCTCTGCGGCCCACGCACCCATCATCTCTTCCGATTCTCTGTTATCTCCAAATGCTTCCGCTTCAACAACTTCTCGGCTTTGCCTAGACATGTCTGTCACCGTGTCGTCTTCGGCTCCACTGTCCACCGGCGCCTCCAACTGGGTTCTGGCGGGCAGCATTTGCTCGCCGCCGCTCTCCGACGAATCCCCTCCGATGCCTTGGGGGTCTAGACGGTCCTTCTTGCCTCCTTTAATAACATGCATGAACGCCTCCTTCCCAAACTTCTGCCTCTGCTTGGCGCACAGAGCCTCCACCTGCCGGCGCTGCGCCTCGATGGCCCGTCGCTTCTCCTCCAGTTTCATCTGCAGCCGAACAACCTCCGATGCCAATGGGTGATTGGGAGGGGACCCCGGCTGCTGGTCTTGCTCGGATTCTTTGGACAAAGCTTGGTCTCTGTGACCCCGGCTCTGTCTGGTGGCGATGGTGTGAGGATATCCGTTCTCCGAGCTGTCCGGGGTTGACCTCAGTGAACTACTCACGCTCGACTTGGTCTCCGCGCTGTTAAACTTCCGAAACTTCCTCTCGGCAAAGCTTGTCATTTTGACGCCCGAACTGGAAGACGTGTTGCTCTCAACGCTGGGACAGGGGCTTGGGCTTGGGCTGGGGACTGGAGAGCTCAAAAATTCACTCTGTGCTCCTTTCGCATCTGTGTTGTCGCTCGACTGAGGTTTCCCAGAATCATCCACGTCGGAATCAACCTCCACAATGTTGCCTTTTTCGCCATTCACTGGCTCAACAACCGGCAGGCCAGCCGCCAGGGCTTTCTCGGGCGTGTCATAGTGACTGTTTAACACAAAGCTTGCCCTGTTCGCATCAGGTTGACTCCAGGCGTCCGTTGAGTGAAGGTAAAATCCACCACCTGCCTTGCCCTGGGGGTGGGCTGCTGCTGCCTTGGCTGGGGAATTCACCCTCCTCAACACTGGCAGTGACTGGACATCGAAGCCGTCCTCCGCAGGCGACATGTTCCGCACGTCAGCACTCGTGACTGGGGCAAATGTGACAGATTTATCTGGGAGCTGGCTGCTTGCTTTCCTTCTGAACGGCACGGAGAAACCGTGCTCCTTCATCTTGCCGTCGTCTTCCGACTGTTCGCCCTCTGCCCCCAGCATGCCGTTCGCCAAGTTATCATGGGATGCCTCCCTTCCTCCGTCATCTTCTCCTGACATCAAGTCCGGGGATGCCTTTCCAAGCCCCCTGCTTGGTCTTTTTGCCAAGCTGTCCTTGCTGCGAGATTTTGGCATGGGCTTAGAGTCATCACTCACTCGGTCATCGAACTTGATTTCAAAGGAGACGGACTGCGACATGGGCCTGTTGAAATGAACAAATCGTGTTATTCAAAGGTAATATTAAATATGAGCGCGCAACAAAGGACCCGCTCTCTTAAACGACAAGATATTAACTGCCAAGGCAACCTGAGACGTGCAATGAAATATGTGTGCCCTAAATAACTGACGGTAATTACACTAATGTGGATAGATGTCATATAAGCAGTACACTTAGACTTTGTCAAAACCATTTAACGAGTACACAGCAAGGCATGAGAATCCCTGATCCATAAAATCCTGTTTGGAACATCACTAATACGACGTGCACAATTAACACTTTTGTCAAAAGGCCAAGCTGAATTTACTCAGATTTACATTGTCATGCAAACCCTATACAGCTAACTTATTGATAAAATCCCCCCCCACCCCCATCATATTCGTCAATAACACTGCCTTAAAAGCAACAAATATATCATAGGCAACTTCTCGGGCAATAGCCATTCTTTATAGATGATTTTGCCGCTATATATTTCCACATGATAAGCCACTTTGTTGAGCTATCATTTGTGGCCAGGTCACATTCTGAAAAAATAACCCGTAAAAACAAAGTTTTTCACTCTAAATCCTTTATATGCGTGGCGGCTAGAGTCCTCTCGTCCTCTGGCTTGAGATGGCTGCCACCTATGGGTCAGATGATTGTCTGCAGTATTAAACAATTGGTAATTAAATATTTAATTAGTTTTCCCTAAACAGTGTAAAATTTTTGAAAAAATTTTTCACGAACATTAATTGTCTCGCACAACGAGTCTGTGTGCAAAATGTCAGCTCGATTGGATCACGGGAAGTGGGTTAAAAAACGACCGAAAGGTTTGCACGGTCGTAAGCAAGCAAGCAAGCAAACTTAATATAAAGGATTCAAAACTTAACCCGTAAAAACAAAGTTTTTCACTATAAATCCTTTATATGCGTGGCATCGGTTTTATGTTATTATTCATTTCTGTTTTTGCTCGATTGGATCACGGGAAGTGGGTTAAAAAACGAGCGAAAGATTTGCACGGTCCTAAGCAAGCAAGCGAACTTAATATAAAAGATTTAAAAATATATTCTCCTGTGGAGGACGCGGGAATCGATCCCGCGACCTTTGGCATGGGAAGCGAGGGCGCTACCAACTGCGCTACTCCGCCACGGCCTGTGGAGGGGTTACGCTCTGGGCTCCTACACTGTGATGTTCAGCCAAAGCCATGAATGAGTTCTATTTGAATAAATGTTAAATAAATTTTTGTTGCCTAAAAAGTGTAAAATTTTTGAATTTTTTTTTCACGAACATTAATTGTCTCGCACAACGAGTCTGTGTGCAAAATGTCAGCTCGATTGGATCACGGGAAGTGGGTTAAAAAACGACGACGAAAGATTTGCACGGTCGTAAGCAAGCAAGCAAGCACGCACGCAAGCGAACTTAATATAAAGGATTTAAAAAGAAGTTCATAGCTCAGTGGGCTTTACCTGGTAAGATAAGCGATTTGTTTACCTTCCCTTTCCTTTGCACTCCTATTGTGTTTTTGTCTTGTTTGTTGTTGTAACGTTCTAAACTGCCCCTACTGGACATCTGTGAAAAAGAGCTTTATAGCTCATCGGATTCATCCAGGATAAATAAATATTCAGATTCTATAGCACATATCGGTGTTATTGACGAACATGTTGAGCTCTGTTTTGCTGTGCTTGTGCACCCCACTGCCAATGCAGCATCGCCAGCCACATAGTCTGCGTAACTTATTGATCGTCAAGCTTTGTTTCACAATAATTTTATAGTAGATAAAACAATCGGTTGACTTGATTTGACTCATTGCTAGAGATTACAATAATCACCCAAACGCAAGCAAGTGCTGGTTAAAGCACCAACATTGACTTGTGCAAGTCTTACCTTTGTTTGACATCTGCTAGCAAAGGAGCTTGGTCCAACATGGTCAGTGATCCAGACTCGGAATGTGGCAGTGCTGAAACGGAGACACGTACAATTACACTCCTACTAAGTAATGAATGAACCACAGAAATAAGTTCCGACAAAATGCTATTTCGGTAATAGTTGCAGCATGTGAGCCTATGACCAAATCACCCAGAATGTCCGATCTTGTCAAATCTCTGATAATTAGCAGTGTTGAGACTTAAGCGTGCTTTGATCGGCGACAATCGAGCACTGCAGGGTGTTATCGGCTGTGTGGTGAAGCATGTATAAATAACCCCATGACCCACACAGCATCCAGAAATGGATTTACACAGGGCTCTGTAGCATATAAATACCACCTAGCATTTTCAATAATCAAGCTCAGGTTAATGTCACAAAGGGGACATTTAAACAAACACTTTACGTTAGCATATTGATTGATATCAGAATGTAAGCAATCCGCAAAACGTGAATCTCTCACCGTCAGTGGAATGCTCGAGGGGTTCTCTTGGACACACAAACTCTGGTCTCACCACCTCGAAGCACCAGAACAACTCGGCCACAAAAGCCATAATGTTTGTCTGAAAAATCAAAAGGAACATATATTTTGGTGAAAAAAACATATTTCGCAGCTTGAATGAAATTATGAAGGTATGTGTTTTTATTACATTTTTGTGTATGTATGTATGTATGTTGAACTTCTTTCACACAGTATGTAGCCAACCGTGCGGAATCGGGTATTCACTGCTAACCCCGTTGTCAGCATGAAAAAACTACATACTAAGTACAACAAAAATTACATCTTTGAAAAAAAAACTCGTTCATAAAAGTAGACAAAGTATGAGAACTGATCAATCCTACAAGTTTCCCTCGCTTTACGTGAAGCGTTCCAACAAAAGGGCGCGCAAAGCGAAAGCGGGTGAGACAACTGCCTGCCAAGCAGCGTCCGCAGTGCACACACCCCAAGTTGTCCCACGTCAGGCCACATATCCCCATACGGGTGAATTCAATCAGCATAGAGCGGAATTTGGGTAGAAATAGGCAAGCCGCATATTAGCCAAACAGCACAAACCGAACCCGTATAAAACGAGGGAAACATGTAGTTAAATTCTAGGATTTGAAGCTTTCGTGACTGCAAGGATTCATATTCGTGCTGTGACGGTTCCACCTGAAGACGGAAGCTTGTGTTGCCTCCGAAAGTCGTGATTTTTATTTTATTTTACTTTTATTAATTTTAATTTTTTACCTACGTGACTTTACCTGTAGTTAAATGTTGTGATAAGCTCTAGATAAAGGCCTTCTTTTGACCAGTTTTACGCGCAGAGCTACAAAGGTCAGCACAACTTGCTTATATAATAAACCGCTACGACAACCAGACTGTAAAACCAATTTGTGGCAGCAGCTAAATATGGATCTAAAAAGGTTTATATTTAATCCTTTTTAACCCATAACAGCACAACATAAATGAACGATTGAGGAAGCATCTGCTCTCGCTGCCTGATAAAAATAAAAAAAACAAAAGTCAACTTAACTGAAATAACTTTATTAAACACGGACTTTATTGTGCTCCACAGCAAACTTTTACAGTTGGGCATGCAAAATAAATGTAGCATGGGATAATGCATAAAACCAAACAGAAATAAATAGTTCTTTGTTTTAGGACTGTCACATTATTGTTTAATTGTATATTGCCAACATTAAACATGGCAAAAATTGGGTTCGTAAACAAATCGAAGAGTAAATGTCCAAAGGTTATTGACATCTTTATATATATTTAAAGTATTTTATTTCTGTTCGTTAATTATATTAGTCATGTCAGATTAATGGCCACTCGTTAGGAATCCGGCAAGATTAATTGCAACGAAAGTGGATGATAACAGAAGCTAAGGTTGACCGAAAACTGTGGACCGATTCAGCGGACAAGACACTAGAACGGAAAGGAATGACATGGAAACACCAGCACCAAATGGTCTACGATAGCTCGTGATGGACGACCCCTGCCGAAATTTCCATGGACACGGGCGGCCTCCATAAAATAACATTTCGTGAGCAGCAATATTTAGTGCCTACGCCACGCAGGGCTACCTTGAGAGCAGGTGGACAACGTAGCAGGTCGGAGGGCGTGAGCAGCAGGCAGCCCTCAAAGTGTTGCTGAGAAACGTCCATCAGAAGTCGAATGTTGTACATTCTCTCCGTGGGGCTGAGTCTCTCCTTCAGGCACACGTCTGCAACAATAATGAGGGCACCCGTGATTATGCAACCAAAGCAAACACACGCCAGCATTTACACTGTACTCGTCTTCAATTTGCCCACCAAGTTAGCCGATTGGAGGACATGGCGAGTTGAACTCGCACAAGGCCTGGAGACTGGACCGTCGTAAATAAGCAACCAAATCTCGATAAAAGACACTCGGCTTTAACTTTTTAAAATGGATTGGGCAACATGCTTACAAGAAACAAAATAGTATGATAAAAAGTCAATAATTTTATCAAACAATAACATAGAATACAAGCTGAGAGAGTAAGCCCCCCATGTTGCTGTTACTGTACATCAGAGTTGTTTATCGAAACATTTTATTGGAATTAGTAGGGAACTCGTTGTTAGGCAACGTAAAACAAGACTCGGCATTCATATTTCACACTATTCTCACAATCCTGCACTCAAAGTAATCTGCCTTTTAACGTCATAAAATGCCAAGATGATATGTATTGTGAGGCGTTTTCCCTCTTTTCTAGGATTTAAAGAATATTCTGGTAAAAGAATGACATTAACAGGAGCACAAATTGAAAGGTTATAAAAAATTTAAATGAACCGTGTCAGTCTGCTGTATTCGTTATTCTCACCTCTTTGGTGTCACTATCTGTTATATCTCTTCCGAACTTCTTCCGCCATTTAAACTCAATGTTTATTTGTTACATGGAAAATTACGTTTGCCAGTCACCCCAGCTGGTTTCGGTTACTAATAATAGTTATTATAAAATTATAAAATGCTATCTGCACTCGTCTCCACCCCACTAACAATAACAGGAGCAGCAGCAGCAGCAGCAGTAAAATGGCACTTCAAAAGAGCCATCACAATGGGACGCAAGACAGCTACAGCCTCAGCGGTTTTAAGTCTTTCCTTTGCACAAGAGCAGACGGAAAATTATGGGTGTGGGCGAGTAAAAACAGCACAGTAACGGAACTTGGGCCGATCAAGGAATTTATAAAATGGGGGAGGGGGGGGTCTGTGGGGTGTGAAGTGAGGGAGGTGAGGTGGAGCTCCGTGCAATGGCCACAGTCGGCGGCATATGTAGCTTGCCTCCGGTTAAATTATTAATTGTCACACTGCTCTTACTGTGCAGCAGAACCATATTGTCAAGTCGTCTGCCAGGAAATGTTTGGATCACTGCTGGGAAGCAGGGTATCGAGGCAGTTAAGGGGGTGAAGAAAGATGGTCGAGTTAGGGGGGGCGAGAGTTTTTCGGAATTCCAATCCTCTCCACCGAACCCAACCCCACGTGGAAAATATGTGGTACCTTCTAGCCTAAGCAGTTCCGGGCAGTAGTAGTGGATTAGACTGAGGAGGGCTCTTCCATCAGATATCTCAGACAGGCTGCGCAGCACTGGGATGACTGGTAACTGCCTCGACACGGACGGATCCTTTCGATATCGCACCTGGAGAATAAAAAGAAAACACATGCACATGTATACAAACACGCGCATAAGCAATTTTCATTTCGATACAGGAACACAACTGGATGCGGATTGTCAAAAAAACATTGCTTTTATGCTGTTGCGTCCTATATGCTTTGAAATCAAATAACAAAATTAAAAAGATTGAATGAAAATTAAATGAAAATTGCATTTTAAATTTCATACCGACAGTTTCATCGCAGTACAGTGTAGATCACAGATATAAAACTATCACTGTTGTTACCATTAAAAATGTATTATAAAGCACGCAAAACACACAGTGTCAAATGTAATGCATTAACACACAACTGTGTGTCTTAAATCAGAAAAGAATGTATTCCAGTTGACTGCACCCAAAAATCATAAAATAAAGCCACAAGGTAATTGTTGTGCTACAAATCTTAATATATATTTTTATGCAGCACTAACATATTTTATTAAACTTCAAACTAGCTTAATAATAAACAGTACCGTACCACTCTTGCATTTTCCTCTGGTTCTTTCATACACAACGAAACGGCAAGCATCAAGTCAGGCTGAAGGGGAGTTGACAATGGAGAGGAAAGAGAGGTGGGCTTCACCACAAGGAAAATAAACACAGAGCAAAAGAAAAGCACTAGAGTATGAAACAAAGAGGACAAAAAGCACGTGTGAATGCAAACAAATGCGTCCAGTGGTGACAACGATCGTGAACACAAAATGGGTGGTAAGAAGTGTTTCTTCTTCACGTGGAGTTGGAACAGGAAAAAAAAGCAAACATTGATGTTTTGGGTAAAACTTACAGGAACCAGCTTCCAGTACCACTTGGCCGGAGACTGTGCAGGAAAAGAGTTGAAAAGCAAAGGGAAGGTAAAGTAGCCTTGATTACACTAATTTGATGGGAATCTGGTCACGGTCAATTTCTCATGTGCTTTTGAATAGCTTCTGATCAATGACAATGTAATTAGACCTGCAGTGTTAAAAAGCCTGTCTCCTGCTGAATTAGTGTGACTCTTGGATGATTGAAATTGTGTTGGCCAAGCTTGACTTTGCAGACTGCCAAACTACCCCGAGCACAACGCCAAGACAAGAGCAATGTAGAATTTCAACGTATTTATTGAAATTCTGATAACATAAAACAAGTATAAATCATCCAATAATACATATGCTGGTTTTTGTTAGATGAATAACATGAAATGTCAAGTGACCACAATCAATTTCAGTTGGCCATATTATTCCTCATATTACTAAACAGTACAGGATATTTGATTGTATTTCTTACAGAAAGCTGAACATGCCAATACAGTGAAGTCGTCAAACAATGCAATACATTTCCTCTGTCAATGCCTGCTGGGAAATGACCTTGGCGGCTGCCATTAGTGCCTGGCTGGCTTAATCTTTACAGTACGTTTAACCCCTTCACATGCTCAAACTTTGCAGAATGTCCTTTGTTTTCCCCTGTACAAGTTATAAATGCTAACATGTCCCTGGGAATCAATGCAGCACTGGCCAATACAGATTTAAGTCAGCCCATTTCAGTCCTTGAAATTGCACCTTCACAAGATGCAATTTTGAACATCGCTCGTTTCGAAGCCGCGTGCACTCTGTATAAGATGGCAGGCTCTGCGCAAGAGTGGCTCAAGTAAAATCCGATGTTACTATTGAACCAACTTTTTATGCGTGCCCATTTACTCTTTTCCCCCTTACGTGTTTGACGTGTCCAACGGCGGTGAGGTCTTAACATTGTTTTCAGAAGGTTGAACATGGAATCAGTACAGCGAGAACCATCACCCGAAAGAAGAGTACGCAGGGAAGCACATTTAAACCTGGTCCCCCTTAGCAAGGCTGCAGACATTTTTGTTACAATTTTACAGTATTCAGTGTGTGCAAGAGATTTGACTCGGCTCACCTTCTGTTGGCAAGCTCCCTCTGCAACGCTCTGCTGCTTCTGCTCCTTTTCAACAGAATCCTTCAACTTCATGTTAACCTGCAGCATAAAACAAATGGCACCTGAGCACACGTACACCACGATAATATTATTACAACTTCCATGCCAAACCGCCCATGAAGGCTGATTCTATATTATCTTCTCAAGTGACTTTGGAATTAATTTCAAATATCTTCAAAGTCATCACCAGTAGTTCAATATATAGATTCTTCTCAGTATTGGGATTTGAGAGCGCTGTGGTTCTTTCACTAACAATACAAAGCTGAAAATGACAAAGTGCCATTCTTCCACAATGATGTCCATGCATATGTTAATTTCACTCAAGGTTATTTTCCCAGGAGAATTGAACATCGGTCGCTTTTGAATGAAGGAAATCTCTCAAATCCGTTGGCACACGTGCGCTCCGTGTAGGGTACACCGTCTCCTACTCCCGCCGTTACACTGCCATTTTATTGTCGTTGGCGTCCCCATCGTCCTCCTTGACATCTGTCGCGATGGGCAGCCGACGGTGATAGGTGATGGCCCCAATGGCAGTGCACAACATGCCGAAGAGTTTCATTAGTACTTTAAATAAAATCTTTAAGGGTCTCAGCAGAGGCAATTCCCATACGGGCTCGTTTCTCCGTGAATAACGCTCTGACATAATTGTACGATCTTCTCTCCCTGGATGCTACAGCAATTAATGAAACAGCCCCCTTCTGGCCTTCTTCAGCCAAGTTGCATTCTTCCTGGTTCGTTGTGCAAAGATTTAGAGCAAATTGCAAGGTCGACTAGTGAACAGTAGAGATATATACGAGTAAAGGCCCCTCCCTAAACCACATGGCAGGGAATTAACGGCATTCCATCAAGATTAGGAAAATGGTCAAGGCACGGTTTTTAAGGATTTTGTGTCAGTTAGGGCCAAAACGATTGCACATTTTTTTGTTGTTGTTTAGAAAATGATAGATTATTGACCAATGTTGATTGGAGGGACACTATTCATTATCATCACGAATCCACCTATTATGTAGATTGCACCTCACTGATACATATCATGAAGTGTTTGTGATGTTCAATATGAAAACCTGACGCAGAAAGACACTCACATTCGGTGACCCTTAACAGACTTCAATGATCCAACACGCCATCAATATGACCAATAACCCACAAGCAGCACTGCGGGTCTCCTGCTATTGCGGCATACATTAATTTGCACGCTGGACAACATTTACAGGGCAGTGTGTGCATTAGCTGTGCAACAATGGGACAGGCTGGGAATGGTGCCTTGTTTCATTTTTATCTTTTCCACTATTTTATACCAATTTGTGCTGCTGGTGTCATGCCATGAGATTAAGTATCCAATTGGAGGTCTCCTACAGCATTGCAATCTTTGGTGAGATAATGGTTCATGGAAGGAGATATCCAGAGCTACTTCTGAGATCCCTTCAAGGAGTATTTTTATCCTAAACACATACACTCTACCATGCGATTGTTTGTGTGCTTTTGCACACACTGGTCGTAAAAAAATCACGTGCTTGTGAATGAAAGAGACGCGGCATTTCACAATCGCAATGCCACCGTCCGAAAAACACTGGGGCAAAACTTTCGTTAAATTTTTTAAATCTTATTCCCCATTTTTATTCCCATTGTGGCATTGGCACTGTGTCACGAGATCATGCATCCAATCGGACGTCTAACATTGCAATCGTTCACCTTAAAGAATGGTTCACGGGAGTGAATATCAGAGCTACCTCTGCGAATCTTGAAGTAACCACTGTTCCACACAGTAGGGGGCAGCATTATCCCAACCACTTCACCGCATGACAGACACATCGATATTTTAATCATCACAGCTGACATTGAGTAAAATGAAGTGCAGAACCAATTTTAACTAAATTACTTTTTCAGTTTAGACATTGGTGAGTGGGCCGAGTCAATTGACAACCCAGTTATAAATGCAGGTAGTTGCCTGGATTCCAACTCAGCTGCTCAGCGATGCCAGCTCAGCGCTGCGACCTCCGAGCCACCTGGCCCACCAGGCACGACGATGGTACCTTATTGATCCAGAGAAGCATGGCCCCATCGAGGTCAAAGGGCAGCTCGCGCGGCGAGACGACGGAGAACCTGCGCACGCTCGTCACCACCTTCTCGATGCTCATCTGCTCCACGGCGCACGCCAGCATCAGAGAGTCCAGCATGGCCAGATGGCAGCTCTGTTGCACGCCAGGGCAAGGGGAGCATGAGACAATTGGTTTCATACAAAAAACGCTGTGTTTACATCTTCTGCAAGTAAATCACAGTGCAGGGTCTCGTTTTATAGTGAAAGCCACATGGCAGCCATACTTAGCAGGGCTTAACTTAAAAAATACAATAAAACATGTTTTGTCTTGTACAAAAAAACCATACTTCCATCTATGTATCTACGTAATAATAACATGTTTATCACATCAGCCTACAGGCCTTCCAGACGAATGTGATGTGGATTCATTTGTTTAAGCAAGCAAAACCAGTTTTACATTTGTCTCATCAGCACAGTCAGTCTTGTAGAACCAACACTCCTGGGTTGGTAGATGTTAAATAACAGCAATATTGGCAAGGGCGCTCCAACTTCATGATGCAGCACAGTTAAGTGCAAAAAGCAATACTGTAGAGAAGTTCAATATACGCGATTGTGAAGCATCGAGTCATGAATCGTATTTCGGTGTCATGATCAAAAATGCTGAACAACGGCAAATAATATATTTATTCAGCGTCTTGTAAACATGTACAGTACCTAGGCTGTGCACCTTGGGCTGTCAAACACAACCTTTGTGAATGAAATAAAAACAAATGGTATGCTAAGTGTGCCACCCCAAGTACTCATATGATGTCACTCTGTTGATGCTGCATAAAATTGTCAAGGGTATCCCGGGATACAAAGCCGAGGTACTTATATACAAGATATAAGAGCTATTTGTTTATGGGTTGCTCATCCCTTAAACACTAATCGCGATGAGCAAACACTGGGTTTTTATTAGTGTTCGTTCATATTGGGTGAGATACAGAGGTTCAGTTCATGCTGTATGGTAAACTGGGATTTTGATCAACTTGAAACTTGTGTTAGAGACCACCGATTCCACAGCGAGAGTAGTACAGCCCTCTTCCAATCCACTGCTGGATGAAAGGCTCCCCCACATCGTGGGTGTTGTTTTGACCGGTGTGGTTTGGTGCAGGTGGGAACATAGACGTACAGTGCAACAATGCATTTTGCCCACAACGTAGCCCACAGCTTATAACCCTCGTTATGTATGGTGGTTAACCACCGAAGCACTATCCAGGCTCAACTTTTTGAGCTTCGATGTCTGACGAAGATTGGACACATTCCTGGTGATATGGCCACAGCCAACAGCTACAGGCCTTGTGCAAAACCATTGTCGGCTCAATTGAATAAAGAGTGAAGTTCCAATGGTGTCCTCATGCAATCACTCGCCATGACAGTCATTCCCTGAGCTGACAGTCGCATTCTAAGACTTGTGTTTTTTATTCCCAATGCTGGCCAAGCTCCCATCATTCAGCACCGTAATTGCAAACGGTGCATCTTGCATTGCCAATGTTGGATTATAATGCGAATTGGAGATTCAGGCAATCGACACAGCTAATAAATTGCCACGCTTTCCATTATTTTGCAGGACTACCTCAATACAGCTGCACAGGATGAGGAAGAGAGCATGCCATTTTCATTGCCATTATCACTTGGAAAACATTGGTCCTTTTGAAACATGCAAACCTAATAATGAGACCCAACAAGAACCATGTCCCCTTTGAATTTCTTGAAATATATTACAAAATAAATATTCCCACCGTTTCTGCAAGAGTGGGTCTCAAGATGCGGTTGCAATCAGATGGTATAAAAATAAAAATTGCATCGAATTGTGCATACTAAACTTGCTAAAGCTGAAATGCATTGGTACTGCCAGTGTGCAGCTACATCGTTTTGTGGCACTGTAAAAAAAAAACAACGGTGACGTAATTTAGCATCGGTGAGTAACACCATTAGTCATGCCTCAAGGATTAGTTTCTCCACGCCCACGTTAAGATGTCTCCGTCCTCATTATTTGTAAATCCGTCGCAATTGTAATTCTCAAAGCAGTGCTGCCATTTAAGAGACCTTGAGAATTAGAATAAATATCTGGCCAGTCGAGCAAGCGTCAAAAACATTCATAAAGAGGAACACCAAGCAGAAATATCGTATTTTATAACCACCGTCGCCAATACCAATGCCTGTCTCTAAATGCATCAAGACATCTTTGCAATGAGCCTTTAATAATAATACAGAGGCATTGGTAAAAAGCCACTGCTGGATGAAGGACATTCCCATGCTATATTAGTCATGATAATTATTTGACCATATTTCACCATGCTGGTGAGTATAGGTTAGTGATATGGGGGGGGGGGGTTCAGATGTTGTTACTCAACACGGATGTTTGCTGTGGCTGTGAATCACATATAGGTCGCCAGGTTCAACGTTCAGTGCGCTCACCACTGTGCCATCACTCCACCCCCATATCGACAATTTATCGATTTCCAAAAATAGTGCAGCAGCTTCAAACCATTGAGATATTATCCATTGTATTATACAAACTCGATCACGTTCACTTTATGAACAGTAGCCACCATTCTTAAAACAAGTCACTCAACCCGAGGGGTTTAAATGGGAAGTCTTGCCCATCCTGTATACTATGTAAACAACACTTGTTTATGCAAACACAATTTGACAATTCCGGTTGTAATAGTTCTCTCCTGAGCCCGGCACTACAATCTCCTGTCGTACCATTCTCAGTGAGCGCGACTGTATTTTAAATGTGTGAAGAAGTATCACGATTGTGGCATCGCAAGCGCGGTAGTTTATAACCTACGAAACAATTCGTAACCACTTCATGCACGCTATTCAGTGACAGGTTCATTCCCCACTACCAGCAATTGTTTCACCTTTCATGGCATGGTGCCACGGAGGTCCTTAACACTCCTTGTTATGTGATTGTATTCATTATGAAATGTCAGTTGTTGTAAGATAATTCCCCACAAACAACTAACCAGCTTCGTCATAAACCGTGCCTTACGTACTATAAACATAGGTAGCAGCCCAACGTTTCTGCCAATTCATTCATATACATTTCTTAAAAGACACCTGGGAGCCCATTGGCACTCTCTTTTTCATGGCAATTATCTATTGTCATGAAAAGATTGACCGACTTAGTGTTGTGTTTATGTAGTTTTTTTAAATAGGGGTGATGTGGTTGCACTGTGGTTTGCACACTGCGCTATGAACTCCGTGACCTGATTTAGATTCTTAGCCACGTCTAGCATGAGCAGCGAGGGATATCTGAATCAGTCCTTCACCAGCTGGCACTAGCCAGTGTGTTAAAGTATGGTCCAACATCCCCAATAACCAACAGTTGAGTGGAAGCATTCATCTTACTGTGGATTGACAGCGATTTAAAATGCTAATTTATCAAGAACATGCATGGCATGACAATTTGTCTTAATGTAAAGAATTAGTTATTCTGGCAGTTAAAAAAAAACATTTACATAAATGCATTTACAAAGGAGCATATCTGTGCGGCTGTACCCAGATTTTGTACGGCACACAATTTCCATCGATTTCCTTCCATCTTAATCGATAGGTCTTTGCCGCTCCGAAACCTGCACGCTCTTGCTCACAACCCCTGTAAGGTTTATTAATGCAAAAGTGCAGTCAAAGCACGTCATTCATTAGTCCCCGTTGGCTTCCAAGTGGAAAGAATGTCACTGAACTGCAGTGTTGAGTATACAGTAGGCCTCAGTTTACACAAGGCTGCTGCATGCATCATCAAATAAAGTGCCTCATTTTATGTTCTCGCAGGCCAAGAACAAGCCACATTGCTGTAAAATATAACGCTCTTCTTTGTTTATAGTTTGCAATAATGACAGTGCAGCATGATCTATTTGTACACGTCATTGCAAATAAACATTACACTTAATTAATAAGTGGTTTGTATCGCCCAATGGTCAGGATCGTTAGAGAGTGTACTTTAATTCACTGCTCAAAAATCATGGCCCAGGAAATGTCTGAGTTCAGAGATATACATTCGTTTTCAACTGGGTTCCATCCCCCATGGCAGAATCGCTGATGTTGTGAACCACGAACTAATTATGCATTCCATTCACAGCCCTAAACTGCGGTGAGGCCGAGTGAGGCAGAGTGTGGCGAACATACATGCACTGGCCAAGTCTCTTGCGAAAGCTGGGACAAGATGTAAACTGGTCAGACGTGTACAGTGGCTTTGACACCCTGGAATGAGGTGTGTTCGGCAGCACACGGCCACACACTAAACCGCACTAATGACAGCGTGCGCGGTGCACTCGGTGTACAGAAAATCACACGCCTGTGAAGGAGACTAGGCATTTCACAGTGACAATACCACTACCTCAAAACACAGGCACAAATTTTCGTTCATTTTAAAAAAAAACCTACTTTCCCAATTTAATCCCAATTGTGCTATCGGTGTCATATCACGGCATGCAAACAGCCATTCAGATCTCTCCCAGCGTAGTGTGGCTCTTCGTGTTAAAGACTGGTACGTGCAATCAGGTATCGCAGAGCAATCTCCGACATCCCTTCAAGTGTTGCGGAAATGTGCCATTCCCGACTGTGGAACAGCATATTTCCACCTTATCAGACGCTTAGAATAATATTTGTTGCATGAGATTCATCCCTACACGTTTTATTTTTAAGAGCTTATATTTAGCCAAATTATGTACAAACTAAATATCACGTGATGTACAATTATAGGCAGCAGCCTAGATTCGAAAACCAGAATCTCAGAGGTACCGGGTCAGCAGTCTTGACCTCCGAGCCATCCGGTTACACCTAACAAAACACTGTCCTTTACCAACAGCATGCGTGCTCACTCTGTGAGAGTCATTATACTTCAACACGGAATAATCAGTCTACTAGTCACATTCAAATGTGTTCCTTGCACGAGTTTGTGATATTTTGTGCTAACCCTGTTTCATGCAAACTCAACGCAGCAAAAAAGCCACAACCCCAAACAAAGAACGACGAGGTTGTACTGTACAGCAACAGCACAATGGAATTATAATTTCGTTATCTGAAACACGACCTTGACGTAATGACAACGACCAACCCCAGCCGGCCACTCAGTTGCAGCACAGCACAACCGATGGACCCAAACTGTCAGAAGGAATATCAACTGCACTGGTGAAATGTAGGTCAGGAGACCAACAACTGAATTCCCATAGCACTCTCCAGACACACAATACAACAATGCCTCGAAATGCAAACATTCACAGCAAACAGTACATATGCATATTCAGAAAGGTGATAAGTAAATTGCACTAAAAACTGTTGAAAGGATGACCACAGATGTGTATAAACGCAGACCAAAATACATATCCGATGCAAGATTGATTAGCCGCTGCGATCTTTTTTTTCCACCATGGGGGGTTTAATTTGTCTGACAGGAGCAAAAAACGCACTCTTTTGGACAGGATGACATGGGAATGCAAGTCGTGTTAGGACAAGCCAACGATACCACAGGCTCACTGTCTTAACCCCTGGCCGATTTCAATTGTGCTGCAAAGCCTGCCACACAGTACCAACACGGACTCGAGGGGAGGTCTGCGCACACAGACCTCTTAATTCTGGTACCTTCCCGTCTGCGCAGCTCATAACCTTAAGGAAGTACAGTACTGCATTCTAGTTATTCCAGGGGGGATGCAGAATGATTCACTTCCTTTGTTAGCCACGGATGCAACTGATAATTTATTTCCATTGTCAAATCACTGTCTCTGAAGCAGAGCAAACGCTAATGAAGGAGAAGTCAAGGTACATCAGAAGGCTCATGATATTATTAAAAACATGAATGCAAATAGACTATGTCAACTTGTAAACGACGCAGTTATCTATTTTGCTGTATACTGAAAAATGTATGTAAACGTCGAAAGGTGTATTTTTTTGTCGACTAAAAGCTTTCGTGACTGCAGGAATTCATATGCTCTGTAAATGTTCAACTGAACCGTAAGTCAGAGAATAACGATGCCTTGCATGCATTCTTCTGACAAATCTTGCTTTTTACCTATTTTTCATCCCGATGGTGTCATCAGTGTAATATAATGGGATAATCTCTTACAGCGCAGTGCAATCCTTCATGTAACATTATGGTCCCACAGCAAGCGGATCCCACAGAGGACCTCTCTTTGAGATCCCTTCAAGAGACTTCTGATCCACACATTAGGGGGCATCACATTGATCACATGACAGTCAAAGCAATGCTTTTATTTCTCAGAACTGGAATTTATAGAAATTAATTACAGAGCCAAATTTTAAGTGATGGGTTTTTTGTGTGCAGTATTTGGTGACTGCGTTGAGACCATTAACTCACTACACTTGCAAACCTGGTTTAATTACAGGTCGTGGCCTGGATTTGAACCCAGGCGTTCAGTGGCGCTGGCTCAGTGCACTGAACCATCAGAACACCAGTTGTTTTTAGTTAAAATGTTTAATTATTTTGTATGCTTTCAAATCCAACTTCAGTTAAATCCACCTTTGCGTTTGCCCATAAAAGAATCGCAATGAGTGGGGTATTTACGACTTTATTGCCTGTCAAGTGTCAACACATTTCAGTGCTTGGTTAGCATGGCTCAGCTCTGTTTGTAGCATAGCTTTGGGGGGGAGGGGGGTGTAAACACCGGCAAGCTTTTCAGCTGAAATAATTTTCTTGGTTCTTTCGGTAAAGTCATGTAGAAGGGAAATAATAAAACACAATAAAATTCTCACGACGTTTCGGCCACAACGTAAGCAACCGTCCTCAGGTGAAGAACAGGTCTGTCGGAAAGACAGCCTCCTAATGCCTGCTTGTGTTGTGGCCGAAACGTCGTGAGGATTTTTATATTTAATTATTTCCCTTCTACGTGACTTTACCGAAAGAACCAAGAATATGAATCCCTGCAGTCACGAAAGCTTTATATCGAAAAATAGAAATGAAATAATTTTGTTACCTCATCAGAAAAGTATAGTTTAGAAGCAACCTCCCTGTGTGTGTACACCTCTTAATACCAAATAGACCTTTATTATTAAGTGCAGCTCAGTGGAGTTCCGAGTCACTTGTTTTGATTTTGACTTAAAACTTTCGTGACTGCAGGAATTCATATTATTTGGTTCTTTTTGTAAAGTCACGTAGATAGAAAAAATAATATTAAAAATAAAGTAAATAAGAATACCACGACGTTTCGATCGCAACACAATTGGTCATCATCAGGAAAAGGGGTTAGCCTCTAAAGGCAAACTGTTTATAAAGGTTTGGGGATGGGCGTAGCCCAAGTGTATCAGCAGCACCAGCAGCATGGGCGGTGCAGCAATGCCAATGCAGCAGCAATGCCAATGCAGCAGCAATGCCAATGCAGCAGCAATGCCAATGCAGCAGCAATGCCAATGCAGCAGCAATGCCAATGCAGCAGCAATGCCAATGCACCAGCAATGCCAATGCAGCAGCAATGCCAATGCAGCAGCAATAATGCCAATGCAGCAGCAATAATGCCAATGCAGCAGCAATGCCAATTGACCAGCAATGCAAATGCACCAGCAATGCCAATGCACCAGCAATGCCAATGCACCAGCAATGCCAATGCACCAGCAATGCCAATGGAGCGACAATGCCAATGGAGCGACAATGCCAATGCAGTAGCAATGCCAATGCAGCGACAATGCCAATGCAGCAAAGGGCCACTAGGAAATCACTGCACCCCGCTCCACACACCACACTGCTGACGGTGGAGGTTGATTGACAAGAAAACACAAGTCAAGTCATGACCCAAAGTGGTTGATATCTTTACAATAGTTGCAGAGTCTAAAACCATCCTCCCGGTTGAAATTGTGTCTGTCTGTATATATGGATGGCTTCATGAACGAATCTTTGTTGATAGCCAGTAGGCTTGCAAAGTACCATCGTCTTAAAATAATGATCAGCCACGGCAGAAGTATTGGTCCTACCATGTTGCAAAACTGCCTTATGCTCACCAAGACGGTCTGAGACATGTCGCTTAGTTTCCCCAATGTAACTGCTGCTGCAGTTACAGCTTAGGTTGTAGACGCCGGGATATTGCATGTCAGGAATCTTGTCCTTCACAGATGCGCTCAGATCACGAATTTGATGTACAATGTGTTAAATCGGACCTGGTTCTTGTGTTTGTTCATGATTTTGGAAATATTTTTGGTTACCCCTGCTATGTATGTCAGGGTGATGGTTTTGATTGGATCCTCAGATGGCTCCTTCCTCACGGTTGGGGTGATGGCTTTGCGGATTGTGTAGTCAGAATATCCATTCGCCTTGAGAGCTTGGTGTACGTGTTAGAGTTCACTGGTTAGGTGTTCATGGTCGGAGATACATTGAGCCCTATGGTGTAACGTTTTGATGAGGGAATTCTTCTTGTTTTGTCACTACATGTTGACACACATTCCCGTGATCAAACTCTTTGGAGAAGAGCATTGGTAGATAGCATGCATTAGACAAGTACAACTCCCAAAGACACTGGACTGCAAGGTGGCCAGGAGATGGCAGTACAGCAAGTGTATTTCATGAGCATGTTTGTACTGAGCTTCAAGTCTTAATCCCTAGTAACCAGGAGTGTCTCTGTGGGCCTTTGAGTGTTACTTGCATGCGTGGGTTCTCTCGTTGCCGCTCATATGTAATACATGACCTAAAAAGGAAAATGGTCAAACGTGGCAACACAAACCTCCTGAATTATTGTCTGAAGAGTGGGTAAATCTTTCATGGATAATTATTCTATAATATTTGTTTTTCTTTGGTAAACAAGTGTAGGATTTTTTTTAGAGTATTTTGGTTATCTATTGCCCAGCGAATACACTTCCACAGACATTAAACAGTGAGGCACTGAATCTCGTGCCAAATCCAGGAATTATTTACATGCATCAACAACACTTTCGAAACAAATGGTTACATTCTTTGAAAATACCTACCGTCACTGAGAAACCACCAACCGATTTACCAATTTACCAACGGATCCCTTTGGCATAAATGCTGAAAATGCCTGGCTTAACAAGCGGACGTCGTCGGAGACACGACTTAAAAAATAAACACCAGGACTGACCATGCGGATGGGGATGTTCTGCAAGTCCGCCTCTGTCACGGGGCAGTCCTCCTCCTCCATGACGTAGAGGCCACGCCGCGCCAGGCCCTGGATCACGGCCCAGTGGCCCTGCCTCGGCACGGCAGGGGAGCACTTTCCGTGCAGCTGCTGCTGGAACACATGGCAGTAGAGCTCGCCGGACGCGAGCAGCTCGCCCACGTTGCCCTTCAAGTGCTCCTGGTTGTACTCGTCCCTGTAGAACGGCGCCCGCAGGTCCTCGCAGGTGGACTCTGCGTGGCAGATGGAGCGGGTTGCGAGTGTCAACAGGCAGTGCATAATAAAATGATTTGGCCACAATTTCGACTCCTTTTGAGTTGGTGGACAAAAGACAACGCTATGTGGATTGTACATATACCTGTATAGTTGTCTATTACATCGTAGGATTATGAGATGGAGCAACTTGAGGCAAGGAAACCTTCATATCCAGTAGTGGAGTAACCATGGCTGATGATGTTGATGTCACATGATATGCTATGCATGAAGGGAGGACCAAGCCCATGGTTGCAATTGCACCTTTTGCCGTCTAAAAACCACACCTTTATATGTGTTAATAATCTAAATTATAGCCTGCCCTCACTTTTCTATTTGATAGGTATCCTATGATTTATAAAATAAATTTAATTGGTTTAACAGTAGTATCAATTAACATATGCGAATAAGCCAAGCGCATGTGACAGATTACTTATTTTAACGCAAGCCCACTTAAGAGCATTATCATCAGTGATGACCCAGCTACTGCTATATAAATACCTAAATAAACCATCTCCATCTCTCACAGTAAGGCAAAAAAAATCTCTCTCCTGCATACTAGCTGATGTCATTACTCCATCTCTGAGATTAACTTCTGGGGTGTGATCCCTCCTTTGGCTGCCACTCCATTGCTATTCTTGACCACCAGCCAATATCTCGAATCACTGTCCAAGCTTACTTTATGTTCTAACCTGCATACATTCTCTGATCCATGTGTTCCTCTTTCTGCCGGTCAGCGTAATTCAAAGTATGAACATCTATATGTTTGTTTTGCTATTGTTAGCTCGGTCATCAACCTTTGTCAAGGTCCATGGTTCGGATCCATAAAATTGTAGCAGGCAATATACTCTGGAGAAAATACTATATTTTACATGGGAAATCTGAGTTTAAGTTAGGACAGTAAAACGGTATTTGTATGCAAAGCTATGAAATAAAAAAAGTCTTGAAGAAATTGGCATTTAAATTGGTACCATTTCACAATTCCATGCCGCAAATGCAACCCGAGTTCAATTTGTTCAAAATAGGGTGCATCAAGCAAGAGGATAGTGCAATTTAAGCCTGGCTTTTGTGATAATGCATTGGTATCCAACACTTCCGAAGCTATTCCCATGCAAAACACACACACAGCCTAAACTCAAACAACCTCCAAGTGACAAGAATAAAGTGCATTTTAATTTTATCAAGATGCTAAGATGGTGGAAGGGGAGGTGAAAAGGGAGTGAAATATCGTGCTCTAAATCGTGAGCTGTTTGCTTTCTGAATAAACCAAATTCGGTTTAAGAAAATCCATTGTAAAGTGGTGCAGTGAAAAACATGTCTCTGTTTAAGCTATGCATAATGGCTGTTTTTCCCCTATAATCATCTACCCTCCCTTTTATCTGCTGAAATCAGCATTGAGTATAGACCCTTGACCAAAAGTGACGTCTACATGCCAATGGAAAGGTCAGAAAACTGAAAGGTTAATCGTACAGTACAATTTTTGTATATACCAGGGATATATTTTTTGACCTGTACCTAAGCTTTAGGGCTATACTAACAGTACGTCAGGCATCGTAACTAAGTGCATTTGACATCTTTGACTCTCTCAATATGCAAGTAAAAGGCAGCTGTTTTTATTTTGCCCATGCTCAACATATTTGCAATCAATTGCTAAATATCACTTTTACTTAATCCCAGCCCGCTGGGGAGTCTTTAACAGGGAGCGAGCAGCCACCAGCTGTCCAGCTCAGATATCAAAACAAACTTGCTGGGTCACAAAGGGCAGACCCAAACGTCGACACGTATTGGTGTCAGCAGCACTCCTAAATTCCCAGCGATGCTTTGGACTGCGACAGCTCAATAACCATCCCTTGGTGGGATTGGCTCTAAGCCGCCCGCAGCTTGTGATGGCATGGAGGGTAGATGAAAGCCGATGGTGATATTTAGTCTATTAAAATAAGGTGAATAAAAAGGAATATTTAATGAGCACGGGCATATTAACTTCATTATTTTGTCACTGTTGAATCTACACCCATTTCTTTCCAGTATACCAGTCATGTAAATTAATTTGGCATTGTGGAATGTATCAAAAGGTAGCCAACATTTTAAATAAATGTATATGAAACAGGAAGTTTCTAAAGTGTAAAAAAAAATAGGTATGTACCAAAGCATCGGCAATTATAAAACATACCATGCAGTATTTGTATTTTATATGTCTGAATGTCTGGACCGGCAGGACACACACGGACACCCATTTCCTTTCACTGCAACGAGACCATGGCCCCAAGAGTATAGGCCATAAAGCATTCCATAATTCCTGCAGTAATTCACGTGCTAGCAAAATACTGGCCAGCCCAAGAGGCATGGGTGCATGGAGAGAAGAGGTTGCGAAAATAAATCAATAGCTGGCCAGACTTCTTAATGCACGACCTACTCTTATCCTCGTGGGTTCGATCCCGACCCTGACGCCTGTATATTTGGAGTTTGCATGTTCTCCCCATGGTTATGTAGATTTTTCTCCAGGTCCTCCGATTTCCCCCTCAACATTTATAATCAAGCGTTTAGAGTATTTGGCTGCTATAAATGTCCACATGGCCAGATCGCTTCTGAAACAAAAGCTGTATAGCTCAATGGGCCATAGCTGGTAATATAAAAAGAATTGGATACTAAAACATTCATTATTGAAATTATTATTTACTTAAAAAAAAATACCGTACAGGAAGGTTTGCATCATAATCAGTCGGCATCAAACAGCAACCATGACTGTCATGCCATGGGTGGAGGGGGGCTTGATCCAGTAGTTGATTGACAAAAGCCAACCTTCACTGAGCAGCATGGTAAAGTATAATCAAATAATCACCGTGACCAACAAGGTGTGTAGAGGTCTTCATTGGGTGGATTAACAAAGTACTGTCAAGTATTCATATTACTACGTGGTAATTTCATGCCACGTGAAGCAACATTTATTGACACATGGGAGGTTATGAAGTACAGTACAGTCAAAGTTTTCAGAGGGCCAAATGTCCTGGAGAACAAAAATATCTTTGCAAACGTTCGTACGTACAGTGTGTATTTAACAACAAAACACATATGCCTTGAAGCTCTAATGTGCATACAGCAAAAATACTACAGAGGTAAACATGCCACCTAAGAACACCTATGTAAATAATTATTTCAGTTGTCGGAGGATGACAGAGGTATTTGAGAAGCAGCAATAGCATTGGATCATCACCGATTGTACAACAATATGCCATTGTACAACTGTCTGTCAAAGTTATACGAGCAATCAGGGGCCAAACTTTTTTTAAAAAAAGTTTGAAAACAAACAGTGCTGGAAGGCCACGCCTAATTCAAACGGCAGTGTCCCCTCTTCCGGTGATTTATAAAGCTCACAAACCTGCTCCGCGTTAACTACGCAACCTTAGCAATCTTAAGAAGTTCAACTACGCCAGGTAGTCGGCGCAATAAAATTCCGCTTTTTCTCTCCCTCTTCTCGTTAAAATGTTAACAAACAGTGCTATTCAAAGTACACTTGATGTACATTTGGGAGAATATTTTGGATTTGATCCAAAGAGTAAATGATAAACGCTGACGATTAACAGCAACGGTCAAATATTAAATGACGGAAAATGTGTGCAAGTACAACTCAATGCACAATGCCTACATTGAGCACGTACGAGTGTTTATGCTTTTAATAAATGCTGCACCGTTAGGGCTTACGAAATTTCAAAATACATTTCTTACGACACGTGCATTTATTTTTATCTGACAAGTGCGTCGCTTATATTATTGGCAATTTACAATGAATACTCAAGCACGCTGCGATTTATTCATTTAGAATCGCTCGCAGGAGAGCAATGCAGGGCTCAATTTACCACACCCTATACCTCGAAACAAAGACTCGAAAATCCATGTGTCAATGCGTTGGTATTATAAGACAATCGGATTCAATGGCAATCAGTGTTAACGCACATTACTCTCCTGGGCTTTCACACTTCAATACTGCAGTTTAAATGTACGTGCACAACAGCATGTATGCATCGTAGATTTTAATACTCCATATGCTTTAACATTAAAAAAGGAACTCAATTTCTTACCCAGTAATAGCTTGTTCTACAAGACAAGACACGTATTACGCGCAGTACACCGCTTTAACAAGCAAGTTAGCATCATTTAACATTGCCGCACGACCATCCACATCGTGATAAATTATTCATACGAACAAGAGGAACAATATAAGATTTCAGGTGGACACAATAGACATGGATTTGCACTGTGCCAACTCCTGCTTACAAATAATTATTCAAATACACAGCAAACAGCGCTTGATCCTCGCAAATACAAATGTGGCACAAAAAACGATGTTGTGACACTGAAGCGTCAAAAGCTCAGCAGAAGAGTACATGTACAATGGGATTGTCAACATGCATTACTTGAGGCATTTGAATTTTTTTCAAACCAAAGCGGTGCATTAAATGAACGTTAACAATTGTAAACTAAAAATGTTTCCATGAAACAGGTCCAGACAATTTAATTATCTGCACCTTATAGGAACCAAACCCAATAAAATACACCGACAACCCTGCCAAGACTTTACTACTTTGACAATTAAATAATTTAACAACGCTACATTCAACATTACCGTTTTAGTATTGTCACCAAATCACCTGAAACGCAACCGATCTCGTCTGATCTTGGAAGCTAAATCAGAATTGAGCCTAGAGTGTGCTAAGATGGGTAACCACCATGCATAACGGGTGTTGAGGCTAAGTATTGTTGTACAGTACTTGTTTCCACATCTATGCTACCCACCTTCACCAACCTGCAATGGGAACACACCGATCAGTGCGGTAAAGCATGTTCAAATAACCCTCACGATCTATAAGGCGGAGTGAGGCCAGGCCCTCTTCCATCAGTGACCTGACAAAGCGCATACACGTTCATTATAATCATCTAACTAGCATGCCATCTCCTTTGTAAAACAGCTAGTAAGGGTGTCATATGGGAATACAGAGGCAAGGACATACCATCGCATCGACAGCAAAAATACAATTAGAGTCATGTTATTCAATTAAACACGAAACTTGCTCCTTTCACGAATACCAAAGATAAAAAAAGCCTGAGTTAGTGAATGTATTCCCTCTAGGTAGATAACAGCAATCGGATAACACTAGCAATGAGATATTTTTTCGATTACTGTACAATTATAGCGTAAGGGTGCCGGTTAATTAAACGCTTAACATCACCTAAAACGGTTCTGAGGTATTCCTTGAGAAAATATATTTACGATGGGCTCTCAACCAATGTAATACAAAAATACACTTGAATGTTTTAGTGGTCAAGCAGTGGCACAGCTATCGAACGTGCAGGCTATGGAATTGCACGTGGGACAACGGGTCAGAGGGGCCCAGGGATGCGAATATGAGGGGGGTATTGCACCAAGGGGCCCACGTTTAATTGCTTGCACGACTCTCCATTGTTAATCACACGACGCCACTGTGGACACACTGAATGCTGAACATTTTTCCTATTTCAGGAGTATGTAATTTGAAATTAGAGCTAAGACACCAGCATAGGATGACCTATCCTTGCTTAGGAGGTTTAAATTCTGGTCGGTCTCCTTCTGCTGGGTCAGCAGATACATCTTACAATCCCACGCTGGGTCACATATCATCCATCAACACTACACTACTACCAACCCGACACTACCGCAGCTTTGCATGTAACCTGGGCCACTACTAAACCATCACATGGCTCTTTGTATTCACATTGAGCCATAATGCAGCTAGCTTGACCCACCACACACATACACGACTAACATTGCACGTTATGACAATCACCTTGCCAATGCCATTACACACCTACACTGTAACCACACACCCAATCTGATCCACCAATAACCATTACCCATCATACACCCACCTAAACGCATCAAACCATCACAAATAGATTTTATCTAATTACATCACTCTGCTATCACACTCAGCTTAGAACATAAATCCATCACACTCCTAGCCTTACCTATGACACACCATAACCCATCAGTATTATCAAACACCTGCCCTGACTCATCACACAAAATGACCCATCATCATAAATTTTAACCCATGACACATCACCTTCCATCACGAACCCTAATCCATCCCTCATCGCCAGTCATCACACATCCTAACCCCTCACACACCTCCCCTCACACACCTCCCATCACACACAATGACCCATCCATCACACAGCGTAGTCCTCAAACCTCCCATCACACACCGTGACCCATCACACAACGTAGTCCTCAACCTCCCATCCACACAGTGACCCATAACCTCCCATCACACACAGTGACCCATCACACACAGTGGCTCATAAACCTCCCATCACACACAGTGACCCATCACACACAGTGGCTCATAAACCTCCCATCACACACAGTGACCCATCACACACAGTGACCCATCACACAGCGTGGTCAGTAAACCTCCATCACAAAGTGACCCATCACACACCGTCGTCCTCAACCTCCCATCACACACAGTGACCCATCACACAGTGACCCATCACACACCGTGGTCAGTAAACCTCCATCACACAGCGTGTGTGACCCATCACACACCGTGGTCAGTAAACCTCCATCACACAGCGTGTGTGACCCATCACGCTTCACCACGGCACCCCCCGCCGGGCCCTTCCTCCACCTGTCAACCCACCTGGACTCGGCGCCTTTGCCGCCAGCCACGCGAGCCCAGCGGCCACCTTCGCCCTCTCAGCCTCGTACTCCTCCTCCTCCTCGTGCTCCTGCATCTCCTCGGCCACCACCATCATCTGCTTCATCATCATCGTCGCCTCCTCCTCCTCCTGCTGCTCCTCCTCCCTCCTCGCCGCTTCTCCATTCTCCGACCCACAGTCGGCCATTTCTCCTCGTTACGCCGCCGCCGGCTCTCTGCCCCACCACCACCCCGATCGTTTGTCAGTACAGTGCACAAGCCTTTTGTTACAAGAATCCACTAATTCTTAGCAAAATAATGACCACGGTGGCTCTTTTTAATTGATTGTAATGCGCGCGGTTTTAGAAATCGCTGACGCCGAAGGTGACCCGCGGTGGTTGACTATCGCGAGGCGCTAACGCCGATTTAATCACAACAAGCCGAGTAACCTCCTCATTGTAGATAGCCGCCTACGAAGACACGGCGCCGTGTCTGGCTGTTATTCGTGTGAATGATGTCGCCTTAGCGTCGATTGCGAGACGCTGCATCACCGCCGCCGCCACCTCCACTACAATCCGCCCAACGCAAGGCAGCGCGGTGAGCCGCTTTACATTTCCCACAGCGCACGCGCAGCCGCCGCTCAACGCGCGAGTGCGGCGCGCCTCGCCTAAGCGGACTACGAAATCTAAAGCAGGGTTGCTCCGCATCACGTGACGCGGGGGGTGGGGTGGAGTGGGTGGAGTGGGTGAGCTCCCCCCCCTCGCGCGCGCCGACCCCCTCCCTCCCTCCCTCCCACCTCAGTCCCCCCCCTCAACCCCGCCCCTTGTCCCCCAGCTTAACCCCTCCCCTCGCTCGCCCCGCCCACCCCCCGGCTGCCGTCACGTGGTGAGGGAGGGCTGACGTCACTGCTGGCTCACTGTACCGGGTAATGGTGGCTCGTGTGTTGGTCGCGTGTGTGTGTGTGTACAGTGCCTCTGTGTGTGTCCACGTTCGGTTGCAGATTTCAAACTCCTCTCGCTGTACACACGTCCGTACGAAACACGGGAGATGTTCACCCGGTTTTGTAAACGCATTAAATGATCCGTGTACAGGTGATACGTGCGTCGAAATGTTACGTTCACGAAGCGTGCGTGGAAGAGATTGTGGTTCTAATCGATGGCTGTGACCGCGTTAAATTGTTGGCAGGTTTAGTGGAACCCATTTAGTCTAATGGAACAAACGGTGCTCTCATGAGAGAACAGATGAGACTTGGCAGAGGATGCATGAGACGGTAACAGACGTAAACAACACAAGACGCCCTCCAATAAAGTAAATTCCTCTTCTAAAAGCAACAAAATATCAAGTACTCTTTGGTTTTTTCGGTAAAGTCACGTAGGTAAAACATTAAATCACGACGGAAGCTTGTGTTGCCTCCGAAACGTCGTGATTTAATTTATTTTAAATTTTCGCCTTAGTGACTTTACCGAAAAAAACAGAGTATGAATCCTTGCAGTCACGAAAACTTCAAATCTAAAACCTCAAGTACTGTGTATAGGCAACATGGACAATACTAAATGTAACAAGTGATCGTACAAACTGGACAAATCATCATGGCATTTCACACTGCACGATTAATTTTCCACCTTTCATTCAAGACGCAATTCACGTTTTGCCGTGACTGTGCATGCAGAATAAATAGTGGCTGCAGGGATTTTATGACAAAATCAATGCCTTGGGCCATCGATTCACATAATTCATTAAACACACTCGTACATTTGTTTGTCCCTCGAGATGCTGGGGTAACGACAGGTTATACAGTCCGAAAATAAAACCACGTGGAACATTTATTAAAGGCGAATGATCGATTGAAATGGGCATCCCCATGAATTAACCAGTGTGGGGAAGGCCTTTCATTGAGCAGTGAACTGACGAGAGGGTTGACCCTTATACCCTCATGGAAATTTCACACGGTGAAACATCACCCCCGTGTCATCAACAAGTGTTGCATTTCGATTTAAAGATTTCGTGACTGCAGGGATTCATCTTCTTCGTTCTTTCGGTAAAGTCACGCAGAATGGAAATAATAAAATAATAAGAACAGGTCTGTCAGAAAGACAGCGTTCTTCACCTGAGGACGGCTGCTTGCGTTGTGGCCCAAATGTCGTGAGAATTATCTTATAATGCTTTATTTTTATTATTTTATTATTTCCATTCTACGTGACTTTACCGAAAGAACCAAGAAAACAAGTGTTGCGTCCGCGCGCCAAGTGGTGGGTCACTTAACCCACTCACTGCCACTAACATTGTAACCTGTGCAGCTCTAATTCTAGATTTGAAGTTTTCGTGACTGCAAGGATTCATACTCTTTGGTTTTTTCAGTAATTCTGTTTTTTGCTGTGGTTGTCCCACCTGACGACGAAAGCTTGTGTTGCCTCCGAAACGTCGTGATTTAATTTAGTTAATTTTATTCTTTATTTTTATTCTTATTTTTCATATTTTTTTATTTCATCTGCGTGACTTTACCGAAATAACCAAAGAGTACTGTGCAGCTCTGCTGAGATGCAGTGCGTGCTAACCTGTCACACGCATGAGAATTCGTGATTCGAACGTCTGCGTATTTTCGTAACAAACAAAAAAACAACGCACAGGTGATAAAAACAATGGAAGTCAGACTAATACTGGTAGGAACCTCCTGGTTACACCAGCCCACAGGGGATTATTGTGTCCGTCGTGCAGGGAGGGGCTGGGTGAGGAGGGAGGGGATGGGTGGGGAGGGGCTGGGAGGGGAGGGTGGGGAGGGGCTGGGAGGGGGGGAGGGGCTGGGTGGGGAGGGTGGGGCTGGGTGGGGGGAGGGGTGGGGCTGGGTGGGGAGGGGGTGGTCACCCCGTGGTGCCCTTTTAAAACTCAACGTTTAACCTACTCACGCCGGCTTGTGGACGCCCTCAGTCTGGCATATTTGCGGAATACACCACGCCGCCGTTGACCCTGGCCATTGACCGAGCAACCCAACGTTCCCACCAGCTCCCTCCGCAGGAATGTGTTATTTCCATGGCTCCATGTCTGCTTTTGCATGTGGCCGATGGTTTGTAACCGACTTTGGAACGTCCACGCCAGAAGGACCGCCGATGTTTGTGCCGCGGGCCGTGAAGGTGAGGCGAGGGGGTCCCACGGAGCCTCCTGCGGACGGGAAGAGACCGCGAGTCGCTGCAGCAGCCTCCGCAGACCCCCCAGGAGGAGAGGCTGCCGAGAAGCCACCAAGCGGGCCAACCAAACTGCAGGTAGTCCTCTACTCACGATGGAGATGCGTTACGACGACCCCCATCGTAAGTCAAAAATATCGTAAGTCGAAGATGGCCTCGCCTACCCAGGAGTCTTGAAGAATGGTGATAATTTAGTAAAACAGAGCAATTTACAGTACCGTATCGTATAAACTATAGACTATGTATTTATTAATTACAATACTGTATTGCGCAGTAAAATGTAAAGTAAAAAAACAAGGTAAATTCTTAACCTACCTACATGAACTGCAATTTAATAGAAAGTTTTTTTCAGGAAACAATCCTATCTGCTGTAAAAACTTTTAAAATGCATTTTGTCGTATCTCCATCGTAAGATCGAAATGTCGTAAGTCGGACCATCGTAACTCGGGGACTACCTGTAATACCCCAGGTTCGATGGGCGTTGGGGGTTCGTGCTGAGCTTCCAAGGCCATTGTAAAGGAGACGCAGAGGTTAGCTCCGTGCGGTTATTGGGACGGCCTGGCAGGGCTCGTTTACTTGTGCTAGTTCCTGCAGCAAGGGCTGTGCTCAAGCTTGACTCAAAAAGGTGCTTGAGTGGTGCAGGGCACTGATGTTGAATATCGTGGTCTTGAACCAGCTCCACTTGAGATGGACATGTTCAGTCATTTATTTTGTCAATCCATATGCTGGATGAAAGTCTCGCTCTGCTGTGGTTGGTTCATGGCCTTCGCGTGCTGTGAGACACTTATCTGAACAGTTGAAGAGCACGGTATATGCTGGTTTGCTGGTAGTCGAACACTTGTATAGGTTACTGGCAGACCGAAATAGGCACGCGACTAACAGCCACAGCCTGAGCGAGAGATATACTCGATGTTTTGTGACAGATTTGCAGTATTGTCTGGATGGCTGACCAAGACAGACCCGGCTGAAATTAAGACCTGGTAATATTCCTCTCCTGGAGTTATATCCCAGTGTGCGGTTATTATGTCTTGAGGTGCTGGTGTATAGCATGAACACCCTTTGAAACAGCTGACAGATGGGCATGTGTAAACACAGTATGGACAAAAGGTACTGCTCAAGCAAACATTTTAAGTTGCATTGACGTGCTATGGGTTTGGTATATTTAAGAGTTTTGTGGTTTTTTTGTTGATTCCGTCTATCGGGAAAAACTGCGTTTTAAGCAACAACTTGAACATTTGTTTTACAAGTAGGAATACCTCGATGTGTGCTCAGTTTTGCACCCTGCATTCGGTGTATACATTTTTCATTTGACGTGTCATTAACAGTGCTGTGTTACACCACATGTCACTCCAGGAACACTTCCAATGTAAACCGAAAGCATATGGCCCAAGGTGGTGCTTCTCAGCTGTGAACTCTCCCCAGACTTTTAAATATATCTAGGTTTTACCAATATCTTCTTAAGAAAGCAATATGATTAGTGCAATATTTATTCCATTATACGTGATCCGACTATCATCTGTGTGAAATCTACAACTGGCAATATAAATGTTCTAAACTACGAAGCTAACCAGCTTGGAGCCTGATGCTTGCATGGGTTACCCCCCCCCCCCTATAGTGCTTTAGGCAGCTGTGGAGCAATGCTACGTGGTGGTCAGCAGAGGCAGTATGGTCCAATTAACCCCCACGACCTGCAATGCCCTCATCCATCAGTGGTTTGACAAAGCTTTCTACCTGCACATATGTCAGTTAGTTTTACCAATGCCTTCTTAAGAGCACGAAGAAAGAAATTTTATTAAATTATACACTGCTTTTGTTCGCATCAATGTGTACGTGCAGAAAATGTACAGTGGAAAATGGAAGCGTTCAAGAACTCGTGCAATTCCGTGCGAATTCCGTGGACTTTTTCACATGCCAGGGGAGTGCAGCAGATCGGCCGGAACATGAGGAGCAAGGACTTGTTAGGGAAACTGTTTCCGGACGTGCCAAGATCCTACCACACACTGCCGTTCCTACCCCAGAGACCAGCCCTTCCCAGGCAGAAGTCAAGCATGGGCAAAGTGACGACGAAGACGAGGCTCCAGTTGTTTCCTACAGGTATACTGACATGTAAAGTTATATTTCACAGTAGGTTCGGGTTGGAGTGGTGACGTATTGGTTATAGCGCTGCATTGTGAACTTGACATCCTGAGTTCGATTACCGCCCATAGCGAACATGATTGATGATTCATATCTGACCGTGTCCTGGACACACAAACCTTCTTCACCATCCCGGACTGACTTGCATGGTGAAACACGGTCATACAAACCCCATGACCTACGTCGCACAGAGAAGCCTTCATCCAGCAATGGATGACAATGGCCTGTAAATTAGTATTTGTATTGGAAGAATAAAATGTAAACATCAAACCGGGAAAGTTACTACTCCATGCAGTGACATTAACACAGCCCGCGGCATGTGCGAGCAAACCACCCGAAAGTTCACCGTGCTTCCGCTTTGTCGCAGCAAGAACCAGCGGTGGCCGGAGACCGGCGAGCCGGTGTGCGTGGTGTGCGGCCGCTATGGAGAGTACATCTGCAATGAGACGGAGAGCGACGTCTGCAGCCTTCAGTGCAAGGCGCACCACTTAGTGCTGACGCAGGCGCCCGGAACGTCCGAGGAGACGCCCGTGCCCGATCTCGTGGAGCAGAGCGGCAGCCTCGACGCGGAGAGCGGAGCGGAGAGCCACGGGTGAGGACGATGACCTCTGACCCAGAACGAGTGCGTACGCCGGACATGTTCGCGCGATTCTGGGGAAAGTTTATTTTCCCAGGGTTGTAAGTAAAAATTGTGTCATATTCCCGTACCTCCGATTAGCACCCTTGGCTATGTACGGTGCAAAAGAAGTTCAGCATTTGTACATACATTGCGATTGTGCGCGGTCTGTCGAGAATACAGTCACCTGTGTTTCGCATTAGTTGATTGCATTTAGCAATCCTCATCCGACACCTTTGACCTCATGAAAACGTTAATGGGAAATGTGTGTGGGTACGGTTATGCATTCCCAACTTTTTATTAATCTGAAAACTCCAAAAATCAGCCTAGAGACAAAATGATGCTTTTTCCAGATGGTATCAGAACATGTGATGTAATTTCCGTCATTAAGTCAAATAAATCACTTCCGTTAAATTAAATCACTAAGATGGCCATTATACAACTCTCACAATCGGCTCCTGCTCTGAAGGGACATCTGCCTCCAGATGACATTTTGACCGGTGAAGCCTTCATTATTATCCTGAGGAGGAATTGGCCACGTAAAAAAAAAAATATTTAAAACGATTGTGATTTAAACAACAATTAAATTAATTATTCTGTGTATTGTAAAATCTAATATTTAGTTATTGACCAAACAACGTGGTTTGTAAAAGCAAGATACAATGAGTAATTCTTGAGAAAGTGCTGTTAAAGCAATTCGGTGATTGTGGACAGAAGTAGATTACTGCTCGTAGATGTCAGGTTCTCAAGTTTAGCTAGTCAATGGTCTCAGCCCAGTCACAAAAACCCCATGGTATTAAAATGAGTACTTAATTTGGCTAAATTGAAGCTCATCCGGCAAGCTCTATTCTTATTTGGTACAGTGGGTGAAGTAATGGCGCAGTGGCTATGAACTTGGCCACAGCTAAGATCAGTGGCGCGTGATATCTGAATTGGTCTTGGACCGCAATTTGACCATCTCACTCTGACCGGTGTGGTCAAGCGACAGCTATAACCAGCACGACATGGGGAGATCATCATCATTCCCCTAAATTTCTTCAAGTTCGGTAAAAAAAACTTAAATATTTGAGAGCCACATTGCATGTGAATACAAGATGGTATTTAATGAAAAACGTCAAACCAATTTTTTTACCACTAATTTAAGAACAGCACATGCACAATGATTTGTAATGCCGCATTACAAATCATTGTAATCGAAACTAATTACGATGAATTTTTTACTTTGCAATTATATTGTCCATGAGCCACGAAGTAGTCCATAAAGAGTTGCATGTGGCTTCGGAGCCGCAGATTGCCGACCCCTGCGCTAGTGAATTGACAAAAGGTCTGCAAAATAAAATTATTTAGACCATCGGCAACTGTGTTCACATCCCTCCCCCGCCACCGCTTTGCAGGTACAGGTACGAGGAGCACTCGTTCATCTCGTCGCTCACGGCGGAGCAGGTGCGCTCGCTGCGCCGCTCACTGGGAATTTCGGTGGAGGGTCGCGATCCCCCGCGGCCCGTACTCGAGTTCTCACACTGCCCCATGCCGGAGGCGCTGGCGCAGAACCTGGCGGCGTGCGGGTACCACGAGCCCACGCCCGTGCAGATGCAGATGCTGCCGCCGGCGTTGGGCGGCCGCGATGTGATCGTAAGAGCCGAGACCGGCTCCGGGAAAACCGCCGGCTTTTTGGTGCCCATCGTCGCTCTTCTTGCCGGCTGCGTGAGTCGTCGCGTTCAAACGGTGTGCTCTTCAACAGTGCCCGGTTGATCCTCCGTGCTGTGGATCTTTACCTACGACCCAAAGCACTGAATTTGCATCCGGTATTATAAGGTTTTGGAAAATAAGTCGGGTTGATCCTGGATAGCGCGTGGATGGGCGAGCACTGAGTTAAACGGATATTGGCGGCTGCTGCATGGCAATGTTGTAATTGGTGCAGTGCAGCAAAACTCTGTTATATACTATGCCCCAACGTCTATGCTCCCTACCTTCACCATCCACGCTGACCAGCCTGGTGGAATACGGTCAAATAACCCCCAAGGAGAGCACGGTGTGTGGAGGCCTTTATCCAGCAGTGGATTGACGAAAGGGCTGAGCATATCAACTTGTACAATACAGATATGTCCACAACCAATCCAAATTACCGCCTGCAATAATTAGTTTTGCAAAGAAAGAATCCATGCATGTATGTTTGCATGTACCTTTGCATGCGTTTTATTTGGATAACTGATATAAAAAACTGTTTTGGTGTTGTGCAATGACCATTACGTGAACTCATTATGCGACTCCATAATCTGGAGCACAAGATGCTGCAGATTTGCCTTCAATCCAGACGGATTACCACTTCTGGCTTTTAGACCAAATTCCTTCTGCCACGATGAACTCATTCCGAGAGATTTGCTGTGAATGCGCTGAAAAAGCCGTGGCAATTCAACGTGGATTCCATTTATTCACCCTAAATTAAGCAACACATTTGTCGCATTGTTTTTTGGCTTGCAAAAGAAAAAATACTGGCCTAGGACCTACTGTACATTTTACAAGCCTGCGTGCATGTACAGTTGCGAGCGTGTTCAATGAAAACGATGCACAGAATCATGTACATTGTCCCGAATACTACACTAGCCATCTGGTTGTTGCTTCTAATACATTGACGCAACTGGAAAACACAGCAGAGCGTGGATGCCTAGGAGAGTTATTGAAGGTGGACTGGGAGGCAAGTGGTGAAGCAAAATATGCAGGCGAGAGCAGGTTGGAGTGCTTGTAGAAAACGGAACTTGACACTGAGCACAAAACACCATTGTGCCTAGAGAATGGACGTTTTAATCGGTGTGTGCTACTTGCTGTAACATACGGATGAGACAGATAAACATCAACGAACAATTGGAACAAAAACTGAAAAATGCGCAAAGATGTGTGGAGAGATGCCCGCTTGGAACTATATTACAGAACACATGCAGGTTAAAGACATAATTTTAATTGGCGTAACCTATCTATATTGCACCACACTTCACATTGTCATTATTATTGCATCGGATAATTTGCATCAAATGCATTGTTTTTGTGACTGCCTCTGGTCATCGCACTGTGGTGACATGCGCATATATATGTGTGTGTGGTGCAATGTGTAAACATGGCCACTAGGGTGACAAAGGCGGTTGAGCGTGGTGCTGGCCACCCACCCCCTCGTGTGCCGTGCCGGCCTTCATAAGCGCCTGCTAACAGCACTTGCCCAAACAGTCTGTTAAGGCTACAAGGGGGATCTTTGTCTTTGTGTGCGCAGGGGCCGAGCGAAGCGCGGGACCCGCTGGCCGTGGTCGTGACCCCGACGCGCGAGCTGGCCATGCAGATCGAGAGGCAGGCCAAGGAGCTGATGGCTGGGCTGCCCCACATGCGCACGGCGCTGCTCATCGGGGGGCTGCCCCTGCCCCCACAGCTGCACCGCCTGAGGCAGCGTGTACAGGTGCCCCCACTGCCCACGCTGCTGCCCAGCCCCGCCGTCAGCCTTATGTTGACCTATTGATCTCGAGCAGATTCTGCAATCCCTTCGAGTGACCGTTCGCCATCCACGCACGAGGGGAGCACTTTCCCAACACGTGCCCTCGCTGCAGAAAGAAATGTTCAGCTCAAGATGGCACAATACTATATTTAATAATTTTATAAAGCGGAATTTTGCTCAAATTAACTACATTCAATGCGATGTGTTTTTTTCGTGCAGCCCTCTGTGATTGGGCTGAGTGCGTTAGCTCGCTACACCCGAGAATCCACTTTAACCGTGCAATACTAAAAGCAGAATTTGAACCTAGGCCTAGAGCATTGCCAGCTCATTGCTCTGACCTTTAAGTGATTTACCCACCTTTAGATACCAGTTTGTTAACTTGAGGCAAAGTTAGCCTATTTACAGCTCGCCATGTTATTTTTGTACTTTCTACATTATAAAAAATCTAAAGTAATATATCTCAGAAATGTAACTAAAAAATACCAACCGCAAAGCACAAGTCAATTCTGGAAGGCACAATCCAATGCTACTACGATAATGACTCCAGTGCAGTAGCAAGCTAGGACTGCCCGACGCGTGACGTTTCTGTACAGCGAGCTGAGGCAGCTACATACCCGTCAACCCCTTCTCAGTGCCCTACCTTATTACAGACCAATTCAGACCTTATTGGTCACCCCGTGCTACAAAGTCCCATCACAAGGGAGAAACACAAACAAATAGACCAAAAAAATTGTCCGTATTGAAACGGCTGTAGGCCGAATGGACCTAAAAACTCTATTTCCCTGTACAAGAATACGGGTAAACCGTATGGGTTGACAGGTATGCAGCTAGAAACACGTCGGCGTTGCTTATCACACATTTGAATGTAGATGATTGGGCAAAATGGATATCTGCAGCGAGGTTTGGGTGAAGAACCCATCTTGCAAAATGTCGACTTGCCGCGTAATTTTTTTCACGATTGTCCTTGGCTGGTACTGCCCTGTAGACGTATTAAATTTGAAAATGTACATTAAACAAGAGGATGTGATAGCTTTACCAAAAATAGGACCAAGACTGTCATCGTCGGGCGTTGTTTCTCCGTGGCACGCACCACCGTCTGGAAAGTGGCCGTTCGAGAGACACTTGAAGGCCTCGCCGCTCTCTGCTGATTTTTACTGACACTGACCACGGCTCCACACCTCAGTCACGTTCAATTATGTCCGCGAAATAACTCCATTATTTATTAGTATTGTCAGTATAACAGTTAAGGCAAATTGGCAATTAAAATTTTGTATGTACAGTACTCAGTTTAATCACAGGTAGTGTCGGCCCTGATATGAATTTGTGGGTGCATTTTAGAGCGCGCCGTCGAAATGTGAAATGACTGCGTGAACGATACGAGTCGGCGCACGGTTGTCCTGCGGTCTCTTGCTGCGGTTTTGCGGGAACCGATTTCTTCGCCTGACTTTTTTCTTCTCCCGACAGTTAGTGATTGGGACTCCCGGGAGGGTCCTGGAGGTACTCAGAAGAGATGCGCTACGCCTGAATTCCGTCAGGATCTTCGTCATAGATGAGGTGAGACCTTTGCAGCGAAGAGGTGAGGGCACATATAGTAGTAGGTTTTTACCCTTTAAACTGGTACAAAAACTGACACCTTTATACAAGGCATCATGTTTGCAATGACCACAACACAAGCAGTCAAAATGCAAACAAAAGGGTAAAAACCTACTACTATATTTTGCCACTGGTAAAGGAGGTCTCATAGTGTAAATGCTTACCCCGAGCTCTCAATACTTTGATAGTGCGCTGTTTTTGAGTTGTACGCCTTTTGGCGTCATCTGGTCCAACACCAATGGAGACTAGGCTCTAAGAAAAGCTGTCTCGGGTGTGGACCAATCAACTTCAAGGACAGTGCATATCATTATCAGAGTTGTTTCTTTTTGTCTGCATTTTGACTGCTTGTGTTGTGGTTATTGCAAACATGATGCCTTGTATAAAGGTGTTAGTTTTTTGTACCAGTTTAAAGGGTAAAAACCTACTACTATATTTTGCCACTGGTAAAGGAGGTCTCATAGAGGTGAGGGCACATTCGGCTTTGCCTCCAGGTCAAAAATTGGAATGTAGAGTTATAGCTGTACGCATCTGCTGATTGATGGTAACCACCACGCCTTGTTTCAGACTGCTAATTGGAATGCCTTTACTGTACCTTTCACGAGGGCAATGATGTATCAAGCAACACCAAGGCCCATCTCACGTTTGTTTAGACTGTACACCCTTATCCTAGTCTCAGATCTCATTTATACACTTCCACTTACTTGACTTTTAGTTCACGCAAATGGCTTTTGCGTTAATTTTATTATATTCCTGCGCTGAGTGTCCACTGCTGCGACTTGTATAGCGCCTTGAGATCCTTGATGAAAGGCGCTGTAGGAATAAAATTATTTTCCTTGACATTGCCACAGCTTTGCTGAAGTTATTTGACGGGCATTGCTGGAGTACTGTAAGGACAATTGAATAGCGTCTGACACTGAACGAGAAAAATCACCGGGTAGATATAAATGATGAAACGGACTCCCATCCCTCTCTTCACTTAAAAATAAACCATGTTTAGTCGGTCAGCCTATTTATTTTCCTGACCAATGTTATCCAGCAGTATTTGTCCGAGCAAGCGAACCCGTATTGTTTTTTATGGCCTCGAGATGTCTCTCTGTTACACATTTTACAATGCTCCACCATAGTACAGAATTGTATGCGTTTTGGATATATTCTGATTACAGTAACCATTATGTACATTGCTTAGTTGCAATCCACCTTCTGTTCTAGGCACGTAACTTGGCATCGATTAATCGATTAATTAAAATAGTTCTTTACGGCCATGATGCAAATATAGTAGAACGCGTGACGTTAATTTATTTTACATGTATGCATATTGTATTAAAATGATGCATTATATGATACAAATAATACATTCGAGTTACATTACGTCTTAATCGAATGGGGAAAAACGGAGACGAAACGAAACATGTTGTCAAGCAAGCCGGACAAAACGCAAGCCGCAAAATGTATCGACTCTCGAACCGAATCGCGAACAGCCTTTGTGCCGTGCCGTTATCCCCGTCGTCGCTGATGCTCCTGCTGCGGCACCCATAGGTCGACACGATGCTGAAGCTGGGCTTCAGGGAGCAGGTGCTGGCGGTGCGGGAAGAGACACCCGAGGAGCGGCAGAGCCTCCTGGTGTCGGCCACGCTTCCTACGGCCACCGTGGAGCTCGCCGAGCGGCTGACCCGCGACCCCGTGCGCATCGCCGTGGCCGGGGAAGGGTCGGAGGTCGGGGGTCAGGCCGCGCCCGCCTCCAACGTGCGGCAGATTGTGCTGTGGGTTGAGGAGCCGTCCAAGAAGAAAAAGCTCTTTGAGATCCTCAAGGTGCGAGGGGTCGAGAGGGAAGTTGGTGATCGACTGTCGGGTGTGTGTCAACAATACGTGGTCGGTTTGTAAGACTTCACTTTTATCGCAAGGTTCGGGAGTATATCGTCATCATTTATATATTTCCGTGGAAGTTGGCGAGCGAGCCAGTGAGCAGGCAGCTTCAAGAGGAGCCACATGGTGATTATCTTAAATGCTTACCGGCGAATGCTCGCAGATGATGGTGGCATTACTATGTGGTCCCTGGTTTGGGATTGGTGACCGCAGCCTATCGGTGCATAAGAAAGCTGCATCTGCACATCAGAGCACCAGTTAGTCGCCTGCGCACTCTCTAAATAACACCAGTTAAATGTTTGACGTTGCACAACACTGCACATGCAGCATGTTACAAAGTAAACAAGAACAGGTTTTCTGTTGCACAGAATGTACGGATACATAGGCTTGGAATGGCGGTGCGGTGGCAAATCCACTACTCTACAAACCTGGCTACCCGAGTTCAAACTCTAGCGACGACTAACAACATTCGCCAGTGATATCATCAACTCATGCTGACCAGCATGGTGAAGTATGGCTTAAACAACCCGCACGACCGACAATCCAGCAGTGGATTGACAAAAGGTAGTAAATTATGTATTCGACTGAAATGGCTGCCGTGTCAGATTGAGGTTTCTGGATCTCGTTTGACTCCGTGATTGCATTGAAGCGAAGAGCCTCTCGCGTTTGACCCCTCCCGTGACCTCTGGAGGCACTGTGGTGATGGGTAGAAGCAATTCTGCTCGGAACTGAGCGGATGATGTCACGGCCGCGGGGACGCCACACTGCACTGCCGTGGGCCGCTTGCCCTTCCCCGTCGAACGTTAATAAAAACGAGCGTAAGTAATAATTACTAAATTCGGAAAAGCAGCTTGTTTTGACGAACGTGTTGTTTGCGTGACTTAACATGTAATCATTCAAATTTCCTTCTCCGCAACTTTGCCGTGACAAGGTATAATTCTCGCAGGATTTGTTTGTTGCGCGTATTGTACCCTAATTGTACGGTGTGAATGGCTCATGCAGCGGCGCCCTCTGTCGACATTTCTGACAAAAGAACCCAGACAATGTTTCCGTGCATCAACATGGATATTATCGGCATCCTCTTGCGCATTTTTTTTGTGCACAAGCACGGTTAATCCACCACCTGGGTATTCTGTGCATGCATAATCGATAGTTTATTGTACGTCAGTGATTAATGATTTGTTCTGAGTTTAATTGCATGTGCACATTATCCTTTGTGTAATTTGTAACTGTTGCTGTTATTTTTTTTGTTTATATTATTCTGTTGTCTTGTCCGAAATTCACGTACGAACGTTTCATTTATATGCCTATGGAACTTCCTCTTGTCATTTTCCACCATTGCCAACCCCAGCTTGCAGTGGGCGCCCGTCAAAAAAATCTCCGTGACTCATCGGGTTCTTCCAGCCTCAATCAATATGTCCCCGCGTTTACACCCAAAATGTTGTGTATGTAAACTGCCCTTGCTGCGTTTTGTTCACGTTCAGGACGAGAAGTTGTACCATCCGCCCGTGGTGGTGTTTGTCGACAGCAAGATGGGCGCGGACCTCCTGGCGGATGCCGTGGAGACCGTGATGGGGCTCAAGGCCGCGGCCATGCATGCCGATAAGCCCCAGACGGAGCGCACGAGCGTCTTGCAGGTACCGACCCCACGCACGTTCAGGTCACCACAGCTCTTTGGGAAGTGATAGGTGCAATGGCTAGAGCTTTGGAGTAATTATACTGACAGGGAAGGGGGTTTATGCGTTTTATTTCCAACAACAACCTACCCATCAACCAAGACCTGAACAATGTCCCTTGCCGCCAACTCAAGTCACGATGCCCCTTCTGGGAATGCGCTGTCACCGTCCGAGAATCTCACCCAGATCTGGCAGAACGCTGGCGATCAGAGTGAAACTAAACTAAACTATTTTTACTGGTAGGAACCTCCTGGTTACACCAGCCCACAGGGGATTATTGTGTCCGTCCATCGTGCAGGGAGGGGCTGGGTGGGGAGGGAGGGGTTGGGTGGGAGGGGAGGGGCTGGGTAGGAGGGGAGGGGCTGGGTGAGGAGGGTGGGGCTGGGTGGGGAGGGTGGGGCTGGGTGGGGAGGGTGGGGAGGGGCTGGGTGGGGAGGGGCTGGGTGGGGAGGGGCTGGGTGGGGAGGGTGGGTCTGGGTGGGGGGGGGGCTGGGTGGGGAAGGGCTGGTCACCCCGTGGTGCCCTTATAAAACTCAACGTTTAACCTACTCACGCCGGCTTGTGCCTGCCCTCACAGTCGGGCATATTTACGGAATATACCACGCCACCGTTGACCCTGGCCATTGACCGAGCAACCCAACGTTCCTACCAGCTCCCTCCACAGGAATGTGTTTATTTTACCAGGTACGGCCCACTGAGCTGTGTATAGATCTTTTTTTCAGAACCGACCTGGATATCACAAATTATAGCTCAACGAAGTGACTTATCATCGTGTGGAAATGTATCGCAGCCAAATACTCTTAAATGCACGTTGATTCTAAATGTGGAGGGAAAAGCCGGAGGACCCGGAGAAAAATCCAAGCAACCAAGGGGAGACCGAACCTATGCCCTCGTGCATATCAGGCGAAGTAGTTATCATCTCGCCACCGTGGTGCCCCTTTACACTCATCCCGTTCTCCTGAGTTCTCACCTGGTTCAACAAAATCAAACTTGACTCGACATTCGTCGGGAATGCCAAGGTGGATTGTTACATCACAGAATCATGAGTGTCAGCGGCAGCTTGGGGTGGCCTCCATCCAGCAACGGATTGACCATGGCTCATGTGGAGACACGGATCGGAGTTCTGCGCGTGTATATGTTCTCTGGCTGGCAATCGATTGGTCGCGTGCGCCGCAGGGTTTGCTGGCCGGAGAGTACGAGGTGGTTGTGAGCACGGGGGTGCTCGGACGCGGACTCGACCTCGTCAACGTCCGTCTGGTGGTGAACTTTGACCTGCCGTCCACCATGGACGAGTATGTGCATCAGGTGCGGTGATCTCTCGCTTCTGCCCGGTCATCCCAACGCAGGTGTTTTGTGTCGGGGTAAAGTCCAAAAGTCGGTTTATTGTGCCGTGGTACCATCAATAAAAGTGGCAGGGTGGCTCAGAGGTCGCAGGGCGCTGAGCCACCGTAGCTGAGACCCTGGGATCAAGTCTAGGTTTCAGCCGCCTCTGATTATACCGGGTTCTCAAGTCTAGCGAGTTGATGGTTTCAGCCCGGTCACCAATGACTGCACACAACAAATCATCACGTAAAATGTTCTTCTTCGCTTTACTTGGCTAAATTCCACCTCTGAAATTAAAAGTATCCATTTGACTGTTGTGCTACCCCCCCCCCCCACTCTCTGGAGTAGATGTCACTGGAAGGAACCCCGGTAATAGCTCTGTGATATCTGCTTCCACGGGCCATTCTGTAACAAGAAGGGTTGCACAGCAGTGAGAGAGCTCTGACTAGATTTCTTCATCTCGTGATGGCACCGACAGCACGATTGTGATAAAATTGGGGAAGAAAAAACACCTCAAACACTAAGTTCAATATATTGTCTCGCTCGCGTTCCAAACAGACTTTTGTTTTTAGCACCATATGATACATCGTTCATTCATTGAACAGTCAGCGCATTCACTATTTTGTATAACCTTTGCAGAACCAATTTACGATGAATACAGGCAATTGTATTTCACTAAAACCGTGTCTTCAAGAAAATGAAAAGAACGTGGTTACAACCATGTTTTTTAAGCTGTATGTTTAAGAAAAGCAATGTATCAATATCCCTAAAGAAATATGTTTTGATAAATTTGTATTACCTCATTTATGGATCAAAAACATTGACATTTGCAAATATAATGGAACAAAAGCAGAACATTGCAGAAAGAAGCATGCTTGGATTTACATTGAGAGACTGAAATGGGAAGCACATGGTTCGAGACGTAATATTGACTGCTAAGAAAAGTGAGCGTTCATGGATAGGAGACACTGCTAGAGAGATGGCAACCAGTGGTCAATACGAACGACAGAGTGGAAGCAAAAGGAGGGATCTTTCGATAAGATTTGCACCACGGAGTAACGAATTTGGCTCATGTGCACGTGCTAGAACAATGGTAGTGTCATGGGACCGTGAGAGATGCCCATGGCTTGCGGAGGCCTTTATTGAGCAATGGATTGATCTTGAGTGATAAGGCTCTCATTGAGCTTGCTAAGAAATAAAAGTCACCTATATTTCCATTTTACCACCATTGTTCAGCTTCACAGCTGTGCAGGTGCTTTGTGGATGTTTGTGGAACCGGCTTGGTAATGCCTTCATCTAGCAGTGGATTGATCATGCCTGGATGATGACGACGACGACATGCGACCGTGCGTTAGTTCTGAGTTGCGGCCCATTTATCGTCGTATTCCGCCCGTGCCCAGGTTGGGCGCAGCGGGCGCCTGGGCCGGCGCGGCACGGCGATCTCCCTGCTAAACAACCGCGACCGGCGCCTCTTCCTGGACCTGGCGTCACGCGTCGAGGCCACGGGGACTCAGCTGCCCGCCCAGCTGCTCCACTCCCCGCACCTGCACGAGCAGCGGCAGCGGCGGCGCCAGCAGCAGCAGCAGAAGCAGGAGCAACAGCAGCAGGTCACCGCCGACAACCTCATGGACGTCATCCGCGCTCACCAGCAGGCGTCCCGCGGCAAGAAGAAGAAGCAGCGATGATTTCACTGAAGTGCAAAAGTGTGACAATGGGGGGCGCATCGCGAGCCATGATGGCCAAAATTAACGATGGGAGGCCGATGGAGGGATGGAGAAAGAGAGATAGGCAGAAAATGAGACGGTGGAAACAAGATTATAAGGTGGAGTTGGCAAGAGATTTTCTTCATTGAAGCGTGGAAGATATTGGGATGTACATGGGTGGGGGCTGTCTGGACTTGTGGATTTTGCGTTGTCCTGTTCTCTGGATTTGCTCGTTCGAACCCAGACAATGTACCTCAGGAATTACTTAACAAGCATTCCATATACAATTTGAATGGATACCAACCATCCCATGAGGTTATTCAGTAGGCCATTGTGTACTAATTATTCTGCATGTTACCTAGGAAAGCTTCACAGAGTCTCAAGACTTTTTCAAGGGGGTCCTGCCAAATATTTGTGGTAGAGGTTGACATTGGCTACGATTTTCCAAATTAAATAATTTGCGAGTAATTTTATCATTTGGAGTGTGACGCTGACACACAATGGCCTACTTTTCTTTGAATGATGTCTCGGGATATTAAACGTCCACTGTGAATACACCTTTTTGTTTGAGAAAGTCCCATTTATTCAATACAAAAGATGCTAAGATGAATGAATCTGTACACTTCCAAAACACTTATCCTACAAACAAGCAAGATAAAAAAAATGGTCCTGTATATTTTGTCAGATACATGTGTATGTAATGTGCTCAGTACGTTTTAGCCCAGAATAACCTATATGTGATGGATTCTATTCACACGTGTGTTTGGTTTCCGTATTATTTTCCCATGTTCGACTCACACAAAGTAATTGTGATTCGAATAAACCAAGTCAATTCTTATTCTTGTTCTTTGCAACCCAGTTTCACGTGCTACGGAAAAATGTGAATATCTGCTACCCCCAAAGAATTGTTATCGTTGATCCCATCGGCAACCTGCAGCGTGGTGGCTAGCGAAGTGGAGTCGATGGAACGGAAACCACCTCTGCGTGACAAAGCTCACCAGCGAGAGCAGTGAGGTACCTCTCGTTATGCAGTACAGCAAGATTGCTAACCCGTGCACAGTTATCGTGCTGTGTTCACACGAATTTGTGATTTTTCTCCGGGGACATTCCTTCTCCCAAATTCAAAAATGCTCCAGAAAGAAAACCCTCTCGATTGGTCAAAATCCCATCCGGGATCCTTTTTGACACGACGTGTTTTGAGACTTGCACTGCTGTCTTTTGAGTGACGAGTGTTTTACTTACCCAGTGTTGCGAGCCCTATCCCCATGCTGAGCTGGGACTGAACTCTTGTGTAACTTGGGTCAATTGATATATTTTGTAATGTTATTGGTGTTTTTTTTCCAAACTGTAATTTTATTAATTACCTTTTTGGTTTAAAGCTTTCGTGACTGCAGGGATTCATATTCTTGGTTCTTTCGGTAAGGTCACGTAGAAGGGAAATAATAAAACAATAAAAATATAGAATAAAAATTGTCACGACGTTTCGACTGCAACACAAGCAATCGTCATCAGGTGTGAAATCCACAGCAAGAAAATTTGGATTTCACACCTGATGATTGCTTGTGTTGTAGTCGAAACGTCGTTAGAATTTTAATTGTTCTATATTTTTATTGTTTTATTATTTCCCTTCTACGTGACTTTACCGAAAGAACCAAGAATAAGATAATTACCTTTTAAAACAACGATATTACATTATTTGGCAATTCCACGAAAGCGGTAAGTGCGTAATGGCATACACGAGATTGTCATCGTGCTAAGCAATAGAGTCTGAATCATATTCAAAGCAAGTGTCTACCCGGTGGGCATATTTTACTTCGACGAAATCCGTATTTGTTTTTCCATCGCCAACCAAACACCTTCATTGAATTACCGTGTTGTCAGCATTAGTCGGCGGGTGTACGTGTTGTGCACACGTTAGGGTCTAGCGCCACCTCGTTTTGGATGCTCGGACGAAAGAAATCATTGACGCCACACGTGCAAAATCGTGGTTATGCGGTATTCATTTAATTCCAAGCCACCGGTTGCTCTTGCAGTACAAACGTGTTTGTGCAGTAAAAAGTGTTCACATTTGAGCAGCGTGTTCGTCCTAGCTGCTGTACCACCCTTGCTTCGTTTTTTGTTGCATATTGTAAACAGTGACGGCGGAATCTGTAAATCGACGACGAACCACTTTAAAGTGTTCTAAGGTGAATTAATCTTTGAAGCGAGTTTTATTTAGATTGCAAGAGGTGAATAACACACGAAAACGGCTTCCTGTGAGGAGTACAAAAGTGTCAAACACTAGCTTAACTATAAAACCACTTTCTTCTGCTAGGGAATGTGCTAAGTCAGTTTTGTCGAGCATCAGTTAAGCAAAATGCGGTATTGAGATCCTGCTTGAAGCGTACAATTACTCTCCTGTGGCTTGCTGATGTCGGTGTTCTTGTGGATAGCCCCTTGTCAATCGATTGCTGGTTGAGGGCCTCCCCACGCCGTGCAAGTCTTGGGAGCAGGGGGGGGGGTTATTTGACCATACTTCACCAACGCTGTTGCAAGTGGGACTCAGACGTGCACGCATAGTGCAGTACAACGATGAATTTTGCTGCACACTGCCCTTTGCCGGACACGTTGTGGCCCCCATTGTGTGCAGCGTTGTTGTTCGGTGGTCATTTAGGATGACCCAATTTGTCCGTTGTTAAGTGCTATCGTTGGCATCGTTGGGGCATGACCCTGAGAGTACAATGTAAACTTTGCAGTGGAAAGCATTTGCATAGCTGATGCTTAACTCTTAATGAGAGGACATCGGGCAGGTTCACCTCCCACAGAGGGGGGAGTTAATGTTGCTGACTTCATAAGCTCATCACCAACGTCACTACACGTGGCCTAGCAGAGGAAAGCCACTAGCTACGAAATACACGATAAACCCCCCCCCGCCGCCCGAGTACAGCATTCATTCAGGCACTTGGTAAACGTATCACCGATGTGTAGGTTTGTGCTGGGGGGGGGGGTGTATTGACCTCTCTGTTTAATAGAGACCATTAAGGTTTGCGACACACACGTCAAATAGCGTGCATCGGAAGTCAAGGAGCAGTGTTTTTGATTCGAATGTTGTATGTGACGGGTTCACGTGACCTAAGATTACCACAATGTTGACAATCCATTTTTGAATCGCCACCCGAAATCACAATTCATCGAGTGGGGGGGGGGGGGTGTTGATCATTCTGCCCAGGGCTTAATCTCTCGCTAAATATCCCCTGGGTCATAGGCGGTGAGGTGGCAGGCGACCAGTTGTCACAGCCATATCGAGGGTTATATACCGGATGGTGTGTGCCGAGTGTGGAAATAATTTAGGGGCAATGATGCGGATGGATCCGGCTAAAGTGAAATCCTGGTTTACGCCTCGAATTTGCGTGGAGTCTGCTGATTTAACGGCTGCGTTGGCGTGTTGGGGTTTGGGTGGGAGGGCAATCGGGAAATGAGAGGAAGGGCGCTGAAGGGCTGTGCTTTACTCCATCAGCGCTTCCACTAATATCATCCTCTGCGCTCGGCCGTGGGCTGTGGGAGATGTTCGTTGGATGGGCAGGGCTGGGTCACTCGCGGCCGACTGCATCCACCTGCAGCTATTACAGTGGGAGGAGAGAAAAAACAAGTTTGTTTTGACACGTTGCGTAGAAATGGGTTCAATGTCGCACCCCAAAACTATGCAGAAGTTCAGGTCCACTCACATGGTCCCTGGACGTGATGCGTACACGCGGATGCAAATCAAGGTTTACACTTCTAGATGTGTCCGGATGTGTCCGGGGTCAGAGTGCTGCGCTGACACCGCCAATATGCTGGCATGTGATTAAATTGGGTTGTCAATTGTAGCGAGGTAATGGTCTAACCCCGGTATCCAATGACTGCCCAAAAACAAACAATTACATTAAATTTGGTTCTTCGCTTAATTTGGCTAAATTGGCAGTGTTTGAAAAATGCTGCCGTGTGGAACAGAAGTCATTTCAAGGGGTCTCAGAGGTAGCTCTGTTGTTAGGTTCCGTATGCCACAGTGTAACCCTGATACAAAGGGTTACACTCTGAAAATAATGGATTTTTCGTCAGCAAAATTTGATGTAATTGAGAATTTAGATTTGTTTTCAAGTCTGTCTATTGGCTGTTAAATGCGTATTCAGGTTGTACCGCCTGCTACCCGGCAAGATGTCGAACATCCCGCTCCACGTGTTGCCTGCAGCTGGCTTTAAACGTCGGACATTGTTGCACAACACGCAGTAAAACCCCCAAAAAACTTATCGGAGAGCTATTCAGCACTGCTGCGAAAACTTCATCTTCACGATCCATGGCCAGATAGCCCGTAGGCGTTCACTGCACATTTCGTCATGTTTACACTTTCCTGTCTTGTGCCAAACTGTTCAAGTAGTGGCACATCTTTCTGGCACCAATCTCTAATCAAGCCACGCTCTGTTAGGTCGCGAAACGACAACTTACGCAATAAAAAAAATGTCCATCTATTTTTTTCGTTACTTTCATTGCTTATTAGCCCAGAATTATGCAACGTTCAGTGTGTCTCACCTTGTGTCTGTTTTGGCATGGGATCAGCTGGTGTGCTGTGCTTGCTTTCGCAGCACAACGAGCGGATCTTGCCTGCCACATAGCTGCAGGCTTCAAAGAGGCGACGAAAGAACGCGTGTTATATTATATCACTCGTGCTGATTGAATAATTTGTTTTGAGAGAAAAAAAAACCTGTTCGGTAATGGAGAACACTGTGTATATTTCTTTAGTCCACTCAGAAATGAAGTGATGTGGAAAGCACTCTTGACTTTTGCCAAGTCACAATGACGAGAATGTTAAGTCGCTCGGCTAAGAAAACGGAGGGGTGAAGAGGATGTGGTGACGCCTGGCCAAGTCAAACGGAGCAACATACTCGTAATCAACGTTTTTGGGTTAGATCGCGTTATTTATAAATCTGTCGTAACCCTCCACCACCCGACACGGCCAATCAGAAAAAAAGTGTCACGTTGACAAAAGACAAATAGTTCACTGCTTTAGCCCACCCGTGTGTTGAAGCGTGAAACCACAACGTTTACACGCTTCAACACACCGGTGGGCTAAAGCAGTGAACTATTTGTCTTTTGTCAACGTGACACTTTTTTGCTGATTGGCCGTGTCGGGTGGTGGAGGGTTACGACACATTTATAAATAACGCGATCTAACCCAAAAACGTTGATTATGAATATTGGTCGCGAAAGCCTACGTGTTAAACCAACAGACTCGTGTTATGTTTAGTATAACCCGGTAAGGATATACTACTTTTATGATCCACGTGAACATTTTGGAAATGTGTGCACAAATATAAATGTAGGACCAATGTGCCCCAAATACACCCGATCTTGTCAGATGACTAAATCAATATTTGGTGTTTTTGGATGGAAGCCTGCTTTGGGAATACAAAGCGTGGACAGTATGGTCACCCAATGGGGTACAATGCATTCTTGACTGGAGCTTTGAGTCTTATCCACGCACACACAATGGGTTTTTCTCCCGGTAAGCCCCCGTTTTTTGCCACATGCCACTCATTCATGGATTTGCCACACGGCCCTCCTGAAAGTTATGACTTAGGCTTTCCCTGATACGACTACGAAGAGATAATTATTGATCTCAGAAAAAACAATGTTTTCATATTTTCAACAAGGTGTTATATTGTACAGTCAGAAATGTATTGTTTACAGCATTGACAAACCACACATTTTGAAAACATGTTTCGTTAAGAAATAATCAAGAAAAATACACCTCTTAAAACGGTATATTTAAATAACCATGTACAGTACTGCAACCATATCACATTGAACATTGACCACAACGCACGCTTAACATCACGATAAAGTCAGCTTACCGTTAATGATTAGTCACACCATCTGAAATGGGTCCTGGTCTCGCACTGCGTTTATTGTGTCTGCGCGCTCGCAGGATCGCGTTTCGTGTGCGCTGTCGTTTGCGTGGGCATTGGTAATATAGCGAGCGCGAGAATGTGCCGAGTAATGGTGCACAGGAAGAGGCAGGGACGACACCAAGAGGTGCTTTTCGCACGTCACAGTGCATCATCCCTCCCCCAGTTGTCGGTGTTTTCTGACTCGGCACAGATGTTAAAACACAGCCGCTTGTAACTTCACGGACGGGTCGTCAGTGTTTATATTTGAATAAACTGCAAACGCAGAGCTTGCTCAATATTACGTTCTTTAGAAATGCGCAAATTTGTTCAACATTTTAACGTACCCGACCGGCAAACTGAGACTTTTCTAAAACCAACAAAACACCTCGTACATTCAATATTGACTTAAAGCTTTCGTGACAGCAAGAATTCATATTCTTTGGGTCCTCCGGTAAAGTCACGTAGATAGGTTAAAATACAACAAAAAAATTCAAAACTACGACGTTTCGATCGCAAGGCAAGCAGCCGTCATCAGGAGGAAAAAAAACCGTCGTAGTTTTGTTATTTTCTTTGAACCTATCGACGTGACTTTACCGAAAGACCCAAATAATACCTCGTACATCGTCTTACTTTATAAATTCAGCAAGACTTTTGAGAAATACTCCTTAAGCCTCGCGACAGAAAGATTGTATCGATTATGCAGGTTATGCCACTCCGCACTGTGATAGACATATATGGGATATCCTGGGTAAAGAAACCTCAAAAACCCACACCACCTTATTGTCCTGAAAGGAGTCTTAATTTAAGTTTCTGTTTACCCATGAAAGCCTCACTGAGTCTCGTGACTCTTTTTCAGGAGGGTCCTACCAAGGTTTTGCAATATGGGGCAATAATTGCTATGCATATTTCAATTGAGAACGTTGAGAGTGGGCAAGTGGATGAAACAAGTCTATTATTAAGATCATTGAACGCCCATCTGAAAGGTAGTTAATACAATACAAACTATTAAACATTCTAGATTTGAAGCTTTCGTGACCGCAAGGATTCATACTCTTAGGTTTTATCGGTAAAGTCACGTAAGTAAAAAAATAAAATTAAAAATTACTAAAATAATAGAAATAAAATAATTATTTTATTTCTATTATAACTTTTAGTAATTTGATATTAAATTGTTTTACCTACGTGACTTTACCGAAAAAACCTAAGAGTATCTATTAAACGTTGTTTGTCAAATCTTCCAATGATGTTTGTACGGGTTTTCTTTGAAAAAATACAAATGTGGGTTATATCTTGACTGAAAGCTTTCGTGACTGCAGGAATTCATATTCTTGGGTCTTTCGGTAAAGTCACGAAGATAAGTTCAAAGAAAACAACAAAAAATAAGAATAAACTACGACGTTTCGATCGCAACACAAGCGGTCGTCTTCAGGAAAAAGATGACCGCTTGTGTTGCGATCGAAACGTCGTAGTTTTGTTATTTTCTTTGAACCTATCTACGTGACTTTACCGAAAGACCCAAGAATATGTGGGTTATACATTCCCTCCAGGACACGACTCGACAGCGTGCATCACTTCCAGGTGGCATTTGCTGGGAAAGCGTTGGGTCTTGTGGCGTTTGTGTTCCTGTTTGAAAAGTCGGCCTTCCAGCTTCTGTGCTGCTTCGCTGCCTCCAGTCCACGGTGGACAGATAGCACCTGGCGGCTTCGTGGACAAAAAGGACAAACCACACCAATAAATATGCTAAATTCCTCTTGATATGCAAATTCCTTTGTCAAGACGCCCCTTCCCCCCTCCAACCCAGCTTAAATATACGCTGCCAAGCCTGGTGGTGCCCATTCAGACGCTGTCTTTCCGACAGACCTGTTCTTCACCTGAGGACGGCTGCTTGCGTTGTGGCCGAAACGTCGTGAGAATTATTTTATTATGTTTTATTTTTATTATTTTATTATTTCCATTCTACGTGACTTTACCGAAAGAACCAAGAAGATACTCTGACCTTAACGATTATTCACAGTACTCAAGATGTGTTGTATAATATACATAGCTGGAGATTAAACCACAGGCTTCTATGATTGTAGCCTTACATAGCTTTCCCACCAATTCTATTCCGACCACTATCACCAATGATGAATCCGTTCCGATCTCACAGAGCAGTGCAAATCCTTTATGTTAACGGAAAGCTGACAAGCGGATATCAGAGAGAGATCCCCTCAAGTGCCTGATAATCCACACAATAAGGGCAAGTTTCCCACCCACCCTACCACTGAGGGTAATGGTCGTGACATGACAGTCAACAGACATTTTTCATTCTCAGAGCTGGGATTTAGTCAAATTAAGTGCAGTCATTGTTGACTGGGCTGAAACCATCACTGGTTGACATATGAGATGTTGCTACTTCCAGCAAAATGCATGCATTATTAAACACGGGGCTTTTAAAGCATGACACCATGACTTATTTATAAACATGCTTGCATAAGCACACCGTAATATAATTGGTTTTCACACTTCTATGAGGCCCAGCATGATTTTTGTATCAAAGTTCAATTTTAAAGGTGCATAAATATGCTCAAATACATTTACAATGTAGGGCATGCGAGAAGGCCACACACACGAATTGGGTGTGCAATTTAAGCATGTCTCTAGATTTGAAGCTTTCGTGACTGCAAGTATTCATATTCTTAGGTTTTCGGTAAAGTCACGTAGGTAAAAAATAAAAATTAATAAAAGTAAAATAAAATAAATAAAATCACGACGTTTCGGAGGCAACACAAGCTTCCGTCTTCAGGTGGAACCGTCACAGCACGATAGCTGTATCAAGTAAATGAGAGATTACAAGAGATACTATCCCGTATATATAGTGGTTGAGGGGGGGGGGAATGGGCCAGGAACGGTCCATTTTTTATTATTATGGTAAGGTTTTTTTTATTTTATTTTACTTTTATTAATTTTAATTTTTTACCTACGTGACTTTACCGAAAACCTAAGAATATAAGCATGTCTCAGTTCACTTTACATCAAATGTAACCTCATTGTGCTGTGATGAATATATTCTAAGTGTTAATACAAATATAGTCATACTGTACAGATTTCTGAAATGTTTTGTCAAGCCGTTTGACAAGCTTGTCGTTTTAATAGCATCATCTTAACATTAAATGTTGCAGTTCGGGCATGAAATTGTGCTACATGGCTGGCCAGGTATAAGCCATTGCAATGAGATATTAGGTCTCAATTACTTACTGGGCGTTGGTTAGTCACAGGTTAAACGTCAGTTTAACACGTAGGCTTTCACGACCAATATTCATAATCAACTTTTTGGGTTAGATCGCGTTATTTATAAATGTGTCGTAACCCTCCACCACCCGACACGGCCAATCAGCAAAAAAGTGTCACGTTGACAAAAGACAAATAGTTCACTGCTTTAGCCCACCGGTGTGTTGAAGCGTAAAACCACAACATTTACAATTTACAATTGTAAATGTTGTGGTTTCACGCTTTTGTCAACGTGACACTTTTTTGCTGATTGGCCGTGTCGGGTGGTGGAGGGTTACGACACATTTATAAATAACGCGATCTAACCCAAAAACGTTGATTATGAGGTTAAACGTGTATTCAAATTGCCCTATCGGCGTCATGTCATGAAAGGTGAAGTTTCCGTTTGGGACTCGCACAGCAGAGTAACCCCACGTTAGGGAATGGCCTGCTGAAGGAAATACACACCTGTACCTTTAACACCTTCAATTGACAATTTTTGTCCACAAGAGAACCATGTTTTTATTTACCAGGTAAGGCCCAATGAGCTATATAGGTATTTTTCAGAAGCGACCTTGCCACAAATGATAGCTCAGCAAAGTGGCTCGTCATGTGGAAATTTATAGCAGCCAAATACTTTAAACGCATGTTTCTAAACGTGGAGTAAGATTCATTGCATGGTAATCAAAACAATATTTTATTCATTCCGGAATTTAGCAAAATTAATGAAAGCCTAATTTAATTAAACGTTTTGCATGGTAATTGATGACTAGACTGAGACCCATCAACTCACTACACTTGACAACCTGGTTTAATGATGGGCTGCTTACCCAGACACGAACCAAAGGATCACAGTGAAGGTGGCTTAGTGATCTGACTTAAGCCACCCTGTCACCTTAACAGTAACCGATATGAAGCAAAATGAAGGTGATAGTATAAGTCACAAAGGAGTCTTACTTTATTTTTGAGATCTCGTTAATCAGGCGACACACTGTGTCAGTGGCATCCCTCAGTTTAGCAGTCTGTGTAGATCTAAAAGGAACAAAATAAATGCTGTTGTGGATTACATTTACACAATTTCACGGAGGTGACAAAGTATTATGTAACACATTGGAAATGTTAGCAATTGCTCTGGTTGGTGCTGACAAAAACAAGAGTTGCAAGCTCTACCTTCCAGTGTTCACAACAATTTCTGAAGATTTCTCTTGGATGTAGATATCGCTTGGAGTTTCAATATTTTCATTCATCTGCATTTCATTGTCTGTAAGGAAATTATTGTATAGTACTGTAACTCAAAACAGCAAACATTTCAGGAATTCATTTTCTTACAAGTTTTCTGCTTGCAATTTCCACTTCTATATTGTAAACTAATTTCTAGGAACAAAATATTGGTACAGGAGGGTAAGCCATATACTGTGCTTCCCACCCCTGCCCAAATCATTTGTGGGTCCCCTTGGCTACATGACATAGGAATCATGGTTACTCATCCCCAGTGACATCATTAGTAGGAGACTGAGGCTGTTGGCCAAGACAGAAAACGTAGCTGACGGGAGGCTGAAAATACATTTCAGAGACACGGAGGAATGATCGCGCCTAGTGCCACTGCTTCGATCCCATGAGGCCCTCACAATAACCTTCATGGATCACTGTTAGCTCCTTGACATAGGCCACGCAGCTTCCAAATCATTCCCTCAACACTTGATGAACAACTCCAATGCTGTTGCCATCACATCTTGTCCGAAACAAACCAAAAACTGTTAAATAGCACGCAAAGATAGTAATACATATTTTGTTTACTTGCCTTCACTGAGCTCGCTCATGAAAAATTCACACAACTGGGTGTCTTGTAAGAGCAAATCATCAACAACTCCACTAGCTTCGGCGTGCGACTTGCGGCTGTGTTCCGAGTTCTTGTCGCCGGCTTTTGGATGAACAGTAGTTCCTTTTAATGGTTCTTGTTTGAAGATGCCTGCAGGTGCAGGGGGCATGGCAACAAAGCAGCCGTCCCTTTCGGTGCAAACACTTTGTGGTGGCATACCCGCTTCTTCGGTGACTAATTCTTCATATTGTTCAGCTGGAAATGTTTGTTTTTCATCGGCTGAGAAGTTTTGATGATCTGTATGTTCATTGGTTGGTAAATCTTGACTTTGCTCAGTTGACAATTCTTTATATTGTTCAGCTGATATATTTTTTAGTTCGTCAGCTGAAAATGTTGGATGTTCATCTGTTGTTAAATCTTCATGTTTGTCAGCTGATAATTCTTTACTTTGCTCAGTTGATAATTTTTTATATTGTTCAGCTGGTATATTTTTTAGTTCGTCAGCTGAAAATGTTGGATATTCATCTGTTGTTAAATCTTCATGTTTGTCAGCTGATAATTCTTTACTTTGCTCAGTTGATAATTCTTTATATTGTTCAGCTGATATATTTTTTAGTTCGTCAGCTGAAAATGTTGGATGTTTATCTGTTGTTAAATCTTCATGTTTGTCAGCTAATAATGCTTTACTTTGCTCAGCTGATATATTTTTTAGTTCTTCGGATGAAAATGTTGGATGTTTATCTGTTGTTAAATCTTCATGTTTGTCAGCTGATAATTCTTTACTTTGCTCAGTTGATAATTCTTTATATTGTTCAGCTGATATATTTTTTAGTTCGTCAGCTGAAAATGTTTGATGTTTATCTGTTGTTAAATCTTCATGTTTGTCAGCTGATAATTTTTTACTTTGCTCAGTTGATAATTCTTTATATTGTTTAGCTGATATATTTTTTAGTTCGTCGGCTGAAAATGTTTGATGTTTATCTGTTGTTAAATGTTGATGTTCATCAGCTGATAATTCTTTACTTTCCTCAGTTGATAATTCTTTATATTGTTCAGCTGATATATTTTTTAGTTCATCAGCTGAAAATGTTTGATGTTCATCTTTTGTTAAATCTTCATGTTCATCAGCTGATAATTCTTTACTTTGCTCAGTTGATAATTTTTGACGTTCAACTGACAAATGTTGATGTTGTTCAGCTGAAAAATGTTCGTGCTCCACTGAAATTGTTTGTTTATCAGCTACATTTTTACTTATTTCAGTTAATTCTTGATGTTCTTGAGCTGACAATTTTTGATGTTTAGAAAAATGTTTATATTCTTCAGCTGAGAAGACTTGATGAGCTTCACCTGCTATTTTTTTATCATCTTTTTCAGTCAGTAATTGTTCATGCTTTTTTGCAGCACAACGTACTGTAGTTTCCATGCCCAGAACTATCTTTTTTCCTTTGCAAGATTCACTTGTCAATGGCTCATCTGAAATACGTTCTTCAATATATTTTTCACATTTTCCAGGCTGGAAATACCGACCGATTTCAGCTTTGTTATTCAGACCTAATGAATCTGGATTGCCTTGTGCTATTATGCATCCCAAGTGCACTGTTTCTGTGCCATCATCAGAGTATATCATTTTAGATGTTTCACCGCTAAAAGGGTCCTTTTCTTTTTGTTGCTGTGTAACCACCGCTGCATTTTTGTTTTGAAAACCAACGGCTGTCGATGCCAGCGTTTCAAATCGCAAATTCAGGGGTGCCTCTATTGAAAGGACCTTGTGTGATTCTGCAGCGTTCGGCTGTTTCCGCACATCTGACATGTCGGCATTTGAAACCGATGCAAAGGGGTGTGAAGATGAGACAATGCTTTCACTTATAACCACTTCACCTTTCTGTCCTTTTCTGGACAGCTTATTTCTAAAAGTTACAGGCATTTGGAGTTTCTCCAAAATGCTGCTTTCTATATCAGCATTAACTGTACCACATGACTCATCATGTGTAACCAAACTCTCCGTCCCATTTGAATGAGGTGAACGGACTGTTACTAGAAACCGAATATGTTTTCTCAACGCCACCGCTGTTTTCTCTAGAACTTTGGTCTCTATCTGTATGCTCTTCCAAACAATCGGGCAGTGTCTGTGTTTGGTTATGAAAGCTCATGTCTATTGCCGAGATATTTGTATGCATGTCAGAGGCAATGTCAGGTACAAAACTGCTATTAGCCAGTAAGATCTCGGTGGGATGGCCATTCCCAATTTTAACGTTTAATTGACATTCATCAGCAATATTTGTCCTACCACAGTCTTCCTCATTGCCTTCTGTATTATCATGCTGACTTGGGTAATTGCTTTTGTTTTCTTCATTATCATCAATAGTCAGACATTTCCCATACACTTCTTTTTGTATTACTGGGGAATCCAATCCCACAATACAATCCACACATAGTGGTTTTGTAACAACATCTGTAGGAATGTCAATTGGGATGGGATACACAGACTGGCAATTGAGTGCAATCCCAACACATTTAGCATCTAAATCACACGTTCTGTCAGGCTCTGCCCTTTCTTCTTGCGGAGAATCACGCTTGAGTTCTTCATTTAAATCAAGTTTACGCTGGTCTTGAGAATGAACATGGCAGTGTTCATCCCGATTAATTTGGACCTCATCGACATGTACCACACCAACATCCACCTCATCGTCACGCCTCTCATATTCAACTTCCGCCAACGATTTTGTCAGCAGGCTGGTCGTCACATCCTCCACACTGTCTATGTACGCCTCATTCAGGAAAGATGTTTCTTGGTTTGCACTTGTACTTTCTATCGCGTTCAATTCATCCAATTTTATTTTCGTTGAATCCGTCCCATTTTCTGGCAGCAGAACTTCTGTGTCAGAATCAATGTGCTGCTGCTCTTGTTCATAGACCATTGAAGACAATTGTTCTTGCAATTCTGAATCACGATTTTGATCGCAGCTTGTGCTTTGCGTTTCCGGGACTACACGAGTTAAACATTCCAGTTTAGAATATTCACCGATGGAGTGTTTTGTGGAATTGATCGCTTGAGTCTACAGAAAAAAAAAACACGGTACTTTATGTTTAAAATAGAATACAATTGGGTATAAAATCCAATAGGATATATAAGCTGTACAAAACCGTTTCATTTAAAATTGCTAATATATTTGCAAAACATGGCAATACAGCTGATAATACATATCAAATAGCATGTGAACAAATTATAACGCCTACTTCTGTAGGAAGAGCAGCAGCGTTCAGAAGTGTTTCTTTTTGAAGCATGAACATTTTTGACTTTCTGCTTTTAAAGATTGGAATGTATTTTCCACTCGTAGGCTTCAATGAAGGGATCTGTAACATAAAATCCATAACATTTATACACATTTCATCGTATACAATACACTTTTCTAAAGGTAGCAGAGCAAAGTCAGTGTCTATGAACAGCCTCATCAATACAATTTATTATTGTTTGGGTTAGATCGTGTAAACATAAATGTGTCATTAAACCCCATCACCGCAGGACACAACCAATTAGTAAGGTTTGTCACGTAAACAAAACATGCCAATTCGTTACGGGTTCAGCGCACAGGTGTGTTGGAGAGTAAACCCTAAAAACCTCTTATGGAAAATATTGGGTCACAAAAGCCTACGTGTTAAAACACCTGACATACTACCACCGCGTCCACTCGAGGCGTGGGAGTCAGGGAGAGCAAAGACTAATGGTATTGATTGATGGGGGGCTTCCTTACAAAATAGTGTATGTTGAGAACCAATGTTTTAGCACAAGCACCATCATTAAATATTAAAAGACTGCATAATCCGCCATCTAGTGGGGACGGCTGAACCTGCAGAAATATTTGCCGAGTTTAGGCATGACAAATTGATACCCAATATGACTGATGTATACTGTGACGGTGTTTACGTGTCGACAATTAAAATGTTGTACCTCTTGTGATAAAAACTGTAAATCATCCGAATCTGATGTTTTTAGTCTTTTTCCCTCTGGATCTGATTCAGCGCCACTGTAACAAAATGTTTAAAGAAAACTCAACGAAATAAACATTTAGAATAATATCATTAAAGAGATTGATACATGCTGACTTAATAAAATGTCTTTAAATTCTTTTTTATGTAATCTTAAAGCTTAAAAATCCCAAGCAAGGTTTGAAATGCTTTTATTGAATTGGCCTTGGACCAAATCACTCAAAATGCTAAACATGGCTGAGCCAGGATAGAACTTGGATATTCCACCATGCAAAGGGCAGTGTGGGTAAAAAAAATATTCTGTTGTACTGTACATCCATGCCTCCACATCTTCACCAGCCTGCACTGACCAGCGTGCTGAAATATGATCAAATAACCCCCGACCACCACAACACACGGCGCGATGTGAGGCCGTCATCCAGTAGGAACTTTCACAAGACACTAGTGTAACCATCAACTACATCGGAACGTCACCAGGCTGATGCGCGCACATCACTCCTTAGTGGGAAATTGTAATAAAAGCCACAGTACAGTTCTGGCCATGTAACCCAAACACTATGGATCATTCTTGATTTGATGCTTTCGTGACTGCAGGAATCCATACTCTTTGGTTCTTTTGGTCTGCTGCTGAGGCAGACTGACCATGCTATCCCACCTGATGATGGACGCTTGTGTTGCGCACGAAACGTCGTGATTTATTTTATTTTATACCTACGTGACTTTACCGAAAGAACCAAAGAGTACTATGGATCATATCGAATACCACTGTAGTTTGCGCTCTTTTAAATTTAGGAATTGCAAAACCACAATAATTGTCTGTCCCGAAGCCCTCTTGCGACTTAGCAGGCCTTGAAGATGGCATTTAGCTCCAGAAAATATTGCCACGCGCAAGAACTAGAACCTAATACTTTATATTTAACTAATTCCACAGTGTAGAGTGAACATCAAGTATAGACAAGTACGTCGAGAATGCAGCCGTTGGTCTTTTGCGAGACTTTGTATTTCCTTGCAGTGGTCGTTGAGGCTCTCCAGATGCCTTTGAGGGCTTTAATTTGAATTTGCGGTTGGAGTCGGCATTTTCTGCACAGCCTGCAAATGCTGCATCATCATCATCGTTGCCGTGACTCATGTCGGCACTTGAATGAGCACCACCTGCAAAAAACGCAAGACAAAACACCCCCAAAGGCACGAAGCCCAACGAATAATAAGTTCAACTTACAACACACACAGTATTATTCACTCACTCTCAAAGCGAGTGGACGTCTTCAAGAGGCGCGAGAACCACAGAAAGGCATCGGCAGCCACTGGATGAGCAGGTGCCAATAATTGCCAAAGCGCTGCGACTCTCTGTTAAGACCAAACAGATCAACTATTTTTGTTGTTGTATTTTACCAGGTAGGGCCCAACGAGGTATGTGGCTCTTTTTCAGAAGCGACCTGGCCACAAATGATAGCTCAACGAAGTGGTTTTTAACGTGGAAATCTACAGCAGCCGAATACTCTAAACGCACGTTTCTAAATGTGGAGTGAAAACCCGCAGGAGCCGGAGAAAATTAACTCGACCACGGGGAGAAAGAGAGACACGCAATCTCCAAATATACAGCAGCAGGTGTCAGGGTCGGGATCAAACCCACGACCTCCTGTATACCTGACGAGGTAGTTAACATCTCATAGCCACCGTGATGATGATGAGAGACACGCAGACTCCAAATAAACAGCAGGCGTCAGGGTCGAGATCGAACCCATGACCTACTGCATACCAGGCGAGGTAGTTAACATCTCATAGCCACCATGATGATGATGAGAGACACGCAGACTCCAAATATACAGCAGGCGTCAGGGTCGGGATCGAACCCACGACCTACTGCATACCAGGCGAGGTAGTTAACATCTCATAGCCACCATGATGATGATGAGAGACACACAAACTCCAAATATACAGCAGCAGACGTCAGAGGGAGAGAGTTGGGATTGAACCCACAACCTCCTGTATACCTGGCGAGGTAGTTAACATCTCAAGATTGGCTTGGCGACCCAAGAGATTGTTGCCAGAAAGACTTTGGCGCTACTTGAGCTTATCCGGCACAAGACGAGAGAATAACGTGGAAGCCAATGATGATGTGTGCAGTGGGACAACCTACGGGATATCTGCCCCATGCCATGGATCGTGATGATGTTGATGATGATGAACAATCAACTCGTGAGCGTTCGCATGTGGGAGCAAGCTAAGCAAGTGTTGAGCCTGGATAGTGGTCGGGACCTTATTGTCACGTAGCGAAGGGGGGGGGGGGGTACCGATGTTGTACTCTACTTCTATGTGACGATTGTCACCAAGCGTGAAGCAACGTGGGTGAAATATTACTATAAAGTGCGGTCGTTTTATTCGTAAATATCGATTAGTGGCCGTCCTGTCCACCAGATTTAAGGCTGCAAAACCCATTAAAGTCCAATACATAATGCACAAGATACGGTTTAAGACTAGTTTAATGTATAATATAATGTTACTCAACAAGATGCCGATGATGTTAAGACGAATTACTCTACCGCCATAAAAAAAGGTATGAATTGTGATGGCAGTGAAACCAAGTTTGACCCTCAATTTACAACATACCAAGGCCCGGGTTATCAATAAATTGTATTAAAATACAATCACGTAACGTTATCCACTTTAAATTACAGGACGTATATTCTTAGGTTTTTTCGGTAAAGTCACGTAGGTAAAACATCAAAATTAATAAAAAATAAAATAAAGATCACGACGTTTCGGAGGCAACACATCGTCGTGATCTTTATTTTATTTTATTAATTTTGATGTTTTACCTACGTGACTTTACCGAAAAAACCTAAGAATATGAATCCTTGCAGTCACGAAAGCTTCAAATCTAGAATTACAGGACGTACTGTACAGTGATAAACTAATCTGTACAGTGCTCTCACTTATTGTACCTTGCATAGAAACGTCGTCCGCCTCTGTAGAGTATTCTTCAAGATAAAAGAGGGGTAATTAGTCGTCAATTAACACCCTTATTATAAAAACGCAGCGATATAAAACTGCACGCAAACTTGAATTGGGATTTCACGGCCCTCTGGGATTTGTTTCGGGGCTGCCTCGTGAGTGACGTCACCCCTCGTGATCCTTAGGTTTCGCGGTGATTGACAGGTGGCACCAGGAGAGGGCCCACAAAGCCACAAGCTCTGGCACCAGCTTGGGCCTCACAAAGCCACACGCTTTGGCACCAGACGGGGCCTCACAAAGCCACACGCTCTGGCACCAGCTTGGGCCTGACAAAACCACACGCCCTGGCACCAGCTTGGGCCTCACAAAACCACATGCTCTGGCACCAGCTTGGGCCTCACAAAGCCACACGCCCTGGCACCAGCTTGGAGCTCACAAAGCCACATACTCTGGCATCAGCTTGGAGCTCACAAAGCCACATGCTCTGGCACCAGACGGGGGCCTTACAAAGCCACAAGCTCTGGCACCAGCTTGGGCCTCAAAGCCACAAGCTCTGGCACCAGCTTGGGCCTCACAAAGCCACAAGCTCTGGCACCAGCTTGGGCCTCACAAAGCCACAAGCTCTGGCACCAGCTTGGGCCTCATAAAGCCACAAGCTCTGGCACCAGCTTGGGCCTCACAAAGCCACAAGCTCTGGCACCAGCTTGGGCCTCACAAAGCCACAAGCTCTGGCACCAGCTTGGGCCTCACAAAGCCACACGCTCTGGCATCAGCTTGGGCCTCACAAAGTCACACGCTCTGGCACCAGCTTGGGCCTCACAAAGCTACACGCTCTTGCATCAGCTTGGGCCTCACAAAGCCACACGCCCTGGCACCAGCTTGGGCCTCACAGAGCCACACGCTCTGGCACCAGCTTGGGCCTCACAAAGCCACACGCCCTGGCACCAGCTTGGGGCCTCACAAAGCTACACGCTCTGGCACCAGCTTGGAGCTCACAAAGCCACACGGGCGAAGGCGCCCAGGGGGTCTAAAAGTTACTTGGCTGCAGGTAATGGCCTGGCCTGAATCTTCGAGTTCACCTTAAGCATCCACGGACGCCGACTTACCGGTAAAGGAACAGATGCGAAACTGCTTGCCCAGGTACACGCTTAACAAAAAATCCCACTGAAAATCAACATACCAAGACAACAATTTCAATCGGCGTGCGTGTGTGTGTGCGAGGCCTGATTGTGATATTGATCATAAACATGGAGGTTGATTAAAACTAAATGGAACAAAAGCTGTAAGAGGGCACGCATAGCTTGGAATGGCACTGAAAGAGGAACAACATTGGCAGGGTGCTTTGAATGATTACAGGTGTCCACAGCACTGCAACCTACTCTCTCGTCTTTTTGTTTTAATGTTGATCCTGTCCCACCTTCAAAAACTACCCTAAGTACAATACTTGGATGTTGTTAGCAGTTATGTCCCTCCCAAAGAAATAGTATTGTCTCGTAAAAACGTGCTACACATTGCTTTTGCTCGTTTATATTTAACCCAACATCATTAATTTCAATTGGTTCTGATAATGACTGTGTCATCAGCACATCTGAAACGAGTCATATTTTCTCAATTTGTGTTCATGCATTTATTTCTCCAATTCAATTTTCAGAAAACATCTATCAATCAGGTTCTGCAAAATAATTATATCAACTACCACCCTGTCTAGCCTCTGTTGACTATAAACATGCATTAGGGGCCGTCCATAAATGACGTCACACACCGAGGGGGGGGGGGGGGTCAGACATTTGTGACGTTGTGTGACGAGGGGAGGGGGGTCAAAAATCGTCCAAAATCGTGTGACGTCATTTATGGACGGCCCCTTATTGACTCAGTGGAAAATTGATAGGTCATCCAAGCCCTCGCGAACAGAGGCTGAAATGAGAAATATTTCGGAATCATAAAAAACATCTGCAAACGTAGAGAACATCGAGATTGCACGAGGATTGTAGTCAGACGAGGAGACACCTTTGCTTGTAGATTATAAAAGGATATGGAGCAGCATGGAGAAGGGAACCGCAAGGAAACACGTTTGGGCATTGAAGGTGCATGTTTTGAACAAAGTGTTAATTTGACATTCTTAATCAAGTCGACATGTTTAAAATTGCAATATTTCTTTAATAAACCATTTCTTTTGGCAGCAATCTATTAAAATGTACATAATTTAAAATACTTAAACAATTGTATAATATACCAAGGCGCATATTTGTAATCACAGTGCAATATTTGCATGTTGTTGAAACCACCAGTCTGAATTCATGTGAATGAAGAAAGGATATGACTACAAACAACACAACGTAATCGCAAAAACTTGCTAATGCTGAAACTCCCCTTATCCGCACTGATGTGGATGGTGCTACTGGGAGATCCCATTATCAGTGGCCCACCCACTGGACTAACGAACTCGGCGACCCAAGTTTGATTTCTGGCCACGGCTAACATCAGTGGCGAGTGATATCTGAACCATTCCTGGGCCCTCAATCACCAACCCACACTGACCAGCGTTGTGAAGTATATGAGTCCTTCACCCATCTGTTTATTAAGGCTGTAAATTATCCACAAAAATAGAGAACTCCTCTTATCCGTATGGTCACTCACAGATAAATGTGGACAATAGCATACACTTTCCATGGGTGACCCGTTTCCGGTGCTCCTCTTACCCGCAATTACACTTGCCCCACAACTCCTGTGACTCTTTAGGGGCTGTGGGTAATGTAAGTTGTGTATAATATAGTCACGGGTTACAGGCGTTTCACGAGAATTTTACATCGGCCATGGTAGCCCAGATTGCACCCTGTAGGGGATTTCTGTTTACATTTTGGAAACAACATCTGTAGACACATCACGGATAATTTATGAAAACTTTTAAGTACTTTACAAGCTCTGGAACTGTGTAATTGGCAGCCTGAAAACGATTTATATTACGTTCCTCAACACAATTATAATACAGTGGAAGTCATTTGAGGAATACAGTACAATCAAATGACAAGGGTTTTGGTGATCCTATGCACTGCATACATTGGCATATTCTCGATTTCAACATTACAGCTGGAGCAATTATGTTACCGAAGTAAATAGTAGGCTCAGGTCTATTCAGCCCATATCATGCACTGTTGATTATTGAACAATGCTATTCGAAATAGCCGACTTTGCTTCTCAGCAATAAAGCCAAAACTGTTAACTTCAGCATCATTGTATTTACTCATGATAAATCTGTGACTCGTGGTGAAAGACTAAAACCACATTTCTGTATTGGTCCATACACATTCAGCAACATGTACAGATCATGAATACCATTGACTGTGCTGACACAAAACAAGACTCATATAAAAAGAATTAAAATGTCGATACGCTATAAAAATAATAATACATCAGTAGTGCAGAATACCAACTGTGCTGGTGTCCAGGCATGCGGACACTCCAGCACCAGTAAACTGAGACACACTTACAAGGGTGCAGACCCCTCTCACTGCAACACAGCCGCGGTGCAAACAGGTGCAATTCATAATCAAGAATCTGTGTATACATGTGAATACAATCATCAATGCATCAACGTTGCCAAAGTTGGTGAAGGTCTAGAGATAACAACGGAGCATATACAGTATTTGAACCTTGGAAGGTGCCCAAAATATATTGTTTCCGCCCAGGTACTGCGGCCCCTGAATATAGAGGATACAAGTATTGACGTGAAATGTACAGCCTATAAATAACACATTTCAGCCCTTTGTCAAACCACTGCTGGATGAAGGCCTCCCAATACTGTATTGACCATAGGTTTTGATTGACAATACATCACCAAGCAGGTCAGTACGGGTTGGTTAACAGGGACCCAGGAACAGTTCAAATATCACTAATCTTACGTTGGCTGGGAATGAAACTCATGGCACTTGGTTCATAGCGCTGCGCACAAACCACCACTCCACCGCTCCACCCCATGAATATCAATGTCATTTATTTATCCAGGAAAGCTCCTCTGAGTAAAAAAAAAACCCACTTTATTAGAAGGCTCTTGCGCCTTTGGATATTTGGCCGATTCCATTATTGTTTTTCTCATGGGGGAGGAATCTAGAGTATCCAGACAAAACACATGCATAAGAGGGGATAATACACAAAGACCCACATAGATGGGTTAACAAGAGGGACATTAAATCACACAACAGCCTGTAGACTTATGGTCTGCATAATGGCACCCACACATCCCACTCTCTTTAATCTCACATCATGCACAAGTGTCTGGGTCCCCTTACATATTTTGTTTATGTCCCCTCGATTAGACAACCTTCAATAAAAGTAAACATCACTTTTTAACGTGCAAAAATCCAGCACGGTAACACTTTTTTTCCTCAAGGCATTTAAGCCACCAAGAAATGTTGAATGCAAGCGGCACGAGTGACACCTGGTTTGTAAGGTGCATTGGGGGCAATGCCCCACCTAAAAAAAATCTTTAAAAAATACATTTATTTTTCAAATTGGGTGGGGGGCTGGGGAACATTTAAAAGTCAAGTAACAACTAAAGTAAATTTCTTACATTCATTTTCATTTAGGATCGATTCAGACAGGATCAGAACCTCCTGTCAGCGAGAATTCCGCACTTAAAAAAATATCGATTTAAACGGAATAAAAATATGGGTTCTGTATTCAGTGCCACTGCCCCAAAGAGAAGCACTGAGAGTGAAGGCGTCTCAATGGCCAATGCAAACCACTCCGCGAAGAGCCAACATGTAAGTGAGATGAGCTCAAATAAACCCACCCAACAACACGTTTGGAATCTGCAGGAGTAAAGTTGGAATTACGAACAAATCGACTTACGAACACACCTCTGGATTCTAACTCATTTGTAAGTCGACGAGTCCCTGTATAGCATTTTATAGACATGCCTTATTTGGTTACATTTAAAATGTACAAATGCTGGCAAATGACAGTACTTAAAAAAGAACACACACTGGTACAATACCAATATAAATAAAACTGGCATATTTCGAAAGAAGCACAAGCTGGTATATACGCAGTGCATAGGCTACTCTTGATTATTATAAATATTGTAAAACTGTCCGAGAAACATCTTGTTAGTTAAAGTAAATTATTATTAGGTTTAATGCAACACTTGTATAAATGCGTGCACAGCAGCAATGAGAGAGCCGAGTGCTTGGGCCCCAGCAGCTCAATTCCTCACTTCCTCACTTCCTGGGTTAAATCGTTCCAACACAAAATTTTGAAATGGACTTCAAATGAAACACAACATTGCATCACAGGGTCACGTGGAATTAGTGGCGTTAAAATCTGCTCAATACAATCGTTAGTGAAACGCCAGCTCCATGCGGACGACATCCATGGAGCGATTAAATTAAACATGCGGCAACATTCTAACATAAAACTGTAGTTAAAATGCGGCCCCCACTTCATGCCCACCTACGTATGCTTCAGTCAACCAAAAGGTGTCGATTGTTTGTAAAGGGCTCTGGTGTGTGAACGTCAAGTAAGACGCTGAGTCACCTTCACACGGCTTTGAGACTCGCATCAAAACCCAATCTTTAGAAAAGCACTTTTTGGGTGATTGAGTCCTGCAAAGTGGTGCTGGAGTGATCGTTCTAGCGGTTGGGCTCCGCGTGTTGAGTGGTAGGTGTGAGGCTGTGGAAAGAAAAGGGTTGGTAAATGTACTATTAAGCGCTCTATATTTTCACTTACTGCATTTAACAATGGGGTGCGCGCCAACTGAACCGAACAAAATGCAGACGAGTAAATAAAAACTAAAACTGTGCAAATTGTGTTGTGAAAATACAACTGAAAGTAGTTCAATAAAAGCAACGAGCCAAATTACAAGTTAAATTTAGGTGAGTGCCACAAAAACTACAACTTAAACAGAGGGATCAAATAAACAACCACTGCGTAGGTTTCTGCAGTTGTGCAGAGTAGTTTTCCGATGTTTTCAGCTTCTGTCATGGCTTGTTTGGCATTGTGTCCGACGTTTCGCTCCACGTGCTGGGAGATTTGAAAGTACAGTTCCTGAAGAAGCTCCCCGCACGTGGATCAAAGCGTCAGACATCGCGCTTAACAACACGCGGCACGACCCGAAAAGCACCTCGGACAGCTCAATAAAAACATTACTGCAACAAGTCACAAGTTGTAAAAAGGACCTAAATAAGTCAAAACCATCTAAACAGGAAGTGCTTCCAAACCATGAATTCAGACCTTTACCGTGATAACAGCCAGTTCATGAAACAGACACTGGAGCAGCAGCCATCTTCCATCATCATCTGGCTGTAAAGCTGCCTCCAAATTGGAGAGTGCAGACTTGCTGACATCACAATACTGCAACCATGCCACGCTTATGCAGTGCTCCGCGGCAAGCTGTGCTTGACATCTGGCCGTGCGGGTAAAGCCGTGACCCGCGCAAGCTGCCGCATGCGTGTCTGTGTATAATCGCAGTCGTCATGCAGAGCACCGTTGAGCGAAGAGCTTCACTCTTTAACCGAGCGTCGGGCCTGAGGGAGGCAGCCGGAGCAGAAGATTATAAGGCACAGCGGCCTCCTGGCTGCTTGGCTTGTTTGTGTCCGAAGCACCGTCTTTGTGGTTTAGACGCGTCGCTACGCTGGGCAGTGTAGCACCCTGTGCTGGATGTACTGGCAAAGGCAGGGCACGTCGTGCGCATGAAGGAAGAGCTGCGGCCGGTACAGAAGCCCCTTCGCCAGCAACTTCACGTAAGCAGCGCTGTACGTCACCAGGAGCTGCTCTGCCACTTGCTGGTTAAAGGGCAGAAAAAACAACACGTGCAGTGCTTTTGAAATCCACTGCTGGATGAGGGTCGTCGTGGGTGGTTGTTGAGCTGTACTTCGCCATGCTGGTTAGTGCAGGTTGGTGAAGGTGGGGAGAATAAACACTGGAGAGTCGAAGTGCAGTACAACAATGGATGTTGCTCTGCTGCCCACTATTTCATCCAATTATATTATCAACCATCAGAGTGCATTCATTATGATAATAAAGAATATATACGGTGCCTTTCATCACAAATGTCTCTCCAGTACACGCATATGTAGATTAAGCCAATAAATTGATCAGAGAGTGGCATATTTAATTGGTTAATGTGACCTCTGAATTCACTAGAAATGCTACCAATTGCCACATTGTTTAAAATAATAAAAATTTTATCCGGGGGCAGGAGGGGGGGTATATTGCTCAAAGCAGTTTTTTAGACAAATAGTACGAAAGTAACTATATCCTCATCGGTACGGTTTATCATCCCTGTTTGATGTATTCAAATAAATGCCGTTTTATAAAAAAAAAAACTTGACTGCTTCATTAAAAATTCTCCTTCGCCAATTTGAACGTCACTTGAAAAATGGGAGCCTATCCAATCACGATAGCATTACACATCAGCACAACCAGAACCTTAGGAAACTGAAGCAGGAGTATATCTCTGTACCTCGGGGCTGCCCCACGGTGTGAAGTGCCTCACAGTGGTGATGGTCTTCCCTTTCTTAGGCGCCGAGCCATCACCAGAGGGCAGCAACGGGGCCTCTTCCGAGTCACCCGCTGGCCTCCTGGGCTCCTCCTCCTCTTCTAACAGAATGCTCAGATGGTCAAGACTCTGCAATATCACACAAGTGAGCACGCACGCACACAGACACACTCATGAGGACAATGGCCAAAGCACACTGGCCAGAAATAGCTAGCTTGAGTACATTGGCCTGGAAACAAGGGCTTTAAAACCACGAGACTTTGAACACTGCCCTAGCAACATTGGATTTAAAGAAATGGCCAAAGAACACTGGCATTACAACATTTTACTGGCAGGAACCTCTGGTTACACCAGCCCACAGGGGATTATTGTGTCCGTCCATCCGTGGTGCAGGGAGGGGCTGGGTGGGGAGGGAGGGGCTGGGTGGGGAGGGTGGGGCTGGGTGGGGAGGGGAGGGTGGGGAGGGGCTGGATGGGGAGGAGCTGGGTGGGGAGGGTGGAGAGGGGCTGGGTGGAGAGGGTGGGGAGGGGCTGGGTGGGGAGGGTGGGGCTGGGTGGGGGGTGGGGTGGGGCTGGGTGGGGAGGGGCTGGTCACCCCGTGGTGCCCTTATAAAACTCAACGTCTAACCTACTCACGCCGGCTTGTGCCCGCCCTCACAGTCGGGCATATTTGCGGAATACACCACGCCGCCGTTGACCCTGGCCATTGACCGAGCAACCCAACGTTCCTACCAGCTCCCTCCGCAGGAATGTGTTACACAGAAAACTGGCCATACAACAATGTATTTTGGCCTCAGATTACTGGAATTAAAATACTGGCCCAAGAGCATTGGCCTAAAAACACTAGACCAGGGGTCGGCAACCAAATTAACAATTAAGCCTTTTTTTCGAATTCGGAAAACCCCCAACAAAATATTTCAAGAGCTGCAATGTATGTGAACGTCACGAAGCAGTTGGTTAAGAGCCGCATGCGGCTCCTGAGCCGTAGATTGCCGACTCCCTGAACTTACACCACGATGACTGGTCTCAGAACACTCAGTATTTTAGCAAAGGACAGCCAGCATAAATCCCACCAGCCAAACAGTCAAGAGTGGTAATTAAGAGAATATAAACCCAGTGACTGGCTGTTAACGATGATACGACCCGGTTTGAATTATACGTGGTTTTTATCAATGAAGCCAATTGCAAAACAATATGGTTCGTTTTTGTTTCCTCTGGAGCAGCGTGACCTTTAGCTAATGTGGAAACCGTACAGTACAATTGTTTTTCATTAACAATGGTATTTCTCCATCAGAATTGTCTTGTACAGAACTGTAGTAAATGGGGCTCTAGAGAGAGGAAGTCAAGTATAATTAGGTTATTCATGTGATATTTCACAGAGAGGAAGAGGCAGCCGAGTAAAAGAGGAATGTATTGAACCTGGATTTGAACAGGGCGGTGAGTTGATAGATTGGCTGGGCAGGAGAAGGCAGTTCCAAACTATGGAGGCAATCCCTCGACCATTTGCAGTTCCTTGTCAATACACTGCTCAATGAAGGCCTCCACATGGCACGTTAATCATGGTGATTGCTTGGCCATATTTGGCCAAGCTGGTTAGTGCGGGCTGCTGAAGAGGTGGGGTACCATGACCGGTTCAGACATCACCTGCCAATGATGTTCGCCGTGGCCAGGAATTGAACTCAGGATGGTGGGTCTGCAGCGCAATGCGCTAATCACTGCACTACTACTCCAGCTCAATGCCTCCTGAATTAGACCACTATCCTGGCCTGCTGGTGATATCAAGCCTAGTGCCCTGCATTATAATGCACAATATTATTTAGTGTAGCTGCTGACTAACAGTTGTACTGCTGGACTCATAGATCAGGGAGGAGAAAGTGGGGAATATTGGTTGTTAATTTATGGCCTGCTGAAGTACAACAATGCGTCCATTAATATCAATTGAGATAAATGATACGTGATTCAAATCGCGTGCGTGTGAATTGATGTTTCTCAATTCATATATGTTGTATGTAATAGGGTCATGTGACCCGCGCAGCCGCCAGTGGTATCTGCATTAAGTTGATAAAATAATGTAGAATTGAATTGTCACCCTGAATCGTGGATATAGGATAAATCGCCGGGGGGTTGATGAATTCTCACACTTGTAGTGTCTTATGAAATTACACAACTGAGGAATAAATACAATAACAAAAACAAGAGAAATATAATGTGAAAATAGAATAAGAATTGAGTGTAAGTCAGCCATTCTGAGCATAAATCACTCTTTTCCCATTAATCAGTATCTCTTCCCTTCCTACTACTCTGAAGGGTTATTCTTTGAAATATTACCTTTTGACAGTGTCAACGATGAATAAGGTGAGTATGCTTTTAGATCACGTTTCAATCCACTGTCTCTAAAAAGGAACATGTACAAACGACCGCCTGCTCTTGTGCTCAACACGCCTTTTCTAGTCACCCACTTCTCGCCGTTGTGCATTTCTTGTCGGCTGGAAACGTTCGGCAAGCGTTCCCAAACAGTCGGCGGTGTCAAAGTACACAAAATTGAGCTGATGGCTGAAGTCAAAGAAAAATGTGAAGACAGGACATGGTTATTTAACCGAGATGCAGCATATACAATTTGTTTAGAAATATGCATGCGTGCAACGAGTAATTTTCATTCTTCGTAAAATTAGATTTTATCATCATCATCATCATCGTTCAATATTTACACCACGCCTCCCATGCAGTACATGTTGGGATGCCAGAGCAAATTGGGCATTTGAGATAATTTCTCGGGAAGGAAGTGAACACAATGTTCAAAAACAATATAATATAGACAATACACATAACCAAAGGTGAGAACTAAACTGTGAAAACATAAAATATACTCGAGTCTCCTGGCTTTCTATCCCCCGCTTCATTTAAGTTGTCATTACGCTTTCTGAAAAATACGTCTTTAATTAATTTTGTATCCGTCTAAGCATTCATTTCCACAAAGGATACGTCAAGCTTGCTGCGGCACATGTACACGGAGTCGGTGAGGCCGACCACCAAGTTGTACTTCATGAGCCTTTCGTTGAGCGCAGCCAAACGCATGTCTGTGTTGATGTTCATCTGAAACAGCGGAGGTACGAGCATGAACGCAGTTAATTAAATAAATAGGTCGATATTTAAATGAAATCCTTCACATCCACCGCGATTCACAAGAGGCCTTGTGCCGACGCAAAATTCGCACGATTGCACGTGAGGAAAATTCTCGCGGGATTATTATGGTCACAAGGACATAACTGGATAACAACGCTCTCGGTCAAAGCTCTGTCCATTTTTTTAAGCGAGACAGAGAGCGCGATTGTTGCCCGAGCAGAATGAAAGCTGGGTGGCGATGCCGAGATGAACGTTACACAGCGTCATTAATTGTTGCTACGTCCTTGTGACAGCGTTCTCGAGACTTGATGTCGTTTTTTTCCCCCGCATCAGAATTTCCTCTTGCCGACTGTGGACATCGCGAATCCGTAATCCTTTGCTTGGATATTTACAAAATACAGTGCTGGGTCTTTAGTTAGAGCACACAACGGCTTATCTTGTACAGCGTTTGGTGCCAGATAGCCAAGCACTGAGTTTGGTAAACACAATAGCGATTAGGCAATGTATCTTCTAGTCCCTCGGCTTTTTGGGGCCGTTGGGGCACGACTGTTTCTTTCATCGATATCCTTTTGCAGTGGTAATTCCACTTTCTCCTTGTCCATCGCTGGTTCTTTTCACCGAGATAGATTCCACTCCAATGTTTTGTTGTTGTTTGTCACCACGATAAGATTATGCTCAAATACATTTGCATCACTAGTAAATGCTTCGACTGCCTCAGCAGATAAAACAAAATATTTGCAATGTAGGTGGCATATATGTAGAACAGATACATTTTGAGTATTGTTCCTGACATGTACAAGTACTTGCAACATCATGAATCTCCGGCGTTTCCTTCCATATTCGGCTCAGAATCTTCGGCACTACTTTCTTTTACTCTCATAAACGTAAAAATGAACCCGGCAAATTACAGATGATTTAGCTTCTAAACAGTTTGGTCACGTGTTGTGCAATGGGTTGCATGTTGCTTACCTCTCTGCCCCGCCTATCGAAAACCCACACGACGGCTCCGATTATAACCACCGCTATCAGGAGGCTGATGAGCAGCGCGAACACCCAGCTGAGCTGAGGCAGGAAGTGCCAGAAGGAGGAAAAGAAGTCTCCCCAGAATGCACAGAACAGCACCTGAGCCACAATGGGATCAAGATCAGTTACAACCACAAGAAACCTACGTCTAGATTTTAAAACAATGATAATAACAATAATTTACATCTTCTTGGTTCTTTCGGTAAAGTCACGTAGAAGGGAAGTAATAAAATAATAAAAATAAAACATAATAAAATAATTCTCACGACGTTTCGGCCACAACGCAAGCAGCCGTTCTCAGGTGAAGACCAGGTCTGTTGGGGAGACAGCGTCATTCAGACGCGTCATTCAGACGCTGTCTCCCCGACAGACCTGGTCTTCACCTGAGGACGGCTGCTTGCGTTGTGGCCGAAACGTCGTGAGAATGATTTTATTACGTTTTATTTTTATTATTTTATTACTTCCCTTCTACGTGACTTTACCGAAAGAACCAAGAAGATGAATCCCTGTAGTCACGAAAGCTTTAAATCGAAATAATTTACAGTTCTAGATTTGAAGCTTTCGTGACTGCAAGGATTCATACTCTTAGTTTTTTCGGTAAAGTCACAATTTACAGCCCTTTGTTAATCCACTATAGGATGAAGGCTTCTCCAGACCAGACCAATTCAGATATCGCATGCCACTTTAGCTATGGCCAGAAATCGAACTCGGGTCACTGGGTGCATAGCAGAATGCGCAAAGCACTACGCTGCTCCACCTCCATGTCCAGTTTATTCCAACACAAATTAAATGAGTTTGGTCACTTTCTAGTAGAGTTGCTGTTTTTCGATTGAAGAATCACATTTATTTCTAACACTGTAGTATGTCTTGCAGCCCTTACGAGCTACATGGCTCACATGAACCATTTACAAAATGGGGGTCGGTGACATATGTACCGTCACAGGACAGTACATATGGTACATTAAAAGAGCCTAACAGCTTATTGGACTATTCCCGCATGAAATAAATAAAATCGAATATACTATATATATCATAAATAAAATCGAACTATCCAAAAGAATCTATGCGAACGTAAAATCGTCAATTCTTACGTAAGTAATTGCAGTTAAACTTAAGAACCGATATTATTAATTGATGAATCGATGTGTCAGTTACAATCCCCAGTGGTCAACAGCATATCTGAACAAGCGTCAAAGTGTGCACTCTTATGAAGCGCGTTCCATGACCTTCGCGTTTTGAAATCGACAGAAATGGCGTGGGTGTCTGTTGCCCAACTTATTACGGATCAATTTAGAAACATATGAATTCAATATAAAAAAAATATGAATCATCTTCCACACAAGGCAGCACATTATTCCAGTATGTACTGCCATGGAATAGTATTACGATGTCTGGAAACCACTGGCAGGCTCTGAATGGGCACTGTGTTCGGTGTTTATAATTTCTGGCCTCGTTACCAACAGCTGCCGGAGACTACATTATGAGTAAAGATTTAGTTTTTTCTCCACTGAGATTTAATTATGCCACAATAATTAACGTTACACAGTGTGAAAAAATTAACCCGTAAAAACAAAGTTTTTCACTATAAATCCTTTATATGCGTGTTCAATGGGCCACAACCCAGCCCACATTGGTCTTTGAAACGGGCGGCTAAGTCCTCTCGTCCTCTGGCTTGAGATGGCTGCCACCTATGGGTCAGATGATTGCCTGCCACCATTAAGCAATTGGTAATAAATATTAAATTTTGTTTTACCTAAAAAGTGTACAATTTTGGAAAAAAAATTTCACGAAAAGAAATTGTCACGCACAACGAGTCTGTGTGCAAAATGTCAGCTCGATTGGATCACGGGAAGTGGGTTAAAAAGCGACCTGAAAGATTTGCACTGGTCGTAAGCGCGCAAGCAAGCAAGTGAACTTAATATAAAGGATTTAAAAAGGAGAAAAGCTTCTGAACCAGATGGAATAACTGTGGACATCATCAAATGAGCGAGAACAGCTGCTGGAACGAACTTACCGGAGTTCGTTAAATGTTTACACAGAAATTAAATATCGCAATCGTGGAATGATGCCTCAATCGGTCATCTATTGAAAAAGTCGGATAAAATGTATACAAGTTGTTCATAAATACCATGAGAGAAATAAAAGCATATATAGAAAACAAATATTAGCCATTTGAGAATAACATTGTAAAAAAGTGCATTCTTGGAATTACACTAAGAGACTGAAAGAGAAACACGAGGATTAGAGAATAAATTAAAATCCTAGGACCATATCTGTGGGATTACATGTTTGCTGCCTGCTGCAATTATTTAATACTATGCTTTAATTTCCTTAATTCAACAGGGAAGTTCATGGATGAAGCACTTCTATGTATGCAGAATTTTTTATTTTATTTTAGTTCATAAAGTTGCTGTAATTTTTGGATAGGTGTGGGTTTGCAGCTTTTTGTGTCATTTAATTGGAGGATTGCTTATTTGGGCTTCCTGTTTAGGCCTCTTCCTCTTCAGGCCCGACCCCTTCCTCTTCAGGCCTGACCCAACCCCTTCCTGTTTAGACCCTGCCCCCTTCCTGTTTAGAAGTGCACAGCACTTCTTAGCTCCCGCCCTCTTTCTCTTTAGACCCCGCACCTTCCTCTGGACTCAGGCTTGGGCTTGTTTTTCAAGCTGGTGCTTCTTATTTTTCCCCGTGAGATTTGCCAGCTCTGGACTAAAGCAAGCTGAGCGAGAGAGTGCGAGTGGGGAGCGGTGAGCGTTGTGGAAGATGGGGGGGGGGGGGAGACTTAGTGTGCGCACAACAGTAGGTAGTGGCCAGCGACAATAGTGAGATGGCTTCACAATGACCAATATTCCGATTAGAGCAATATAATATAGACTGACTGTGAAGAAAAATGGGCTGGGCAGGGCACATCGCTTGAAGGGATGTTAGCCGATGGCCGTGACTGACAACAGTTTAACAGCCCAAGGTAAGAAACATGCCTGAGCAGCTGACAAAAATGGAGATGGGGCGATGAGACCATGAGGGATGGCCACAACTAGGGAAGGCCTTTATCCAGCTGGGGATAGATCATGGCTAATGCCGGCAATGATCATCAATACACGATTACATCAGTTGTGTGGAACGTACCATGGCCATAGCAATTCCGAATGCCTTGGATACGAGGAAGGCATATCGTATTATCTCGGAATCTTGAAGGACACCAGACATTGCCTGGATAAACTCCTCATTTGGGACCTAAATGCAGAGGAGCAATGTACACACAAATGAAACATTTTAAACATGCTTACTGAGCAAGAGTCATTAGTCATATATAGTTCATAATGAATACCATGGACCCCTGGTTTTTTCTAGCCAAGCGAACTTTCCTTTGTATAGTGAAAATTATCCAAGAAAGTGCTATAACCGACAAGACTAATTCACAGAATGAGAAAAAAAGTTTTTTTTTTATTATAACGCAGATTGTTGGGTTGAACATATGTACATTCATGGCTATTTGTAAAATCCACTGCTGGATGAAGGCTTCCTCACAACGTGTGGGTCATGGGGGTTATTTGACCATACTTCACACTTTGCAAGTGGTGGCTGGTAAAGAAAGGGGGCACAGACGATATGGGAGCATAGAAGTACTGCACCACGACGGAATTTACTGCCACTGTCCTTTGTGACACCCACAAAACACAGCTCCACAGCCGATAACAACTGTTATACATGTAGTCAGCACATTCAAACACTATCGAGTACATGCTCAACCCGTGCTAAGATTCCGAGATCGAGTACAATCCGAGTGATTTGGTCATAGTTCTGGTTGTATGTTGAACTTCATTTCGCACCGTACGTAGCCAACCGTGCTAATCGGAGGTGTGGTTGAACGTATAGATAGCTGTATATGTACCTTAAACTGATCTCACGACACTTACACCTTTGGTAAAAAAATTTGGGCGATCTACCGGATGCACGCACAACAATACAAGCGCGTGGCGTGGTGCGTGGAAGCGACGCGTGCTGCTGAGTTCTCACCTGGACTCCGCGCGAACACAGCTCCTGCTGGCACGAGGCGAGGTCAAACTCTGCCGACCAGCACAGGAGCGCCGCGCTCGCCATCAGCACCACCTTGCCGTTGTACAAACCTGCGAGTAGGCCGCAGAGACGCAGTGGTCAAGCCCCCCTCGAGCAACCGTGAAGCCAAAGACTCATGAGTCTTAAAACTCAGTGAAATTTTCGTTGTCAAAGGATTATTACATCGGCGTTTTGAAACATTATCATGGATGGAGTATGTATGAATTTAGAACTTTTTTCGCATCTTACGTAGCCAATCACACTAACTAGAGGTGTGGGGGAAGGGCAATAAACTAAACACAAAAAGCAGTTCTAGAGAAATGAGTTTTCAATACAGCTCCAGTGGTTTCCTAATATCGGAAGGGAAGAGCGTTCCAGACGGCCGCAGAAGCGCATCTGAAAGCACGCGATGCAGTAAATATCTGAATGGTCTTTAAGGTGAGCCTATGAAGAGTTTATAACTCACAAAACCAATATATTTGAAAACTCCTTACATTATTGTACATTCATAATCAACGATTTTTGGGTTTAGATCGCGTTTATTTATAAATGTGTCGTAACCCTCCACCACCCGACACGGCCAATCAGTAAAAAATGTGTCACGTTGACAAAGACAAATAGTTCACTGCTTTAGCCCACCGGTGTGTTGAAGCAACAACATTCACAATTTGAGTACGACGTTTCGCTGGTAATTACAACCAGCATCATCGGGCAATTCGCCAGAATGGTGAGGCTCTCCTGTGTCTCCCGTTCTTATATAGAGCAGCAGCAGGATGACGTCATCATTAACTCATTAACTCATCAGGTGCAAAGATTCAAGGGGGGAGTGATTGTAATTATATACTAGATTAGTAACCAGGCTATTGTTACGATGCGAGTTGTAGATTAGTAATCATTTGGAATGTGTTTTATTGTGATTATGCTACATTAGTAATCTGTTAGTGGTTGTTTCCCTTATAAGTAATTGTAATGTATCTTATTTAATAATACGCTTCCAGGCCGCACTAAGCCTGTAGCTGTCTGAGCGATTAAAGTTATTTCTGTTTCTCTCAATTTCAATCGATTCTCTAATTAGTCTTTGCCAGTAGTAACTAGTTTTACACAACACTTCCACGTTGTCAAAATCAATTGAGTGTCCCTGTTGGCATGCATGTTCTGCTACTGCCGACAGTTGTGTTTGTGATAGTTTAATATTTCTCTGGTGTTCTTTAAGTCTTACACTAACGTTACGCCCTGTCTGTCCAATATAGCATCTGCCACATACACAATTAATCCGATATACACCTTCTGTTGATAATTTAGGTAATTCGTCTTTAGTGCACGTTACTAGTTGTTGAATTTTGTGTACTGTACCAAATCTTACTGTAATGTTTTGCTTTTGCAAAACACGGGCTAATTTATCAGTTACTCCTGAGATAAATGGTATTTTTATTGTTTTAATAATCTGATCGCTTTCAGCAGTGTTGCTTTGCGATCGTGATTTGGCTTTTAGTGCTCTGTTAATTTGAGCATTATTGTAGCCATTCTGTCTTAGTGCTTCTTTAACATGTTTAATCTCTCTCACTAGACTTTCACCATCTGACACTGTTTTAGCCCGATGTATGAGCGTCTTGATAAGAGAGGATTTCTGAGCTGGGTGATGATGCGAATCTGCATTCAGATAGGCATCAGTGTGCGTTGGCTTTCTGTAAACGCTGTGTGTTATTTTACCGTTTGGGCCATGCCCAAGTAAAATATCCAGGAACGGGAGTGTGTTATTCACCTCCATTTCCATGGTGAACTGAATGGCCGGGTTTTGTGCATTGAGATGATTTAGAAAATCGTTAAGTGTATCTTTACCATGTGGCCAGACAACCAAAGTGTCATCCACATATCTAAACCAAAAGGATGGTTATTAAATAAGATACATTACAATTACTTATAAGGGAAACAACCACTAACAGATTACTAATGTAGCATAATCACAATAAAACACATTCCAAATGATTACTAATCTACAACTCGCATCGTAACAATAGCCTGGTTACTAATCTAGTATATAATTACAATCACTCCCCCCTTGAATCTTTGCACCTGATGAGTTAATGAGTTAATGATGACGTCATCCTGCTGCTGCTCTATATAAGAACGGGAGACACAGGAGAGCCTCACCATTCTGGCGAATTGCCCGATGATGCTGGTTGTAATTACCAGCGAAACGTCGTACTCAAATTGTGAATGTTGTTGCTTCAACACACCGGTGGGCTAAAGCAGTGAACTATTTGTCTTTGTCAACGTGACACATTTTTTACTGATTGGCCGTGTCGGGTGGTGGAGGGTTACGACACATTTATAAATAAACGCGATCTAAACCCAAAAATCGTTGATTATGAATAACATTGGTCGCGAAAGCCTACGTGTTAAATTATTGTACATTGTACGGCAACACATATATCTAGAAAATAATTACACTGCATTATTATTATGATCGCAGCAGTTCGTGCACTGCGCTATGAACCAGGATCCTCGACTAAAATTCCTGGCCACGGTTAACACCAGTGGCAAGTAACATATGAACGAGTCCTAGGTGCGAACGAGTGTGGTGAACTACGGTCACACAATCTTTGGGTATGGAGGGGTGGGGCTTCATTCAAAAGCGGTTTAACAATGATTCTGTGAATATTATTTCAACAAATAATATGGATCGTCTTAGCTGCTGTTGCTGTACTAACTGTTCTTTAGTGGTGATTAACTTTTGCTACAACAATCCACAAACAGCCCCGTCCCCCCGTCCCCGCATACAATACATTGCTGCATTAAATGCCTTCCCAAGCCTCAGCATCTAATCACGATATGCATTCCTTCTGCAGCAGTGACGGTGTATCCTGACATTATGTCGTGGATGTGCAATAGCGACCTGAGCATCGCATACTGCAGGATAGGCTGGGAACATGACATGTATCCTGACATTATGTCGTGGATGTGCAATAGCGACCTGAGCATCGCATACTGCAGGATAGGCTGGGAACATGACATGTATCCTGACATTATGTCGTGGATGTGCAATAGCGACCTGAGCATCGCATACTGCAGGATAGGCTGGGAACATGACATGTATCCTGACATTATGTCGTGGATGTGCAATAGCGACCTGAGCATCGCATACTGCAGGATAGGCTGGGAACATGACGGTGTATCCTGACATTATGTCGTGGATGTGCAATAGCGACCTGAGCATCGCATACTGCAGGATAGGCTGGGAACATGACATGTATCCTGACATTATGTCGTGGATGTGCAATAGCGACCTGAGCATCGCATACTGCAGGATAGGCTGGGAACATGACATGTATCCTGACATTATGTCGTGGATGTGCAATAGCGACCTGAGCATCGCATACTGCAGGATAGGCTGGGAACATGACATGTATCCTGACATTATGTCGTGGATGTGCAATAGCGACCTGAGCATCGCATACTGCAGGATAGGCTGGGAACATGACATGTATCCTGACATTATGTCGTGGATGTGCAATAGCGACCTGAGCATCGCATACTGCAGGATAGGCTGGGAACATGACATGTATCCTGACATTATGTCGTGGATGTGCAATAGCGACCTGAGCATCGCATACTGCAGGATAGGCTGGGAACATGACATGTATCCTGACATTATGTCGTGGATGTGCAATAGCGACCTGAGCATCGCATACTGCAGGATAGGCTGGGAGCATGACATGTATCCTGACATTATGTCGTGGATGTGCAATAGCGACCTGAGCATCGCATACTGCAGGATAGGCTGGGAACATGACATGTATCCTGACATTATGTCGTGGATGTGCAATAGCGACCTGAGCATCGCATACTGCAGGATAGGCTGGGAACATGACATGTATCCTGACATTATGTCGTGGATGTGCAATAGCGACCTGAGCATCGCATACTGCAGGATAGGCTGGGAACATGACATGTATCCTGACATTATGTCGTGGATGTGCAATAGCGACCTGAGCATCGCATACTGCAGGATAGGCTGGGAACATGACATGTATCCTGACATTATGTCGTGGATGTGCAATAGCGACCTGAGCATCGCATACTGCAGGATAGGCTGGGAACGTGACAAGGGAACAGCAACAAATCAGCAACCGCTTATTCCATCACGCCCCCTGTCTTTTGGGGCCAAACCAATGCCCTTGTCAGAATATGAGACTGATTATGGGTATCATTCCCATTTCAGTCACTTGCGAAGTGTTTGTCAGAATGTTATGTAAAAACTTGGCAGACGCTCCAATGATTGCCACAGTATTTTTTTAACATATATACTGTGTCTACCAGAATATTAGAATATTGTTTTACACTGGAGGAATCCGATGAGTACGAAGCTCTTTTTCACAAAAGGCCAGTACATTGTGCACATATATTGAAACATTTCTGATTAAACTGATCAACTTGTCGAGATGGGAATGATGCCAAATGCGTCTAAAAACACACAAACAACGTCCTGCAACATGTTTAGCCTGTGAACGTAATGCTGGAGAGCTTTCAAATGTCAGCTGACCCTTTCGTGCAAGCACATTTGCCACCTTTGCTCTAAGCTATCGAGTGGCACTGGTCGTTCAGACCACGATAACGTCTTGGGGTTGGTTATAAATTCCTTAAAGTGTCTCAAAAGCCATCGCGTAGTGGCTCAAGAATAAAAAAATAAACGAGACCCATGCCCGCCCAGTTGCTTAATTCCCGCTGGAAGGGTCCAGAACGCTGCTGTGGGAATTATTTCGGCAACGCCACGTCAAATCTCTCCTTATTTTATGCTCACGATACCGCCGCAGTGGAGTGTGCGGTGGCAGGTGTGGCAACACGTGCTTAAAGGGTCGGTACTTAAATTTGACATTCTTGTCCTCATATTCAACTGCAATTAGTCTTCTTCTTTTGCGTGTCATGTCCACCAAAAAGTCAAATGTCCTTCCCAGTGGCGAGCACACTTCAGCGCTTGCAAGTTGCCTGCTGTAATACCCGGCGCAGTGCGGAGGCCTTCCTCGAGCAGTCGGCTGACCAATCAGAATACCTGTATTTATACTGGAGGAATCTGACGAGCTATGAAGCTATTTTTCACAGATGTGCAGAGGTGCCACATGGTCTGCTTTTGGCCACAGCAGTCACAGCCTTCTGGGTTTTGTGGAGTATTGCCTTTAGTAAGTACACACACACGTTCGCAACCTAAAATCACCTCTGTATACGTCTCATGGAGCCCATAGCGGCGCTCTGGAAAATACCGAGTGAGAAATTAAAACGTCAGCTGTACATGTACGAGTTATGTTTGATTCAATATTGTCTGAAAGCATTAAGTGTACACGACTGTTGCGATGAGAAGCGACTGACGTCTACTGAGTGCGCGTGCAGGTGAGCGGGATTTTAAAAGCCATTGCCATACATTAAGTGAACCTTGGTACAATCATTGCATTTTTTAAAGAATTATTTACATAGTTCATGGTTCGCCGGCTAAACAGTCACATCCGTTAACCGCGATGCGCCTACACCGTGGTCTCATGTGCTCCATCGCGACTTGTAGGCATGGAGATTGCATTGACTCAAAGTCATCGGACCTCATGCAGCTTGTTTGCTGCTCTTAAGGAAAATGTATGAGTGCTTCTCACACCCAACAAGGGAACTTAAAAAGCTGTGATTACAGCTGACGGTATGTGAGAATGTAGAAATAATCTACAGAACAAACATTCCGATACAGAGAATAATCCACCCAGAGCACATGATTTACAAGCGCGTCACTTGGCGTTGCGCGAAAGCAGTGGTTGGAAGCCGTCTTCTTACATTTATTTGGCAGGCCACACACTGACACACAATGACAAAGCAAAGACACAGATCCCCCCTTTAGCCTTAACAGACTGTTGGGGCAAGTGATGTTAGCGAGCTCCTATGAAGGCCGGCGCAGCACACGAGGGGGTGTGTGGCCAACACCACGCCCGGCCGCCTTTGTCTCCCCAGTGGTGATGTTTACAAACCACACCAGCTACTTCTTTGAGGGTGGATCGACGTAGGGGAGGCCGAGAACCGATTCAGATAATCGTCGCTGGTGTTGGCCGTGAGCGTGAATCGAACTCGGGTTGCAGTGCGCTAACCACTACACTACCGCTCCCCACACACACACCGACACACCATCTTAGCATTGTCGAATGACAGCGCACGTGTCATTGACGGCCGAGTGTAAAGAGGCCCCCTCAGCGAACGACGTATCGTAGCGTGGCTAATACAAGAAGCGCAGAGTTGTTGCCAGGTTGAAGATATTCCACTCTAGTACTCGATGAGTGCGGCCAAGATGCTTGGGAGTCTCCAGTAAATATCATTTGTGGTCCGTCTCGAACCCGTAGGCCTCGTGTGTCCGTGGGCCATATGCAATGAAGCCAGGCTACGTATCTGGCCCACGGGACATAAGTTCTCCACCCTGCCATACTGTAACATACAGACCAGGGCCTCCTGGTTTGATGATTAATGAGACGTTGCACTGAGCGTGTCAGGTGAGCGTCCGTCCGTCCGGGGCAATAGCTCCATAAAAACACAAACTCACGCAGCAGTGCCATCGAGAAGACTCTGCAAGTTTTCATTGTTGATTTTAATATTCAGAGAGCTTCACTATCCCCCTCCCCCCACCACTTACAGTACAAAATAAACATGTGAAAGGCTGAAGTTTTAGTGCAGAGTACAGGCTGAAAGATGCACCGACTTCATAGCTGAAGATCACGCTTTACAGCTATGCTTGTGCACCGCTGCTTTATGCAGTCCCTTAAATGTGTCAGGGCTCCCTACACCCAGTGGATCATGGAGGGGGGCTTATTTGACATTAGTTCACCATACTGGTGAGAGAAATTAAGTGTAATAAAGTACATTTTATTTCATTTCTAACTACGTGACTTTACCGAAAGAACCAAAGAGTACTTTAAAAACGTAATGATTTCCCCCCCCCTCACCTCAACAGAAGAACCCATCAAGGTGAGCACCAAGCATTCTTGTTTTGTCTATCACCCCTTCCCAGAAACATCGACGCGTTATACGGGGGCTTGTGTTGCTTACCACAATAAAAACATAAAAGCGTAACGATCGGGTTGCCGCAGCAACTGCATTGACCAAGCATCTACGCATAAACTCCCACCCAGAGTTCGTCGGTGCTGTGCCCTCATGCCAGTGGCGTGTTTTTACCGTCGCGCAGGGGCAAGACGTCCGCCCTGTCCGAGAGCTTCGTGTAGCTGCAGGACTCGGATGGGACGGGCGAGGAGACCTCCGCTTGCCTGTCGTGTTCGGCGGCCTCGTAGTCGGAGGCCATCTCGATTGAACCGGTTCGAACCCCAGCGCCGGGCTCGCAACGCCTCGCAGACCTCGCTCAGCCGCTCGCGGAACGCGGAACACGAACTCGCCTCGGCGTGGTCGTTGTCACGCGCCGACGTGTCTTCATTTGAAGAAGAGGAAGAAGGGCATGCTTGCTGCACTCACAGTAAATTAATATTCGCATCAGTGACACTGGCCATTATCTCTCAATTACATTGGTTCCCCCATTGCTGGTGGTGTTGTCCAGCCACCAGGTGCGGTATAACTGGCTTCCATTTTTTTGTACCCACTCTCGTACTCATGAGGAATGTGTTCCCCATTGGCTGATGTTCCATCTATAGAGTTTTTTTTCCCCCTTTGCTGTGAGCATCTACTCCAAGAGACATGCCCGGCCCAAATCGATGCACTTTGCTGAACAGATTGGGATATCATGGATTTGCTTTTGAGCTTCTGATCCATTCGTTTATTCTTGCGCTTTTTCAAATTCGACTTAATTATTTTTTCAAGTACTTTAATATACACGAGAGATGATAACACCATTCATTTTATGCAGGATCTTGAAATTTCCTTCTTTTTTTAATTAATAATTTTTTTTTATTTTACCTACGACCAAATCACCCTTAATACGTTGGAGCTCGTCAGTTCTCGGACACAAAGCAGGTTTGAGTCTGATTAATAGTTGAATGTTTGACCACCAGGGCTTGCCAGGTGGCGAGGAGATGGCAATGCTGAGCGTTACCTCCACGTATGTCGTGAGTTTTCTCTTGGTTCTCTGAGTTTCCTTTCATATTGCCAAACACTTATTCATAAGCGTGGTCAAACACCCCATTGCAGGACCCTCCTACAAAGGAGTCTCAAGAGCCAGTGGGCCTTTCGTGGGTAAACAATCGGCAATATTATTGTCATTACGACGGCGTGGTGGCTGCATTTGAGAAAAAATACATGAAACCAGCAAGAGTAATCTCAAAATTGGAATAACATAATTGTTTTCAATAAGCACATTGGACATAATAACTGTGGGAATTAAAGTAAGTTATGGCACTCACATAAATGATTCCAAATGCATTTAATGTACTGTTAAATTTGTGGAATTTAATTCCAAAATCGTTGTCAACCCCACATCTGTTCCTATTTCCAGCCCTTTCTAATTCATTGCTGTACGAATGTCTCCCCCCTGACACCGTGTCGGTTGTGAGGGTTTATTTGAGCAACATATTCCTCGCTGGTCAATGCGGGTGAGTGCAGTGAGTGATGCCCAGAACCGGTTCAGATTATCACTCACCGCTGATGTTGGTCATGCCCAGGGATCAAACTCAGCGCAGTGCACTAACCACCACAACACCACCCCACTCCTGCGCCACAATGCTAAGAATTACACCACTTGGGAGGAGTGTACACTTAACTGGAGTCTGGCGACATAATGTTCTAAGAAACATGAGTATGTCATTCACTAGCATGGCTGTTAGTTTATTTCTTTCTTTCATCCGCAGGGCACTTAACAAAGGCACCGGACGAGCTGACGATTGTATACGCGGCTGCATCTCGTTATTTGTTTCCTGTGCTAACATAGTAGTATACAATGCACCCACATTACAAAATAAATTACACTGCACAGTATATGAGATAGAGTAAACGAAGGGAATTTGTGCGTGAATGCACACAATGCCATGGAAGGCTGTCTCAAGCTACATCTGGCGTTGCAGCAGTGACACGCACACACACGTGCGCGCACGCGATCAGATCTCTCGCACCTGCCGAATGCTTCACTGCCCTCAGGTTTCCACTGCATTTGAAAGACGATATGTCGGAGCGGTGCAGCGGTCGACAGTGCACTGCACTCTTTACCCAGCGACCTAAGTTTGATTCCTGGCCATGGTTAGCATCGGTGGTGAGTGACATCTGAAATAGACCTGGGGACATGCCTTCATAAAATCTGCACTGGCCCACATGGTGAAGTATGGTTAAACAAACCCCCGTGACTAACATGGCATGGGAAGGCCTTCCTCCATGCTTGATGAAAATATTGCACGTTATGATGATGCTTATTTATTGTTATAAAGGAAGAACATATAAAATAGCCAAGACGCTAAATAACGTAACAGTGATCATATTAAAAGCTTACGATTTTTAATTCAGCTTCATACTAGCATGAGTTAAAAAAAAGATATTTTATTAAATGCAGTACAAAAACTGCATTAATCAGACTGTAGTGATTTCAAGATTTAATTGACAATATAGGTTTAAAAAAGCAACACAATGTCAGTCTGAAATGGTACGAAATCATGTCAACCCCTCTCCTGCCTAGATTAACTGTTACATCAACGAGGACATTACACGGCATTTCTATTTACATGATGGTGTTACTTTCCACAGATGGAGGCAGAATGCTGCATTCAATTACTTTCCCACCGTCGGCTTTGGAGAAATCTCACGGTAACGCGTCAAACATAGGCGGTACTGTCACCAACGCGTCCTCCATCCCAGTGTGGAAGCACATGGCACAGGGGAGAAAATAAAATAGATTTTTCCACGGTCTTAAACACCGCATCCCTTAACAACTCCGAAACACAATGTCTTCATATCAAACTCGCCGCACGCGCTCGGCAAGTTAACATTGCATACCGCTCTGTTTGGATGTATGCCATTAAATCACATTAGTGCTTGAGCGAAGCATGTGCTCTAGACTGTAAAACTTAAAAAAAAAATTCTCTCCGACTATGAATACTTTGTGCTTTGACACCAGTGCCCTTTAAATAAAAGAGGCACAAACGACACGGAGAACCCGAAGCCTCACGTGAAGAGACCACAAACACAACAGCGTTGCGTGCTATCTTCTTCCATATAAATGACTTACCGTGGGGAGAATGCGTCCTCTCAGTGGGCTGTCACGAGCATCCACCCGCGGTGCTGGCAGCCACGGCGCCTCTCACTGACCAAAGAACTCAGGCATCCTGGCGGTCTCGCGTTGAGAGAGAGAGAGCCCCCACGTGACAATCACACGTGACACGCGCCTTGTTGTGTCACAGATTTCCTTTGTTGAGAAAGAGGGTCAAGCAGTAAAAGAGAGGGGGGTGGGGAGGAGGAGGAGGAAACCGGCTTCCTCTTTGCCCTTACACACCACCAGCACAAGCACTCGCTCCCTCCCTTTGCTTTTGGGCCAACGCTCTCCCTTGGGTTCTTAGATGGCAGATTGCAGCCACGGTATATTGTTATTGTTAGTGCTGTACGATCATTTAGCCGGTGGCATGAGGATAACTCCTTTGAAGAATGTTTTTTTTAATCTAACTGGCCTTGCCGTTTCAAATGCGTTTCACAAAAATGCAGACAAAATAAGCGATACCGCTTACAGGGACAGATTAGCAATGGGTGACTACCATGCACAAAGAGGTTGTAATAGGGCTGGGAGCCTATGTTGGGCAGCAGAGGGCATAGCAGTATAATCCATTGATGTACGGTACCTCTGTGCCGCCACATCTATGCTCCCTGCCTTCACTAACCCGCACCGACCACCATGGGCAGGGATGGGCAATGAAAACAACAAGAAGAGTCAACATTTTTTGTTCGAATTCGATAAACAACTCAAACATTTAAGAGTCACAATTCCGTGTGACGGTGTTCCTAAACAAATAACGTCACGAAGCAGCAGCAGCCCTTCAAGAGCCACATTGCGGCTCTGGAGTCACGGGTTGCCGACCCCTGGCCATGATGAGTTAAGGTCAATGACTCCCGTGACCTCCACGGACATGGGGGAAGACCCTCATCTAGCAGTAGATTCACAAAATGGCTGTAAAATTACATGTGCAGTGTACGAACAATTCCTGCCCTGTTGGTATGTTTCTAGATTTGAAGCTTTCGTGACTGCAAGGATTCATACTTTTAGTTTTTTTCGGTAAAGTCACGTAGGTAAAAAAAATTAAATTAATAAAAGTAAAATAAAATAAAAATAAAATAAAAATCACGACGTTTCGGAGGCAACACAAGCCTCCGTCTTCAGGTGGAACCGTTACTTGATACAGCAAGCGTGCTGTGACGGTTCCACCTGAAGACGGAGGCTTGTGTTGCCTCCGAAACGTCGTGATTTTTATTTTATTTTTATTTTATTTTACTTTTATTAATTTAAATTTAAAATTTTTACCTACGTGACTTTACAGAAAAAACCTAAGAATATGAATACTGTGGGCATGTGTATTTGTGTAACATCATAATCAGTAATTCTCAATCAACTGCTAGATAAAGGCCTTACATTGACACCAGTGGCCATGGTCCTATTAGCTACAATAAGTCTCACGCGATAACAAAGTGCAGGATCGTAAAAAGAAAGGCAGGAATTGTTTTGATAACCAAGAAATATAGTCAACTATATGGGTAGATTGCTATTTGTCCATGAACTCAGACGAAATGTCACTTGTCGGTACCATCCGAGGTGGCATAACCTTTCCTGGTACCGATTCATTTATGTGGCCAATAACGGTGAAGTGTGTGATAACCATTTGAAATGAGGGGGGGTTATCAAATAATACATGTAAAGACATGGGGACAACTAACGTTTTGCTACATTAGGTGGTACCGATATCTGCTCTGGCCCATGGACTCTTACTGTGATAAACTAGCTTATGATACATTTTTTGTCAATTGTCAATCCACTAGTAGGACGGGCGGAGGGAACGCCCCAAGCCATCTCCATCGTAGGAGTTTTTGACCATAACCGTGCAGGGTCAGTGTGGGCTGATAGAGGGAGAGGACCGACCTGTTCACTCACAACTCTTTTTATCTATGGTTGGGATCACATTCACGTGACCAGGTATCCGAGCATAGTATGCTCGAGCGCGCTAAAGACTGTGCCACCGTTCCACCCAATTATACTGTAAAAATTAAATTCTCATAAATCTTAAAAATGTGCTACATGACTCAGCAGAGCACACCAAGGCACCCAACCCCCACGCCGCATCAAGCCGTAAGAAAAAACCCCGTGACAAATTTGAAATCATAACACATGCGGTGGATGCTTTCTTTGTTGGTTTTGTGACCGTGATGAGATGGAGATAGGTGCAAGAAGATGGTGGGTGGAGAGAGGAGGGGGGGGGTCAAACGTGTTTGAAATTCCTCCCGCAAAGAAACCCAGATAGAATGCAGACATCAACGCCTCTCGGTGTGACAGGGACCCAGGCAGGCCCCAGCGGGGGTCCCCCCTCATCCACACCAAATGCTCGGTGCGCAAAGCGACCACGAGGGCTTTACAGTAGTCAAACAAGATTGATGAAAAGCATGAAAAAACCCCCCAAAAAACTCGTTGACCTAAGCGGCACGCATGCCCTTTTGCAGCAGAAACCCTGCACCGTGGCTCCCCTAGGCTATCGGTGTACAGTGTGCGTGGCAAGCCACACACGCGCGCGTACACGACGCCTGCATATGTCCACGTGTCTCAAACAATGCCCTCAGTGTTTGCGGAGCGCTTGACCCAACCTGGTATAATTACGACGACAACGAACTTGGGGAAAGTAATTGCCGCACACCGAAGAAGACCTGCTATTAGCACGGGCGCGACCAATAGGTTATTTACATCGTGGCAGAGTGTAAACTTCACTGTCATGCAATGTGCGTCTATGCTGCCTGCCTTCACCAGCCTCGCACTGATCAGAGTGGTGAAATATGGTCAAATAATCCCACCGGTTGACACACGTGCACGTGGAGTGCTTACGCATATCGCAGTTTCACTGGTGCATTATATTTAATTCGCGCGGTTATTAAGTGTGCCACTGTGCAATTATCTGAGCTTGTCTCTCACCAGTTTTATATGCCTCGTGAAATATTAATTTGACCCATTCAAGCGGGCAAAGTGCCCAACACAAGTGGTGGTCTTTGGTCTGGAACTCGGTCAAACCCGCACCTGCACGTAGCGTCCTCTATGTAACACGCATGATCAGATTAAACTACTAAGGACCTTTTTGTTTCAAATTGGCAGCAAATTATGTTTCAGTAAACAGTAAAAAAAAAGCTTGGGGCATCGTCGACAATTCTCGCTGGGAATCCACAAATCCGATTACAGCCTTCCTCTGGTGCAACCACAACAAAAATGTGTTGATGCTACACATGTGTTTTTTTTTACCTCCTTCCACTTTCAAGGTCTGTAAGCAGCCTTTGTTAAGCCAGACTGTAGCGCACTTCGGCTGCAGACTGTGCAATGCATCGGATTACCCCTTCTGTGGGTGCCGCAGTGATGAGATGTTAACTCCCTCGCCTGATATGCAGGAGGTAGTGGGTTCCATCCCGACCCTGACGCTTGTATATTAGGAGTTTGCATGTTCTCCCTGTGGTTGCGTGGATTTTCCCCTGGGTCCTCCTAAATTTCCACATAAGCGACTTCGTTGAGCCATCATTTGTGTTCTAGATTTGAAGCTTTCGTGACTGCAAGGATTCATATTCTTAGGTTTTTTACTTGATACAGCAATCGTGCTGTGACGGTTCCACCTGAAGACGGAAGTTTGTGTTGCCTCCGAAACGTCGTGATTTTATTTTATTTTTTATTTTATTTTTTATCAATTTACATTTTTTACCCATCATTTGTGGCCAGGTCGCTTCTGAACAAGAGCTATTTCGCACAGTGAGCCTTACCTGGTAAAATAAAATCTAGTTTTTTTTTGTATAGTTTGAGCCCACCACTGCCTGGCTCGTAAGCACTTGGCAATAAAAGCGTCTAGGCTTTTCACACCCTTACCACCCACGTCGCCTTCTTCTGTGTGCTTTGGGGAGGAAGGGAATTGTGGAAGTAAAAGCCACATCTGCGATGGTGCAAGCAAGCGTGGCGGTCTTACTCTGAAATGGTTTTGTCAAGCGCCAAAGAGGATGGGTGAAGTTGCGTGACAATTGTGATGGGGTTAATTGGTGCATGGGTTACTTCTGACTGAGCCTGTTGCCTTTCTGGCACAAAGCAATGTTAAAGCAACACTACAGGATCCACAGGGCTTTGGAAAGTGATAGGTGCAATGGCTAGAGTTTTGGAGTATTTATACTGACAGGAAAGGGGGTTTATGCGTTTGATTTCCAACGACAACCTACCCATCAACCAAGATCTGAAGACAATGTACCTCGCCGCCAATTGAAGTCACCATCCGAGAATCTCACCCAGAACGCTGGCGAACAGAGAGGAAGTAAACTAAACACATTTTTATTTTACCAGGTCAGGCCCACTAAGCTATATAGCCGTTTTTCAGAAGCGACATGGCCACAAATAATAGCTCAACGAACTGGGTTATCATGTGGAAATCTGTAGCAATCGCATGTTTCTAAATGTGGAGGAAAGTATGTATGTTGAACTTATTTCGCACCGTACATAGCCAACCGTGCTAATCGGAGGTGCGGGGGAAGGACAACAAACTAAACACATAAAGCAGTTCTAAAGTAACAACGAGGACATCCAGAATAAACACCTCATTTGAGACCCAAACATCGCACCTATCTTCCGTGACATTCCTCCTCGAAGCCAGAACACGCACGCATCTCCTTCATGAATGGAAAATTAAAGACAAGCCACAGCAGCCTGATTGTGGCGATTCACCCCAAAACTATGGATCATAGGTAAACCACTGTGGTTTGTGCTCGTTCGGCAGAGGAGTGGCAACACGACACGAACTCTCGCCTGAAGCCCTCTCGTCGCGGCTCTCAGATCTCGACATTGGCATCTCGCTCCTGCCCATATCGCCGTTGTCACATCATACGCAAGAGTGGGAAGAGAACGGGGTCATTCACGTGCAATTGCGCTCACGGAGCGATGGGTGGCAGTAAATACCCGAATGACTCAGGACATCTATGACGACGCATCAATTACATTTTAAAAATAGAATAAATGTCGTGGCCACGAGCCTCAGTTATCAAAATCACACTGGCAAACGTTCTTTACGTCGAGGCATTTACATAAAAAAAAATCTAAATTAATTGGTTGTAATTGTTTCCATGCTTCAGGTAATGTAATTAATTTAGGAAATTGATGTTGAAGGCCAAATTATACCGAAGGCCGAGTACAATTCCCTTGGG